TACTGATAGCAATTACCCATCCACCAAGATATTTCAATTTAAATTTCTGATCTACTGTATATTTATGGCTGCAAAAATCAAGCAAGCCGGAGCATCCTCACTCCTTGGATGTTAAAAGGGGACTTCTAATTGTCTCATAACAGGTTTCATGACAGAAGACTAAAACTCAAACAATCAGCAAAATACACTCTTTCATCATGGAATACAAACTTGCTTCCAAAATAAATAAAATCACCGAACGAAATATAAATTTTCAACCTAAAATTAACTTGAAATTCTAAAAACAAGGATTTATCTTGAACTAAGATACACGGTAGTAGAGTCTTCACTCCAAATTTGAAAAATACCAAAGCACATAACTCTGCAAGTTTTGGACCTATAAAAATCTGCAAGATGGGTGCCACACCTCTGAGTGAAAAGACGATTCTCCGAAAAAAGTCCTTCGAGGTGCATTTTTTCAATAGAAAAAGTATCTTTTTACTCAATCGTATGCCATTTTAATTTCTACTCAGACAACTTTAGTTAGAACCTTCATATATCCGACAGTGAATAATGATGAAAAAAAGCTCCATCGTTAAACTGCCTTATTAGCAAGGTATCATGTACATTTTCAGTGTCTCGTATTACAGAGAAAATTTCGTAATTTCGTAGAACATTCTCGTTGTGAGTCCTTCGCTTCAATTTTTCCCGCCCCAGAATTGCCTTCAAACGATTTTTTGTTGCGGGTCTTCCGCTACGAGTAGACTCGAATTTCCAATTTTTGTCTCCATTTTCCAGAGACCCCACAACCAACGAACACATCCCGTACGCGGAAAATAGGAATCTCACGGGCACAGCGCGATATGCATCAATCAACACTCATTTGGGCATTGAACGAAGTCGACGAGACGATCTGGAGAGTTTGGCTTACATCGTCATATATTTTCTAAGAGGCAGTTTGCCCTGGCAGGGGATCAAGGGCTCAGTCAAGAAGGAGAAATACCGACGGGTGAGATAATCGTCTCCTTAATCCGAAAAAGTGCCAAGTTTTTGATTAGAGAAGAAAGTTTGAAGAGCTGTCCGTTTATTGCAACAAAATCAGTCCCGCATGCTAAGGGACTCATGAATCTCATAATATTGGATTTTCGTTAAGATTTTATTTTTCCCTGGTCTTTTCGGAGTTCGTTAAAAGAGATTTTGCAGTATAATTCCTAATGCGAGACACGCTTTCCCCCTTGAGAATTTCCGTTACGCGGGGACTCACTGAATCACACCCCCTTTCCCCGAAATCAGAGGCTGTTCGTTAAGCGATCGTAATTGCCCCCAGATAGGCGAAAAGAAGGTGTCGATCCCGATTGAAGACCTAGTCCGCGGCTACCCCAGCGAACTCACCAAGTTCCTCCGCTACGTTCGCTCGCTGCGCTTCGAGCAGAATCCCAACTACTCCTATCTCGCGAGTCTCATCAAGTCAGCCATTGCCAAAGTCGGACCGACACCCACCCACTTCGGAGACGCGTCGTCATCCTCCACCCAACAACAACAACAACATCAGCGTCGCACCGACACTGCGTCAGTGTCGGAAAACACGTCGACGACCACAACCACGTCACCGCTGGAAGTGTTTGACTGGAACGTGCGCGCGTTGGAGTTGTGCGAGAAGGGCCGCGTGGACGCCACTCGACGCAGCCCGTACCCCAAGTGGCGCTCGCGGACCGACCACGACCACAACCACAACCACCAGCAGCAACAGCCCCCATGGTACGGGTATGCAAAGAGGTCGATGAATGCGGGGGCACTTCGGGACAAGACCAAGTCCCAGTCTTACAGAAGTCCCACCATTTTCCAGCAGCACACCAAGTTAGTTCAATTCACTTACGGCCGCGAGGAAGAAACTTACACAAGGTCATTAGGAACAGGTGATCGAAGAATAATTCTTGAAGACTTTGAATTATTGGTGTTCCCCAACCTGTGGACCGCCGCCGGTCTGCCGAAGTTTCTTGCCGCTCGGCAGAGAATTTACAGCAAAATAAATTCAGCAAAAATAGCAATGAAGTCTTATCTCCATCTAAAATTTCCAAAAGACAATGGCAGTTGAATTCATCTCATGAAAATAAAAGTTGGCTTATCTCCTAATAACACTTCAGACAAATTTTCAAGTGCTGAAAAATTATTTTTATTATTATTTAAATTATTAAAATAATAAATTATTTTAATTTTTAATTTTGACAAACTTTTTTTCAAGCACACCTTCATAATTTTTTTTATGACATTCAGCTAGATCTGCTTCAGTGGTGTTCAACTTACAACTTAATTTTTAAAAAGCAGAAACTTTAAAATACCTGCCATAAAGGCTTTCATGCAAAACTTTGAGTCTGCAAAAATTGTATGCAATTGGTCCGCAGAAAATTTTTAGAGAATTAGCCAATCCACAAAAAATCTTTCGGAAATTTGCCGATCTGTGGGCCCGAAAAGGTTGGAGAAGAATGCTTCAAATAATTCAATTGCACTGAAATGGCGCATATTTCCGAGTTACAGTAATATGGTTATTGTAGGCATCCCGAGACGTTGCCAAAATCTGCACTTGAAACATTAAAATTTGTATTCATCAAGCTGCAGAGCTTTTTCCTGAATAAATTCAGCACAGTATCAAGGAAGCATTCTGGAGCTAAAAGGCCTCCAGAAAATTCGAGGCATGGAGATTTGGGATAAGAAGCCTTAGAGAGGTTTTTAATGCATTGTTTCCAGGAAAAAAATTACAAGGACTTGAAAAAAAAAATGTGGACATAGAGATAGATGTTCTAAGAATTTTATAAATTACATATACATGTACTGTATCATCAGCGATTTCCCGTTAAAAACTTCAAATTTCTCCACGGCCTGAGCGCATTTATCTTCTACAAAATCAGGACGTTGCCCATAATTACTTATACAATGTACACAGTACGGTACTGTTGTTTGCTCCGAGAGTCGGAGCAGCTTTCTACGACAATATTGCCAGATGTCACCCCTAAAATGACCGTAACCTCGTTTCTCCCCACCAACAGGCAACTGCAAAGCTTCGCAGCCTCGAAACGCAAAGACCTCGTCCTACAAGGCAAGTACCCACAGGACCCAGTGAATCAGAGCGCACAGAACGTTGCAGTGGCTTTTTAAGCGGAGTACTGGATGGAGAACAGGGAACGGTACCGTAAGGGGCTGGTAGGCCAAAAGCCGCGTAAAGTGTACTCGTGAAAGCTGAGGCGGTCGCTGAGCCTTCAGTCGCATGACGAACGCATTTGAAAACAAAAACTCATTTAAACATATCCAACCTCGGATAGAAACGCGCGGATTTTTGAATACGATAGATTCCAACCTCTATCTGCGTCGTCCTATTGTTTCCCTGATTTTGGAAACTTATTGAATGCAATTCCGGAACTAAATAAATATGTTACGCGAACCATGCTTGGCACAAGAAGAAACCGGTGCGCCAGATATCACATTTCTTTCATTCTTGTGAAAAATATAAATAAAAATACCTGAGGAGTAATGTCCGAGCCGTCTTCGAAGCATAGCATCACAGACGAACCCTGAAGGTCGATCAGATCCACAACGGCGCCACTGAGCTGCATTATTTTCTGCAAATGGTTCAACCACTCCGACTTCTCAAAATCCCTGAAAAAAAAAAAATTGAAAAAAAGTTCTTTTCCCACATTGACCGCTTTCTGGAATGCAAGAAAGAGGTTATAAAGTTGTAAAAATATTTCCTGAAGAAAATGGCAATACACGGGGGAACTCCCCTTAAAACGAGTGTTAAATTCAGAATAGACATGCGGCGGTTCCGCAAAGGACCTCCTCGAAATTCAGCAATTTTGTGAAATATCGCTTTCCTCGGGGTGAAAATAGACGAAAATCGGTAGTCTACTGCGAGAGACAAACCAAATCTGTCCTATCGATAAACTCGACTCATATAATCCACAGTAACTCGGATACAATAAAACGGTGCAAAATCTGCGTAATCGAAAATAAATACAGAACAACGCGGCCGAAGACCTCAAGAATTAAAAACGAAAAGCACAGATTTAATGAGTTCGTCGTAAACTGATCAATTACCTCAGGAAGCTGTCGCCGTCATTCGGGCGCTTGCTCGGAACGCAAGCACTGAGTATATTCTTGAAAGACGTCTTCGTGTGCCGTGCATCCGGGTAATCAACAGGCACGAAATCACACTTCCCACTCAAATCCCCTCGCAGACCCTGAAAGCAAAAATGAAATTAGAATCGAAGGATGACAAGATATAACGCAACACTTTTTCGATTCAACTCCGTCATTCCTACGTGTTCCTAGAATCCCTAGATATTCAGTTGTGCGGTAAGTTGAATCCCGATATGCAAATTACCTTGATTTGAGATTTATCGCCGAACACGTAAAGAGCACTGCGTCGAAACGAGTGGACTCCGGAACTTCCGATGGAAATATCATCCATTGCGGTGGATTCCCCGTCAGAATTGGACGCCGTTGACAAACGGTGCGAATGGGCGCCTACGCCGCCAGGACCTTTACTCCCGGCGCCTCCGCTGCTTCTCGTCCCACGGCGCTTCGTCATTCCCAGGAATCTCAGGCCTTTGTCCATCACATGGGCACCGATTGAGGATGCAGAGCCGCCCTTGGCCAATGGATAATTTTCCGTCGGACCGCCTACACCGACGCCGGCATTACCAGCGCCGAATCCCATCCGGGTATTTCGCGAATTGCTGACAGATCTGAATAAAGTCTGGTCTCTGAAATGGGAGTAAAATTTGTACGTCAAGTATTGGTGTACTCCTCTACCCAACCTAGCTATCAAGTGTCAACTCCAAAGGCAGGAATGTCAGATATGACGTCAATAAAGCATCCCGATTTCGCCGAACCATAAAAATACCAAATAAATATAAAATTTGATAACGTGGGCGTACATAGGTACTGACTCCTGAGGGAACACATACGGATTGATTCCCACTGGAAATCAATACAGACACGAAAAGGAAGTTGCAAATTTGAAATGTGGATCAGTTTTCCATGCCTAAACGCGGCACGTAACAGAGCAGCGATGGAGGATAGACTGATCACTCTCAATATAGCAAACCCAAGTAACTGTCCATAAAAATAAAAATTATGAACAGGTTGCAAAGGGCTGCACGCGGATAATCATTTTTAGGTATTTAATGAGTCAGTAGAAAATGATTGCCAAACTTAAAAAAAATTGATTGGATTTGGTGTTTGTAAATTGAACCACGTTAAGAGGTTTTGCATAATGTTTGAAATTTTCTTATCAAACTACTTGTGAAAAATTAGGCTGATAGTTCACTGATCAAAATTCTAAATCGAGTCGGTAGTTCACAGTTCTGCCTCAATTTAAGCTTTGAAAGTGGCCCGGTTTTTTTTTTAAATTGGAAATTTGAAAGGCTGGCTTTTACCCTCGCAGCATTCACTTGTTAGGCTCATATTTCTTCACGTTGTAACATTTCAATTTTCCAGTCATTCGAAGCAAACTGGAAAGCTCACCGGAAAGTCGTCATTGCCTTCTGCAAAGGGGTATTCGATTTCCGACCAACTTCCGGAGTTAGTGTGGAATTTCCTTTCATGTCCGCGGCTCCCAGCGTGGCAATCAAAGAATTTATACTCATACTCGAATCGGACAAATTTCCAGCAGTTATTGGTCTCGTTGCTCCAAGCGGAGTGGCTCTCACCACAGCTGTCAACAGCTTCTCCTGGTCCACGCCCGAAGATTCCCCCGAATTCACTGAAATTAGATAAACAAGTCTATATCATAATGAGGCACTTCGGCGAAAAATGCTTTGATGTATCAAGCAAAATTGCACGGTTGAGGTATTTCATTTTTTTTTTAGTTCGAAGGCGTACCGCCCCAGTTACTAATTTTTCCGTGAGTCTTAAAATGTGTATCAGTTTTCCATGCCTATACGCGGCACGTAACAGAGCAGCGATGGAGGATAGACTGATCACTCTCAATATAGCAAACCCAAGTAACTGTCCATAAAAATAGAAATCATGAACAGGTTGCAAAGGGCTGCACGCATAGAACAGTACTGTGCTCTACAATTTTTTGGAATTTAATGAGTTCGTGGCATCGGTGTAGCTTAGAATAAATTACTGTACGTGAGACTGGGTTACATTTATATTTTAGATTAGAATATTGTCACGGCTACGTTGTTTCAGGTTCATATCATCTATTGGGTCAGCAAGGAAGGGAAAAATTTCCGAATATTTCAATTCGTTAACTGCGGAGTCAAAGAACTAAAAATAAATTTTCTCTTTTCAATTTTCCGTACACAATATGAAATACGTAGACGACGAATCCAAGAGAAAGCTCAAGTACGCTTCAACAAAGGTCAAGGATGTATGACTGAGTAAACACTTCACATGGGGTTTTCCATAATTGAACATGATGACCCACCCTGAGATCCATGAGATCCCTGTTGCCCGGGATGTAGATGATGATTCCTGAACAAGCCTACAACGGCATTTTTTGATTGAAAACCAGCTCCTCGCAACAGCAAGGCCCCTGTGACTTCATGTCGCCAAGTGAAGCATGGAAATCGCGCCTGACGATAAAGTCTTGCCAATCGTCTGATGGAATCATCGCTCATGCTTTCAGGAACAACGACTGCTGCAGGGTAGCTGTAAAAAGAATGAAAATATGTTTTTATCTAAAAATATTTCCTCACACAACGCCACACATTTTTGGTCACTTGAGACGAATCCCACAAAATTTAGCCGCCTAATTTTCAACAAAAGATCCTCTCACCTATGCGTAACTTTGTAATGCGCATTAACGCTTGTCAAGCGGAATCCATCCATCAGCTCTAGAAAACGCTTGAAGTCTTTGACGTATCTTCGATCAGACAGNAAATTAGGCTGATAGTTCACTGATCAAAATTCTAAATCGAGTCGGTAGTTCACAGTTCTGCCTCAATTTAAGCTTTGAAAGTGGCCCGGTTTTTTTTTTTTTTAATTGGAAATTTGAAAGGCTGGCTTTTACCCTCGCAGCATTCACTTGTTAGGCTCATATTTCTTCAAGTTGTAACATTTCAATTTTCCAGTCATTCGAAACAAACTGGAAAGCTCACCGGAAAGTCGTCATTGCCTTCTGCAAAGGGGTATTCGATTTCCGACCAACTTCCGGAGTCAGAGTGGAATTTCCTTTCATGTCCGCGGCACCCAGCGTGGCAATCAAGGAATTTATACTCATACTCGAATCGGACAAATTTCCAGCAGTTATTGGTCTCGTTGCTCCAAGCGGAGTGGCTCTCACCACAGCAGTCAACAGCTTCTCTTGGTCCACGCCCGAAGATTCCCCCGAATTCACTGAAATTAGATAAACAAGTCAATATCGTAATGAGGCACATCGGCGAAAAATGCTTTTATGTATCAAGCAAAATTGCAAGGTTTAAGTATTTCATTTTTTTCTAGTTCGAAGGCTTACCGCCCTAGTTACTAGTTTCCTCGTGGGTCTTAATATGTGTATCAGTTTTCCATGCCTATACGCGGCACGTAACAGAGCAGCGATGGAGGATAGACTGATCACTCTCAATATAGCAAACCCAAGTAACTGTCCATAAAAATAAAAATCATGAACAGGTTGCAAAGGGCTGCACGCATAGTACAGTACTGTGCTCTACAATTTTTTGGAATTTAATGAGTTCGAGGCATCGGTGTAGCTTAGAATAAATTACGGTACGTGAGACTGGGTTACATTTATATTTTAGATCAGAATATTGTCACGGCTACGTTGTTTCAGGTTCATGATCATCTATTAGGTCAGCAAGGAAGGGAAAAATTTCCGAATATTTCAATTCGTTAACTCCTCAGTTTCTTGATTTTTATTTAAAAGAGAAAAGTTAAAAGGCATGTGTTATACTTTATGCATCTGCTGCTTAGGTTCTCTTTCGAGTTCATGCGAAGTTGTTTCCAGTTCCTACATACTGACTCAAAACACTTCACATGGGGTTTTCCATAATTGAACATGATGACCCACCCTGAGATCCATGAGATCCCTGTTGCCCGGGATGTAGATGATGATTCCTGAACAAGCCTACAACGGCATTTTTTGATTGAAAACCAGCTCCTCGCAACAGCAAGGCCCCTGTGACTTCATGTCGCCAAGTGAAGCATGGAAATCGCGCCTGACGATAAAGTCTTGCCAATCGTCTGATGGAATCATCGCTCATGCTTTCAGGAACAACGACTGCTGCAGGGTAGCTGTAAAAAGAATGAAAATAAGTTTTTATCTAAAAATATTTCCTCACACAACGCCACACATTTTTGGTCACTTGAGACGAATCCCACAAAATTTAGCCGCCTAATTTTCAACAAAAGATCCTCTCACCTATGCGTAACTTTGTAATGCGCATTAACGCTTGTCAAGCGGAATCCATCCATCAGCTCTAGAAAACGCTTGAAGTCTTTGACGTATCTTCGATCAGACAGCTTGTCAAGTGTCTTCTGGTCGCTATTGAAATTCGGGAATGCTGATGCAAAAGTCCCACCGGTTCCTCTTCCTTTCACTTCTCCATCTTCAACACCTGGAACAAATAATCTTTGATTAAATAATATTCATGCGAAAAAAAGACCAATGCCACCGTTAAGATGAAGGCAGAAAAAACACCTTATGATAAAGAAAATACAATAAATCGGAGAATTTTCTTCCCAATTCAAAGAATAAATAAAATAAAATTCGAACTCTTCATACCAGACATATCATCGTCTTCGTCCAGATTCTCCATGCTTTCATTCGCAGAGTTCACGTAGCTTACGGAAGAACCTCCGACACTTGCTTGTGAAGACACCGGCCCACTTGGCATTTGTGGTAAAGGCCGATCAAAAAAGAAGCTGCCGAAGAATGACCATTCCGGTCGAAAAACACGCCAGAAGTTCTAACAGAAGAACCGTTAAGGAGACAGGACATGAAAATAAAATTTTTCGAGAGCTCCGAGCAAAATGCATACATTCAATTTAATCTTATAATTAGTTGACCCCGAATCGTCATTGTCATTGAATTTCGGTGCCACCTTAATTTCATGCTGTTATCTTTAGTCAGATCCGATATCTAGCTGCCACCTGCATGACGTTCCAGAAATCCAATAAATTACTGTCAGCGGCTCTGGCACGAACTAGAATTACTCAATTAGCACTGAATGAAGGCACCACAAATAAATACCCTCGACTGAAAGTAAGTAAGAGGACAAGCCTACACATGAGATAAAACAGCAGAAATGTGCATCAGTTTTCCATGCCTATACGCGGCACGTAACAGAGCAGCGATGGAGGATAGACTGATCACTCTCAATATAGCAAACCCAAGATAACTGTCCATAAAATTGAAAATCATGAACAGGCTGCAAAGGTCTGCACTTCAAACAACGTTTTCTGTATTTCCCCCTTATTCACTCACCTGAGCGTGGCATTCTTACTGGCATCCTTCGCCGCTTGATTATGAAAACTCATAGGCACACGAACACTTCTGTGGCCGGGTGAACCGTAAACACCATTTCCGGCTAGTTTTTTCTTCGACGGCTTCTTACTGGTAAGGCCAGCTTTTTGTGCGGTCTTCAAGATTGTCTTCTTGGCAATTCCTCTGTAGACATAAAAAGAAAATTTTTCGAGAGCTCCGAGCAAAATGCATACATTCAATTTAATCTTACAATAAGTTAACCCCGAATCCGTCATAGTCATTGAATTTCGGTGCCACCTAAATTTCATGCTGTTATCTTTAGTGTTAGTCAGATCCGATATCTAGCTGCCACCTGCACGACGTTCCGGAAATCCAATAAATTACTGTCAGCGGCTCTGGCACGAACTTGAATTACTCAATTAGCACTGAATGAAGGCACCACAAATAAATACCCTCGACTGAAAGTCAGTAAGAGAACAAAAAACCTACATATGAGATAAAACAGCAGAAATGTGCATCAGTTTTCCATGCCTATACGCGGCACGTAACAGAGCAGCGATGGAGGATAGACTGATCACTCTCAATATAGCAAACCCAAGATAACTGTCCATAAAAATGAAGATCATGAACAGGCTGCAAAGGTCTGCACTTCAAACAACGTTTTCTGTATTTCCCCCTTATTCACTCACCTGAGCGTGGCATTCTTACTGGCATCCTTCGCCGCTTGATTATGAAAACTCATAGGCACTTGAACATCGGAGAAGCAAAAGAGAGAAAACGGAGTTTCTGGTAATCGCAGCTGCATCAGCTTCTTCCTGAAGGCTTCTCCTTTGTCTACTGTAACTTCTGTATCGAATCCCAATTTCAGCAACTATAGGTAACGAACAACAAAATGTCATCAGAAGCTTTCGTTCATGATCGGGAAAAAGCTGAATGTTAGACTTAACCTGAAAGACTGCTGATCGAATCTGGACACCTTCTTGCAATAACGACTCTTCGTTAGACAAATACTGAACCCCTAATTTCTTCTCCTTGGTCACTGTCATCAGTGGAATGGACCTCAAGACGTTTTGTTCACATGCTGAGAAGGAAATGAAAAACAAATACTGAAACCTCCCCGTCGTTGAATAAAATTAGCGAGCAGTATTTACCAGCTGGATCACATGGTGCGCCTTTGAAGATGACGCGGTAATTGGTTAAAAATATAGCTCCTTCCGCAGGTACATAAACTGTTCCAGGAAGAGTACCAAGTTCATCTCTTCCATCAGGTAATAAATACGCCCGCAGGCTCTCGAACATCAGTTGTTCTCCAGGTATGAACCGCGGCGCAACAACTTCAGGCTGTAGAAAATTGTGATAAGCAGGTTCAATACGATCCACGAACAAATCACAATGCTGTCGTCCTAACACTAGCCACTTTGAAAAAATGAAAATAAATTCCAGGAATTTTAAAATTTAAAAATCATGGGGATGAGCATATGAGAGAACGGTTGTATTCAGTCCTCATATACTTGATGAGAAACCCCGTAAAGTTGAGGACAGGCTTACAAAGCGAAGATTTTACTAAAGCTTTCATTTGTGACGAGCAGATGACGCCTCCTTTTTACAACAGGTTTTCATATCATGTATATATTTTACTTTGTGGGATAAATGTTTCCATTAACACGTTAATTTGCATCTGTTATGAAAGAGGTTTTTAAAAATATTGTTCACTGTGACCTGCAAGGACTCTCCACCCCTACAATGTGGCCCTCGTCTACATATGAGTTGGGCAGCACGGCTATAAGCAAATAAAATCAAGTTTCAAAAATATAATTTGTTATTCTTGCTGCAGCCGAGTTTCAAAATATTTGAAAATACAGTATTCCCAAAATAGGGTAAGTGCTCCAATAAATGCCAGGTCTGGCTCATTTCTAATAACCGCTGGGCCTCGCAGGGGTTCAAGGGAATCGTAGCCAACCTCAAGTAGTGGGTGGGTTGAAGAAAGCAGGGGGGAGTTGCAGGAAATCTGGAGAATTTTCATCTTTTCCACAATCTATTCTTGAACACTGAACAAAGAAACCCTGTCCTTTCGCCTTTTCTTATGCATTCCTGTCTCATTTCCAAAAATTAGTGGGAAATCCCAAGGTTTTCTTTTTTACGATTTTCCCCTAGTGTTTTTCCCCGTTTTTATTTTCACACAAGCAACTGTTGAGAATCATTTCCAGCCTCTAATAGACGCTGGTCTCTATAAAACGCCGGAAGAAAATACTGTACTTCTACTTCGAATAAACAACGGGTCGTTTAATGGAGCATATACAGTAAATTGAATAAAAAATATTTACAACTGAAACCTGATCTCATCTAAACGAATCTAGAAAAACTGGGCAAACCTTTCGTATGGGCGGCAAGCGCTTTGACTCTCTATTGACCATCTCCATCTCCTCCATGTGCATGGCGACAACGAGTCTAACATTTTCGTGCAATGCTGTTATGTGGTCCGCACTCACGCCGCCTTCATTGCATACCTTGTCTATGAACCTTCCCACGAACCGAATCGTGACCTCGGGAATCTCCGAATCTTCAAACCCCGATTCCGCCACACTGTCACTTTCTGGTACGCTGACGAAAAAAAAAATCCGTAATTCTAGGAAAACCTTGGCTACGAAAATAGAAGCTTAATTCTGAATTTCACGACGAGAAACTTTGTTGACTTTATTCAACTCGACCTTCGCCTACCTACAGGTAATTGATTTTGCGAATCTATTCTCATCCACTCCAGAATTTTCGGTTAAGCTGAAATTTCGCTTATCTGTTATTAATCATTCATGAAAGATGAAACAATATTCAAAATTTAAAGCTAAGTCACGTTCAAGGCAAACCGAAGATCGTACGTTTTTATTTTAGTCACAATTGAACCATAACAAAAGATTCCTCAGGAAAAAAAAACTCTGAGCATACTCATTGTTAGGGCATTCAATCTCAAAAATAAGTTTTTTTTTAGATTTGAACATTGTCATTATTGATGCTTCAGATCATGCCGATCTCACGATACCGTAACGAAGGATTCCTGAGGAAAAACTGTGAGCGAATTTATTTCTCAGGGCAGTCAATCTCAAAAATAAGTTTTTAATGCTTGGAAAAATGTTCAAATCTCATTATTGATGTTTCAAGTCATGTAAATCTTGAGATACCGTAACAAAGGATTCCTCAGGAAAAAACTTGAGCAAAATCATTCGTCAGGGCATTCAATCTGAAAAAGAATTTTCAAAATTTGGAAATTTCATAATTCTCATTAATGACTTTACACAACAAATTAAACTCAAGATTCCATCAACGCATAAAAAAGCCTCGCAATGATTTGTTATTCCCTGTGCCGCTGTGCGTCATCGAAAAAAAGTTTGATTCCGTTGACACGAGCTTCACGAACCTGTTGGCAAGACTGTGGCCGTCGAAGTCTGGGTCCGACGGATGGCTGACCCTGGACGAATTCCGAACGTCGACCAAACGTTGCGCAGATGAATCCAACGGCACTCTCATGTACACAAGCCATTGCATAAACTGACTGGCCTGAGAATAAAGAGTCGATTCCTCATCGTGCTGCAGATTCTCCAACTCTTCTGTGGATTGAAAATGCGAAGGAAAAATAAATCGGTATCGTATACTGTATTAAGCAACATTGTTCATGCTTCATTCCAAACACTTTCGCGTACAGTATTTTGGAAATTAGCCTTTCAGAAAAATCTCTACGGAAACACGGTACAACGATAAACACAAGAGGTGAATAAACATGTAAACAGACCTTCTGGAGGCATTTAAGCAGGTATTCAACACAAAATATCCTACAGTATTTTATTCGAGCAGAAAGGACTCAATGGCGAACAATTCCTGGAATATCTACCTGGAGTACGGTTGACTTTCTGCCTCATCTGATCGGCAGCTATTTCTAGAGCGCTGGGTTCGCTCAACACATTTCCTTCATGCGTGTACTGCGAAAAAGAACAATAAATAAATAAAATAATGATTTGGATAAAGGAACTGGAAAAAATATTGCTTTGAAAAATCGCTATAACATTTCAGGCATCCAACGTAGATTTGAAAATGGAAATATGGCAAATATACTAGCACCAAAACGTTTTAAAACACAGGACTAAAACTACCTAAAATAGTCAACAAACCTTTCGTTGCAAAGGCGATGTAGGACGTGGTCTGAAAGGCTTGTACAATGATTTTATCTGCCTTTCCACTTCTTGGTAGTATGCAGTTTCCCAGAACTGCAACTTCTCCCAGATTTTGTGACTCTACATTCAAAAGCAAAAAAAAGGTCAAGGGTGTTGGTAATAAAAACTAGTACTCTGTAGTTATCAATGAACCAGTAGATTCTCTCAAATCATTATATTCATCGCCCTGATGAAGCCATACAGTTGCGACATCATGGGAGAAATGATCAAATTAATTCAAATTTATTTTCTTTTTCATGGTGCCTCAAACTGTTCAGGGGATATCCATGCATAAAAAATGGTCTACTTTTTCCGGGTCCACCTCGCACATACTGTAACTTATAGCTCACCTGGATACATGTAAACGCGAATTGGTAAACACGCGGACTCAATTTGCGGCAGAAGGAGATAGACAACGGAAGTAGAGCGGCTGCAACAGCATTCTCATCAGCCGGTACAGCATCCTAATTAAAGAAATGGAGAAAAGTTCCATTGATTCGTTCCCCTAAATATGGCTCAAATAATGTGGAAAAATAGACAGTCAGACCCTGATTTAGTGCCACTGTTTGTCCTGTCATATTTTGTGGCACTAATCAAGGGAGGCACTAAATCAAGGTTATAGTATGAGAGAGAGGTCCAGTTCAGGGTTTTCATCATAGAAAAAACGAAGCTTTTTTACAGAATTTTTAGGTCATTAAAGGTGTTTTATAAGAGAAAAAGCTACGTAAGGTAAATTAATGTGAAGAAAACATAAACGAAAAATGAACCCAAGGGAAACACGATTACGCATTCCACATGTGTATCAGATACTGCATAGGTTATTCGAGAAGCTTCACTCACCCACAGCGCGCAATTCATCAGGTGTACAACGAGGTCGAATTGCTGGTGATCCAGTTCCACCTTTGTGCTAACAACGTGCGCAGCGAGCTCTTCGCATAATGCCAAACGGGCGGATTTGCTTTTCAAGGCACGCAATACGGCAGGGCAAATCTTCCTCGCATCAGCTGTTCTGTTTTCGAATATCCACCTCACGCAATTCCTCAAAACCTGTCAACGACGACAGATTTTTTTCTTCGTTCGGAAATTGGAATGAGTACGTCTACCAAAACCTCACCTCCAATCTCCTGGCGGAATTCGTAACCAATGGCTGAGAATCCGACGAACTTGAAACCACCGGTCCCATCGGTACAATTCGAGGAGATCTAGGAATTCCAGTCGGGATTCTACTGCTGAAAAATCAAAACACATTGCACGTATTGATTCACAACTTTAATCTACAAGCCCCGTGAATACATTTATTGATAACAAGCTCGGGAATTTAATACACAGGTAGACTCTCTTACAGCGATTTTGTCCACACTACAGTATACAGAATCACATTTTTCCTGGTCCAATGGATGCCCCGTAGCCATTATATAGGGGTTCCCTAAAAACAAAATTCGTCGACAGGGAAATTTTTCTGGTCCCCTGAATTTCGTTGTAGAGGGAGCCCACATGGAAAAATAATTAGTGAACTGTGAAACAGCTTGAAACCAGTGTTTTACCCATAAATTCTCCAGAAGATCTTACTTTTTCCTTCCCGGCGAAGCCTTCTGACCCTCGCGAATGATTTCCGCAATTTTAGCTCCATTTAGGGTCGGGAAAGTTGGCTGATAAATTCTGTTGGCAGCTCCTTCCGTCAGTCGGGGAATGTTTTGAACGTAGGGCTGAGGATTCGGATGCTCGTGATTGTACAACTGCTCTGCAAGGTCCTGCAATAAAGAATAAAATAAATGTAAAAAATAAACCTAAAAATTGGGGAATCAAAATTTGATCACATTGAAACCAAATAGAAATGTTTCGTTTTCTGCTGTTTCCATGCCACGTTACATCCTGGACACGTGAACCACAGAATAAGAGCGAAGATTGAACTAACTTTTATGTGAACGTATGCCATTTGTGCGTCTTGGTTTTCTAGCCGTTGCCAATCGTTCAGGGTTGAATACACTTCGTCCCAAATGTCAGTCGATCGCCAAGGTGGTCCCCGTTCTTGCACGAATGAAGTAAAGAACATTCTTTCTACCAGCTTCGTCATGAAAGGACAGTTGAACAAATTTTTTTGTCCCAGAAATGCAGCCTGAAAAAAGGAAGTCAAGTTCTCAATAAAAACACGAAACAATTCAATTCCCAAATAATTCAACGCGTAGTACCCATTTTTGTAATACAGTACAAGTACAGTATAAGAAAATGGTTGTTTTAATTTCAACATTTCCTTAAGGTGAAAGTGTATATTACTAGCCCAAATAAATTATCCAACCCAAAATCCAACTAGCCCACGACTGGAAAAAAAATCGCGAAGTAACAGATTAGCGAATCAACTAACCTTGTCAAATTCGATCACGGGTTTTGGTTGTATCCGAATAATAGTCAAACAAGAGCGGTACCCCTGCAGTAGCCTAGCAAAAATTCGCATGAAGACAGCACGGATTTCCTTATCCAAAATTTCTCCGCACGGATTTCCGAGGCGAGTACGTGAACCACTAGAACTCGAAAATGACGGCGGAATTATCGCAGTCGTGCTTCCGGCGTTCGGAAAAGCCAAATCCGCCGAATTAAGGTCGGGATGCAAAAGCCTACTCAAAGTATCTCGCGTCTCACTCAAGAAAGGCTCAGGAAGTAAAGGCACACTGTCCAGCATAGACATTGCTCCGCCATCCAGGTCAACTACCACCACGTCATTCTGCGAAAAAATCAATTTGAAACTAAATGTATCAACTTTTTTCACAAAGCAAAAAAAAAAACTTACCAGTTCGTTCAACTCGGATCGCAATGATGAGTGTATCCCAATTAGGAAAGGCGTTGGAGTCTCCAAAACTTCCAAAACCGATACGGGTACAACAGGTATATACACGTGATTGTAGCGAAAAGGAAACATGAGTGCAACCAGAGCATGACACGCCTCAGTCAACCGATTTAAGCTTGACGAATGAAACAGAATTTTGTGCTCCGTCAGGGCAGCGCATAAAAGATGAATGGTGTTCCGTATTCCTAAAAAAGGAAATAAATATCATTTCCTCGGTTGCCACTATCAAACGAATACTACAGTATTATTGTGCATGCTGTTAATCTCACATTCGAGTTCACCACAAAATAAGAAAGGAGATATGAAAAATTTTAACAATTGCCCATCCCCGCTTCGATTTTTACAAATTGAAATAATGTACTTTACTGTAAATTAAACCAGATAAATCGGGAGTTATAAGAATCGAACCGAAGACAAGAGTTTTATTTATCTGTCTCCCTTTTCCACAGGCAGATACGTCAAAATAATTTTCAAGTATTCAGTCCGGAGTCGAAAATAAACTCACCGAGTTGACTGAATAGTTGGGCGATCCAACAGTGTGTTACCGGCACATGAGAGAACAGCGGTGGTTGAAGGCTTTGACGATCTCCAGCTCCAATAGAAAACCTAATTTCTGGGCCGCCAGGAGGTGGTACGGTAACGCAGCACAGAATGTTGCCCACGACTGTCTCGAGTTCAATATCTTTTGACTCAAGACAAACGGCATACAAAATTCCCAGGCAGTTCTAAAAAAATTTTTAAAAAACCTTTCGTACATACTCGATCATCACGCAAATTCAGGAACAACTCACCTTGAAAGTTGAGAAATAATCTACCCTTGACACAAGTACAAGGCACTTGGGTGCATACATCAGAGTAGGTGAACCATTCTCTCTATTCTCGCTCTCGACGCAATAATCGAGAAACCCTCGACCACAAAAGCCTGGTGATGACGTGCCATCAACGCCATCTTCATCCTAAAGAATTTATTTTCGAATACTGTTCATGGCATCACGTACATCAAACCAACAGGTATTCAAACTTACATCGTCCACTGATTGAGGAGACTTCAATTGCACAGGTTCATGAAAGCAAAGACACGCAAAATAATGCCAGTGACCATCTTCCCCAGTTAGGACAGACGCGAAGAAAGTCGGGGCACAACGGTAGGATTTCAACCTCCATCCCAACGGTTGAACCATCTGAATGCGGTAACCTCGAAGACATGATTTACCGTTTAAAAGAGTCTTGATTATCAACACTCACCAAAGCAACACCTTCATTGAAAGGTACGTCAGCCCAATCCCTTTCCGGAAATCGTTGAAGAATTTTACCCCTGCTCCTCACAGAACCTTCAAAAAATGTTTGGAATTCAGCTCAACAGACTTCAGATAAATCAAAATCACCATATAACTTACGGTCACAGTTCTGATCAAATCCAACGATGATGAAGTAGTCTACCAAGCGATTCATCTTGCACACTTAGAGGCGGGTAAGGCACACGATGAACCAGAAATACAGATGACGAGCGAGAAGCACGGTCGAAAATTTCCCGTGAACTGTCACATTTTCCTCAATCAACCACGTACACACAGTTCATAATGCCTGCTTGACGCACAAGCATGTATGCAACAAGAACTGTCGGTCAGCGTACACGTAGCTCTGATTCATAATTATCAGGAACAAAGAAACTCGTTGACGATAATCCTCCTTCGGCACTGGCGAATTATGGACCCAAGGCTTACGAAAGCAGGGTTTCCACAGATCTGACCGGGATGAAAGAGCTTGAAGGAAAGCAAAGAACGCTTCATTACAATGACAGTACAGTACTGTACAACGGAAAATGCGGATGAAGCAGCATCTGTACTCCAGCATATTTCCCATATAATAAGTAGTACAGTACAGTATTTTTGCTGCTAATGCCTAGCTATTCTCTAACTAATTTGACAAGTTCGGGAAGGAATGCTGGAACCCGATTAGAAGCAGCATCTGTACTCCAGCATATTTCCCATATAATAAGTAGTACAGTACAGTATTTTTGCTGCTAATGCCTAGCTATTCTCTAACTAATTTGACAAGTTCGGGAAGGAATGCTGGAACCCGATTACAAAATGAATTGATCTATTCCAATTAAAACGAGAACCATACATGAGCTTGAGCGAATTTCAGGTACAGGGTGAATAGATAACGGAAACTGTATTTGCTGCTGCTCACCTTCATATCCACGTTGAACTTGAAAACAAATAAACAGCACTGTAATTAAGATCTGCGTGCAACCTTCTCATGATGGACAAAAACATGCATCTGTATATGTATTTATAATATAATATCCTTACTAATTTTCCCAATGTTCTAAAAATGTGCAATGCCATGGGTACTCAACAAATTTTCGAAGCTACAGATTAGGTCCTGCACAGCAACCATCTGGGCATTATGAAAATCTTTGGGCAAGGGTGCACCCGTTGAGTGAGTCATAAGTTGACCCATTCAGATCATGAAACCATTATACCAGCCTGCCAATATAACACCCATTATAGACTTCTGAAGCTTTGCCAAGAATTTCAGAACTTGGGTCCATGTACACATATGCATTGCAATAAATAATGCACCTTCCCTCTCATGCATCATGTTGTTGGCAAATGTACAGTACATGCATCTCATCAATTACGAAGAAAAGCAAAATACGGCGCTTTCCCCGGAATGAACTTTCATTTCCACACGCAATCCTCAGCATTACACAAGATCTTCAAGCATTCCAAGGAAACACATCTGGTACAACGTCCACTTCGCGAATCCAGAACTTTCGGCGACTAGTTCAACGGAAGTCATAATCAGCTCAAAAAAAAGGAAAAGATTTCGTTTGAGCAGTCGAAAGAAAGTGCATATGAAAAAAAACTTAATTTGATTTTCAATGCAGAACATTCAGGCTCATCCCTTCTGCGACGAACAAGCGGTCGAAGATTTCGAGCTCATCAAATCACATATACTTTCTTCGAATCTCCGACCGCATAATCAGTAGAACAGGTTGAATCAGATCAGATTACAATGAAAAAAAAGAAACAAACGATTTCGTTCAATTATGAAAATTTGGACAATGTGAATTGAAGCCCGGATTCGAAGGTCGGGGTTATACTAGATTGTATCATTTGCGTTTTTTCAGATTATCAGTTTAAGCAACATCAATAACACTGGTATTTTGAAAAAAATTTTAACGCTTGTATACATTCTCTAGAGATGTGAAGGCTTTATTAAATACTGGCGTCACCTGTTCGTTTTTGCTTGCGCGACTATACCGAGAAAGTTAATAACGTCTTTATTAAGCCTTACTATGCTCTCTAATTCATACTTCGTCAACTCCACGGACTAGAAAATGTCCTCAATCTTCGCTCGACGGAAATCCATAAAATACTACAGTAGTTATTAACCTTTTACCAACCTTCTGAGCGGCCGAAGAATTAAATTATTTTTTTAATACTTCATTAACATATCGGAAAAATTCACCATCACGCATCAAGGGCTATATATTAGCGCATCCCGTGCCTTAGAAATCTACATTGTTGAAAAATTAACGCAAAAAACCAACAACCAGTTCCAAAAACCTGAATGACGAAGTCGTCAATTTCTTTCGCATTTTTCCCACAAAAAAGGGAAGGATTTTCCCGCCACGAAGCTCGTCTTTCAAAAATCCCCCAAACAGCTTTAACAGACATAGCATCGCGGAGAAAAAAACATCATCACACCCGATCATAAAAATAAAAACAAAACACAACAGGAAAATGTACATAATTCGCGAACGAAACCATAAAGACATCATCATCATCGTTCGATTGCAGCAGACTCACTTTTTCTTTTATCAAGATCGTGGAACGCCAACGTGCAGATTCAGATTTCTCAACTAAAAAGTAAAACGATTCTTTTTTTATGCCTTTTCTTAAACGGATTCCAGACATTGACAAAACGTGAAAAAAAAACAAAACCTGATTTCGAAGTCCAGAAATGCTTTTACAGCGGAAGAATTGATTCCGAATTTTGCACTAATGCTACGAACAATTTGCAGGTCTTTAAACAGCGCCTGTCAAACAAGTTTTACAAAGCAAAAGGGAAGAGTTTTAAACTAATGGTGATTAAAATGCACTAAAACTAACACTCTCAGCTGTCTTTTTTTTTATAATTTCATAAGCAGCATTAGAACGAGAAAAAAAATTTTCCAAGTAACCTAAATAACCAGCCCGCGTAATTGTCCAACACTGATCGAGAAACAGCTTCGCACTGAGCACAGGTACTGTTTCGTACTTGCGTTGTTTTCAGACAGTTTCAGCTGTCCGGACAGGCAAAAAAAAAATATGTGCCGGATGCGTCAACGGATGTCAGTGCAGTACAGTACAGTTGGCTGCCCACGAATGGTGGTACGATACAGTACGTAATTGAACGGCAACTGCAATCACTGTCAAAATAGCGTGAACATTTTATCACCCGAATAAATCAGACGCCGGAGGAAGTCGGATGTCCACTTTCGTCTCCTTGGTCAAGTCCGGCAAGCTCTGGAAATGATTCTTAACTTCCATTTCCACCTGTTCAGCCTTGGCGAGCAGCGAAGAGTGCTCCACAAAGGCCTCCTCTAAACGGTCTCTGTTCATTTTTAAATAATGAATGTAATTCACTATCATTTGCCGAAGGTCCCGTCGCTGTTCAATTTCCGCAGCTAGTTTCTTGTTGTAATCCACGAGGATTTTGAGTGCGTCTTCAATGGCGACTCGCAAGGACCTGGCCGCGGCTTTCGTGTCCAGCTTGGTTACGCTCGCCGGATCTGATATGTGCGCGGGGAATTTCGATATGCGTTCTCGCATGGCTTTGTCCGCGGATGCCGAGTTTTCCAGGTTTCGTAAACAATCCAACAACTGGTTCGTGGTTGGGGGCGGAGACCCGTCGGGTTCGCAGGGCGTCGTTTCCACTTCGTCCACGTCCAGCTTCTTTCTCTTGGCCGCCACCGCGGGCGACGCGACGGACTTATGGCTGGGTTCCGTCGTTGTCGTCGTCGTCGTCGTCGTCGCCGGCGTAGGGACAGGAGATCTTTTGCCACCGGTCTTGGGTTTCCACATGTGCACCAAGGACTCCGTGAGTTTTTTGTCGAAGATGCTTCGCTCTTTCCAGATGTTCAAGAGACGAGCAATGGAAGAGACGGTGTTGGGTTCAAGGTGCACGTTCAGGAGGGACTTGAGCGCTTGCGGCATTAGTTTTCCGAATTCGTTCGTGAATTCCTGGCCACGTTTCTTCGAATTTTGGACCACATCGTTCGCCAAGTACAAGAATGTCAGTTTACGATTTGGTAATACAGGAGGGACTTGAGCGCTTGCGGCATCAGTTTTCCGAATTCGTTCGTGAATTCCTGGCCGCGTTTCTTCGAATTTTGGACCACATCGTTCGCCAAGTACAAGAATGTCAGTTTACGATTTGGTAATGCTGAAAAAAAACCGAACCCCCAAGTGATAATTTGGGTTTTAAATAATTTTCAGAACAAATTCTGAATTTTCAATACAGTTTAATTTTGAATTGCCGTTGTTTGAGTGCTTCAACAGCAAAAAAAAAAAGGGGGGCCCAATTTTTCAGATTTCGCCATCTGCTTATATTGTTCAACAGCTTATACTGTACATAAAAAAAAAATGTCAGCAAAAATCGAAAATACATGAATGAGAATGACACAGGAAAAGTCAGAAAACAGTTCGGGAATATTCAACACATTTTAATTGACCACAATTGATGAGAAATTCAAATTCCTACAAATTTCGAAAAAGAAAATTTGTTGATGCCCAGGTGAGGCGGGCACTTCCACCTTGTTTGCAATAAAGCGAGTCCCCGCATAACGAAAAATCCGGAAAGCGAAAATTTTTAGGAAAGCCATGACTCAGATTAGAAAAAGATTTTACTTGAAGCTTTTTTCTGCACGAAATTCACAATAAACTTTGAGCTGGAACTTGAGAATTTTTCAAAATTCAAGAAAAAAATGTGGTCTTCTGTGCTTAAAATTTTAGAAATTCGGAGCGTTATGAGCAAGATTTGCCAGAATTATACTTCGATCTCACCCTACTCAATATTAGATTCAAAATTGTCTGCTGACAAAAAATTCGATGATTGATTATCATGGAATTCTGATGATTGGCTGGAACCAAATTATATGAAATACTATGTGATCTTGAGGAAGAACTCGCTCCATGCAACTAAAATTCGGCAAAACGAAAATCTATCAGAAACTGATTAGTTAACTGATCAGTCAGAAACTGACTTGGGGACCCATTTTAACTTCGAAAGAACCAAGAAACAAAAATAAACGAGTACCGTACTTTATTTCGTCGACTGAATCCGAAAAAAAAATCGCACGTAATTCGTAGAATTTACCAAAAAATCCGTGTATTTTTAATGCAGCTAAAACGAAGCCCTAAATCAGAAAATCTTTCAATTCACCTCTGCTCAGTTCCCGGAGCCACACTTGAAATTGCGGCTTCTTCTTCAGACATCTCCTGTGGCTCAGCTTCTGAAATATATAAACATGAATCCTTGAAAGTCCTGAAATTTACTTCACCAACAGCAATGCAATACTGTACTATGATGTACTATAGACGTGGTTGGTGAAACGGAAGTCGGCCGATTTTCAACAGGTCTCTTAGAACAGTTGTACATACTACAGTACCAATGAACTACGGTACAATTATTTTCTCTGTATAAAGATTTTATGTTGTTATTTATTGGTATTTTTCATTTATTTATAATTTTCAATTTTTTATTTTATTCTTATTTTGGCTTTTATCTTCATATTTTAGGGGTTCGCTCGAACAAAATTCTCCCTACAACGAATTTTTTTGGGGCCTTCGAATTTTGTTGTAGAGAGAGCCCACCTGTATTTTGTTCCGAAGATTCAGTTGGATTGGGCCAACTACCATGATCATTAATAACCCACGATAAAGAAAGAACAGCCACATGATTTTTCACGTTTTCGTTCTCATCCTGCCAATTATCCTATTCCAAAGTACCGTAAATGCTCCAATAAACGCCCCGGCGTTCATTTAAAATTTTCTAGTTTTTTAATGTAACAAACGGAGAAGAAAAAAGGGAAAACAGGATCTCAAGAAGATGAATAAGGGGGGAAAGCTTGAATTTGCGATTATTAATTAGAAACTGAGACAAGAATGCTGCATGAAATGCTGAGGTGCTCAAGACTGTCCACACTGCCCTCCCAGTTTATCACCTTTCCTAATAATAGTTGTTCTTTTAAGGGCATTAAAAAACAGGGCTGTTATGCATTTACTTAGTTATGAACCCCAGATGCCTTCAAGCGTCAACAAAGATGAACATTTAATCGGGACAACGTTTTTCTCACGCAATAGGTGCGCAGAAAAAAAATGTTAGAATACTTTTTGCCTCGATGATATTGTCAAATTATTTTCTGTACTATTGAATTATTCATAAAAAATGCGGAAATCGGGTTACATTTCACTAATCCACAAGAAAAATTCGGCGAAAGTCTGTGTCAAAATGCGAATCAATTCAAAATTGATTACATTTAAAATACTGGACCACAAAGAAAAAAAAAAGATTTTCTTTCATTATCCACTCCAAGAAAGCACTTACCTCGAGTGGAGTTGACAAGTTCCTGCGTCGGGCCAGCAGTGCTCGTCTTCAACTTTAACGCCCTTTCGCGGCTGCGTTCCCGAGAACGCGATCTGGACCGCGAGTCCCTCCGCGGCCGCCGTCGCGGCGGCGACGCCGACGGAGACCTCCGCCTCCGGTCGTCGCGTCGCCGACGATCTCTCTCGTCGCCGGCGACACCGGGTCCTCGGTCACGTTCTCTGTCCCTTTCCCGGTCTCTGACGCGAGGACGATCGCGATGCCGATCCCGAGTAGTTCGGTCCCTGTCCCGCATTTGTAGGTAGGACGTCGGGTATCTGGTTCACTGGTCACAGAAAACGAAGTCTGGAACGCAGAAAAGTATAAAAGATCGTGAACGAGGGTTAAAAAACTGCGCGACAAATAAAAAGACAGTAGCACAGCAACGATCGTTTTCATTTCGACGATTTCTGCAGAGGCAATTAATTTCAGACATCGAGAGGATTCGTGAAACAGAGTGAAACAAAAACAAAAAACCTAGATAGAGTCGTTCTTAAAGTTACGTAGTACTTCATTCACGTTAGGCTATTTCTAACCTTTAGTCGGTGTATTTTAGTTAATACTTACAAAAGCTGGTTTGTGAAATGAAGGGCCTTTAGTTTAGGTTAATTAAATAAATTACGTAGTGATTTCTTCCTTTTTCCTCGTGACTACTTAAGGTTAAGTTAATGATTTCGTCTTTTCTAAAAGGCGGTAACGTTTACCCGCAGCCGAGAAGGAGTAGTTTTAGTAGTACCTTGTGAGTTCAAAAGTGTGCAGTTTCTTAATCGCATGCGAAAATGAACCCACAGTTTCCTTCACAAAAAATCTTTGGCTCCGTAGAATACCATTCCTTCATCAAGGAACAACACCGGAATATATTCATTTCGAATTTTCATAAATCGGAATGCGCTTCCATAAAGAGCTCACATTTTTTAAGCTCCTGTGCGTAATCTTCTGCAAACCTCTCATCTCCTTCCCGAACTATATAAGAAGCGATGATTAATTTGCTATCACTTCGCGAAGATACTGACGCTATTCACAGGTTCCTTGTACAGTTTTTTTACAGCTCTCCGGATCGTTAGCATCACATAACGGAGCAGCAAAACAAGCAGTCGATTAGCTGAGCAGCACGTCCACCATTTTAAATTGCCACGGCAAAAAAAAAATCACGTAGCAAATATAATACTTTCCACGAAACACCACCAACAGAAGGTTCCAGAATTACCCAATGTCAAACGAAACCACCCCTGCCCTTCGAAAATGTAAAATCAAACTTGAACGAAAAGAATTGAACAAACGGAACTTTGAGTAAATTAGTTCCCGAAAAAATTCTGCTGACAATTAGTGGATCCCGACTGGAAATTTCCGAACAGAGCCATGATGGATTCTTTGGACTGGCCAGGATTTGGGACCAAATCACCACCCAACAAAGTCGCCAAGTCTTGTTTTCCTTCTTCTTTTGTATTTGCACTGAGAGGACTTGGACTCGGATCCACTTCTGAGAAAAAAGAATCAAAGAACATCACCGTATAACAGTTGATTGCTATGAAAAACCCAATAAAATTTCCAAAAGGTAAAAAAGTTTTTTAAACGCAGTGTTACTCGCCCAAATGTCTCTTAACTTCAGAAAATCATCAAGATTTTCAGTGACCGAACAATGAAAGCTAAAACCCAGAAGTGGACGGAAAGAGAGCAAAAAAAAAAAAAAAAGAGCGCTCTGAAAATTGAAAAACGTCTTGTCCCCGCATAATTTATTTTGCGAATTTCCTGGAAATCTCGAATTTTGCACTTGCAAATTTATATTTAGAATCATGCCTTCGGACGTACAATAACCAAATTTTCTTAAATATTTCGTACGGACACCAATCTACTGTATGAATATTTTTTACCGAAAAGATCCGGTTGAGAAACCGCAAACTGCTGAACATCATTCTTAGGCATTGGAACACTGATGCCGGTGAAACCCGGAGGTTTCGCGAGCATTGGGAATGCGTCACGTCCGGCGTTCGGCTTCCGCCGGTGACCGGATCTTTCGGCCAAAATTTCCTCCAGCCATTCAATTCTCTCCGCGGCCTTCGGAAGCTGAAACCCATCTTTTGCATAACGCAAGCCTTCGTACTTCTCACGAATAAACAACTCCAAGGGCCCTTCCGCTTGCGGTCGAGGGCAATTGAACTCTAGCTTGGCTTCATAACAAGCCCTTCCACGACGGTTCCCCATCTGTTGCACGCAGGACACCTTCAAGAAAAATTTATCGTTACATTTTCAATTGTTCTTGGTTAAAAATTATGACACATCGAAAAATTTAACAATTTTCCCACACTGACCGACAAAAAGAAAGAATCGGTCATCAATTCAGGGAATCATTTTTATTTTGAATTCTCGTTCCCAATCACCCGAACTTGAATTTTTGGGGCTTCGGAGAAAATTGACAGCTTATTAATAGAATTGATTGTTTGTACGATGGACTTGATGAAGTTGATTACCCGAGGTACCGCAGTACAGGAGATTAGTAGAACCTCTTCAAATCGAATTTCAAGGGACTAGCGAAAATATTCGAGTAAAGGGAACAATATTTTCCCGTTGAAGGAAGAAAGAAGAACTGCAGGAAATTTTCATATTCATTTACATTATTCAATTTTTTAATGCTACGTGAATTCAGACAGGGACGTGAAATAAATGTACAGTATTATAGAAAGGTTCGAGTTATCGAGGTTCAACTGTAAGATGATAAGTCTGACCTGATCGGGGGTCCATGAATCCAAGTCCACGGACTTGATCTTGGAGATGTGCACTCCCATTTTTCGGTGCAATCCAGCACATCGAATGCAGAGAAAAACGCCCAAATTCCACGAGGCCCAACGCGGGCCTTTCGCCAAACAGTCGAAACAGTTTCGGTTTTCGTCCTCCGCCAAGGTCGCAACGAGAATCTCCCGACACTTGGCTTCAATCACAGTTTTCATATCTTTGCTACTGGAAAGACCGGTTTTGCAACGATATGCCATCACGATTTCACACGTATATTTGGTTTTCAAACGCTTCACGAGATCAACGGGAAAATCTGCACGGAAAATGTCATACAGTAGCTGGTGGACACGAGGTGGAAGAACCGATCGAAGACAAGACCGCCAACCATTTATGGACTTCCAAAGCATTTCTACTTTATCAAACACCCGAAGTGTGATAAAGAACAACGAACACATAATATGAGCAATTCAAATTTTGGAGCAAAATTACCAGAAAATGTTTGTAATAAAACGCTAGAAGGAAGGAAAAGTTGGTCAAATTCTCATGAACGCATTTCTTTTAAGAGAAACATTCAAAATGTGATGAAGCATTAATTAAGAAAAATGACTTGTCAGTTTTTAAAATCATGAGCATTTAAATAAAAACGCATGAAAAATAGCTAACACACCAAACATTCTACTGACTTTCTCCCCTCGATTTCTTTCATCACATTCTGGTAAAAATAAAAATCAAGATTAGCTTTCACAAATTCAACTAAGAAACAACAGCATCGAATTAACGATTTAGAATGCAACGTCAGTCGAGACCTTCGATTTCCGCTCACCGGAAAACCTTCCACTTTTATTCCACACGAATGCAAAACTCATCACGAAAGACCGGAATTTGAAATCAAAGATGGATACAATGATCCTCGGAACAAATGGGCTAGTTAATATAATAAAATAAAGAAAGGATTTTCCCGTGCCAACCACATCTCAAGGTAAACGAGCGTTTATGCTTCGTAGTAATCATAGAACATCATCATCGCGAGGTAACATGATACACCGTAGGCCTACCTTCTGCATACATATTTTCTACTGCCCATTACATCATTCCTACAATGAACGAAATTGCACTATTTCCAATGGTTGCAAAAATCTAGGGTGAATCTCCAAAATGTCCTTTTGCTTCCTGAGCTTACTTTACTTTTCCTACTATAGCTGTAGTAGGAGGATTGCCAAGAATTTCCTTCAAGCACGAGCGTCATCCGTCACATCATCTTCTTTGGACTTGGTGGGGAGAAACAGAAGCGGGATCATGCCCAGCAGGCAACCAATTGTTACGCCAAGCGCACGACCCTGAAAAAATATAAAAAAACCTCATTGTACGATCACATTATCAAAAATGTAGTACATTTGAAAAATATAATGCAACAACAAGTATTGAGATGGCGAACAGTTAATCCTGACACAAGCATTATTCACTTTTCACGTTTTCCAATAGAGAAAAATATTGAATTTTGAAGGATTATTAAATTTTTCGACATATAGCCTCCTCATGAAGCCAAACAACAATAAAATAGCTGTTTTGCCACTGCACCAGAGATCAAATCAACAAGGCTTTGCCAAAAATTTTCGCAGAACCATATTTTTATATTAATCTCTGAAAATTTTGGTAAACAACCCTCCCTTTTTCGGCAAAAAAAATAGTGCCATTCGCTCATAAATCATATAAACTATACTGGAGCCCTGGAAAATGGCCTTCATCCCTAACATATCTATACGTTCCTTAACCATTGAAAAAAATACTAAATTATGGATTTTCGCAACCCAAGAAATGCGAAAAATCATGAGCCAAAAGAAGGAAGGAAACCATGCGATGGAAAAAGAATTGAAATTTTTGAAACTTCAGATCCTCTGTCTCCTGAACCTCTCAACAGCATTTTTTTTTTCTTTCAAAAAACGACCACTATGCAGGGCAGATTCCGGCCAATATGCTGCAGACCGAACTGCAAAACGACCGCATCGTAGGGCCTTTCCGTGGGTTTCCACTGTATATTTAAATAAATATCGCTAAAACGCACGCATACAAAATACATCACGAAAAATCTGTAACTTGAGGAAGAACAATTATTCCAAACTAGTGGATTTAGGATTTTAAACCTTTCACTGATACTTCGCGGGCCGTTCTTAAAACTTTTGTTCGACCCCTTCCGCGTAATCGCGAACAATGTGACATTTTTCCCAACCAAAAGCAGTAACGTCGTAGTTCAGTGCCACAAAATTGATAAGAGTGAAAAAACTAACGAAATTCGCAGTGAAACGAGCTGACTTCATGTCCGTCTGAATCCGCGACAGGGTTGGAGCAGGAACGCCAATCTTCACTGCGATGTTTTCCACGTACCACGCAGAACCTATGCCTGCCACGTCTGATATTGTGTTCCCCAATGCAGCTGCAGCCATTGTCGAAAAACCGAAAACCACGCCGATCTTGAAGTCAATGTAGTCACCCTTAGGAAAAAACCAATTATTTTCAGGGATAATAATGAAAAATTTTTTTCGGAAGAGCTATACTGTACTATTCCTACTCGGTCCACAATAGCTCATATAATGCGCTTTTGGAATCAGTTGAATTAATCGGCTTTTAGGAAATATAATCGATTCACAAAGAAGCCCTTGCACATTTTTCAGACTGGGACACACGGTTAAAATAAATAAATAAATTCCGAACGTTGGATTGTTCTGAAGAAACACTTTTGTAATTCATCCGTGACATATTTTCGTTATCGACAAAAAACCAGAAAATTAAAATTCACTCAAGAAAATTGAAACTTCGACATTAATTGTACCGAGGGAAGATAGAAACGATTACTGTAGGTATGAAACTTGGCAGTTTCCTTAGTTTTAGACAATTTCCTTGAGAAAAAAAAACTCACAGCCAAGATCATAATTAGGTTATCAAGAAACCCGAATCCGACGAACGGCATAGCGTTGAACACAGCAACTGTAAATAAAAGATCAAAACAAAAACAAATGGTCAAGCCCAATTTGAAAGCGGCAATCCAACAATACTACCTGCCTTGTCGCAGCTGTTTCCATGATGGGGGCGGCGCTTTGGCAACTGTTCACAGCAAAACATGAAAAAAAATTGAGTTTAGTCCGTTTAGAACATACGAGCACATAAATTCGAACCAAAAATTCCACAAGAAACTCACTTAGCTGCTTCTGTAACCAGTCAACCGGAACCTCGCAAAATTGCCCAGTGGGATTGGAATGTAGTTCCTCATTGACTTTGCTTGGTCTACCTAGTCTTGACCGCCACCGAACTGATGCTAATTTACCTGGAAATCAATTTAGGCACACATGTTTGAATCCAGACTAGATATGAAACCTTCCCAAAAACAATACAAGCGTTATTTTTAAATTTCTCGAGGTGATATAACGCAGGCTCGGCAATCAACTTTTCCAGAAAAATTCCAGGCATTCGGGTCTATTCCCGAAATTTGATGAACTTCCCCTGTTCAGGCACCATATATTAAAATGCATTAAAATAAATTCTGGACGACATTTCTTCCGCTGGGATATTTGACGCAAGCTTTATGTATCTATTTTATGTATCTATTCAACAGGGGCCAAAAATCAAGTTCTTGTCGGCAATAATTTCCAATAACGTTACACGTTGAAACGAGATTCTATTGTATTACAATAGAACAGTACATACGTAGACTTTCTCTACAAGGATCTTGTCCACAACGGATTTTTCCGGATAACGAATTTTTTGTGGTCTCAGGCCACATAGGGTGGTTCGCCGAGCATACGGGCTCTCCGAAACAAATTTCAGGGGACCAGAAAAAATTAATTTTAGAGAGAATTACCTTACAGCGAGGGAAGGGGCCCCGATTAGGGAAATACATGTGGACTACCTACAACGGAATTCAGGGAACCAGAAAAAAATGCGTTCGATAGAATGTTTATGAATTACGAAATTCAGACATTCAGGACACACGAAAAAATGTTTTTTAGAGATAATTAGGTAGTATAGCGTCCACCTGTATTTCCTTAACCGAGGCACAATCTTGGTGCGATCGGGCGTTTATAGAATCTGACTCAATACGGAAATGAAGAAAAGACTCCCATTAAAAAAAAAAAGGTTTTTGTAGGAAAAAACAGAACGACAGTCTACGCGTTCTACGAACCTTGATAATCTGCTATCAGTTCGTCGGCATGTAGTCGCTGCAAATCCTGCAGCAGCTGAGCTCTGTCAGTCGCATCCATCTTCGACACCAATTGCTTCACAGCGGAAAGCGACACGTCCGTCGAAGACATCTTCACCGCATGAACGGTGAGCCAGCGACGCACAACGTAACTCGTTCCATTGACACAACGCAACATTTTCCTCAGTCACAGCTCAAAACACCGAGCCGTCCCAAGATTATTGTGGAGAAAGTACCTGGACATCGAGATGCATTCTCAGACAATTTTTTTTTCGCACGGAATAAAAGTGAAATTTATGAAGTCGTGAAAAAATCAACTCACCATTCACATTGCTGAAATTATTCCATAGATTATTCTGACGAGAAGGACGACGAAGAAATGAGTCTGTAACGGATTTACCCAGTCATCGTCGATCATTTTGCGACAATTTCACGAATCAAAAATTCTTTCAATGGATGACTCGGATAAGACGGTTCTAGAGGCAATCACTTGAAGTGACTTCTCATCACTGAGAAACTGGGAAGTATTTCCCACTTCAGTTTTTCAATTTTACTTTTATGCCAAGTAACATTTCTGCGAGATCTGGACACGAAAGTAAGAATTTCGTGTCGAAATAAGGTGAAACAATGTGGAAAATGGGTAAAACCTGGCATCACCTGAATGACGAAGTGTTTGGCACATAAACAAATTAAATAAAACCGGGACATTTCTAACCATACCGTTGAAATTAATTTATTAATAATTGAGGTCAGAATCGATTTCTGAGGATTTCAGTTTTCCTGACCTTTCCCACGCGCCAGTCCTCCCAAATAGCCAAAAACTTTTCCTTTCCTTCTTCCGGGCGCGGATTACTTCCGGTTTTCCGAATGATGCCAGGATCTTAACCCTTCATTCACATGGCACCAAATTCATTTTTCATCTCGTTTTAAAGGATAATCACCGAAATAACATTGTTTTGCGGGTCAAAAACTAATTGGATTTCACCAGGTTTAAAAAAAATTACTTATCGGTGGGAATGACATCCATTGAAGGAATTTTCGGAAATCAGAATTAATTAATCCAGACCGAGAAAAAGGCCACGAATTGTCAGAAGTGCACGAGGTAGTTTTCGGGTCTCCCGCTGAACTTCGTTTTGAGCAGATTTACAAGGAATCCATTATATTTGTTCCTCCGAACGAAAAATCAACTTTCCACGTAACCGGATGCACATTTATAAAACAGGGAAATAATTCAACCAAATTGGAGATTGGCTAAAAAGGCAGCGCCGCCCGACACAACGCTTGCTTCTCATCCGTGCATCACAGACTGTTGTCGCGGAAAGAAAGCAAAGGTTCTCATCGATTTCACACCTGCCTCCGCTTGAACTACCACATTTTAACGAATTTTTTTTCAAGAAAATAAAAATAATGCTCACTTCGCATTAACTCTGCACAAGCACTCGCGTCGAATGAGTAGAAAATAAATTCTATAGGATAAAAAAAAAAGAATCGACACTCGGGGAGAAAAATTTAAGCTTCACTAGTAATGTCCAGACTGCCAGGATGAAAAAATTGAAAGCGCCATCGTCTTTTTCGCCGGGAGCGGAGGAATTCGTTAATCTTCAATAACTATCCGGAAAGAATGTTCGGGAAACACATTCACTGAGAAAATACCACGGCTTCCCACAACCCAGGAAACCCGAATCGATGACGGTAATTGCAAAGCGAACTACGTCGAATCAAAAAAGGGGGGCAAGAATGCGAAATCAACTGTCGTGCTTCGTAGAAAAGCGGTTGGCAGGTATGGGATCAATCGAGACCCGACAGTGAAACTCGGCTCAGTTCATCTCCTCCTCATCATCAGCTTCGGCGCCGGGGTCGGTGCGCAGCCGTAATGAAAACGGGTTGTTGGCCGGTGACGAGGACGGCGCCGGTGGAGGCGGCAGTGGTGACACCTGCAAGAGGCGGCACTTGCATCAATTGCATGGCATATATACACACACGTCTTCGAGAATCAAATCTGCCATCAAAACTGATCATTTTGGCTTGAAAACCTGGTTGTCCTGAAGCAGTGCTGCCTAATATATGGCCGCGGGCCAGAAACGGCCCGCAGAGACTCTTCATGTGTCCTGCGGTCATTTACTCACAATTTCAAGGTGGCAGCAGCCACTATTCAGATCATATCGAATGATGAATATTAAAATTCCAAAAGCTTGCTCAGCCTGCAAAAATCTATAAGCCTATGTTTGTGAGTTGCGGTTAAATTATGCCTAGAACTGAGAGAAATTTGAAAATAATTAGCCTGTTGGAAAAGAAGTTTTCGGAATCGTCTCATGCCCCGCAAGGACTCTCCACCTCAGCAATATGGCCCTTCGCCACATCTGACCTGGGCAGCACTGCATCTTCTTATTTATTCCCACAACGTAAAAAAGGTTCATCACTGGAAACTACCGCAAAATGGGTCTGTCTATAGGATGCAGAAGCCAGGATTTTATGAACCAACTAAAGTTACACATTTTTCATTCCAGTAACATCATTATTTGAATTTCCTGTCCTTCTTTGTCTTCAAAAATTTCGAGTTAAGGAGGTTTACAGTTCAAGCCCTTTCGAGTTAACTAAGCTCAGGTTACATGGTTCTGAAGAGTCTTCGGACAGAGACTAGAAAAAATTCTGATTATGTAGAGGTTTTCGACTTGAGGATGTTTGAGTTGAAGAGGTCCGACTGAACATACAATACTGTAGAATGGATTGAAACACAAAAATTTAGGCGACATCTCCCCGAGGTTCCACGTGACGTGGTCAGCTTTTCAAAAACAAAACAAAAAACAGCAAATAAAAATTAAACCCAGCTAACCTGAACGCGGAACGGATGACCAGACTGCAAGCCGTCCATCCCGGCGTCGTCATCCGACGGCCAGGTGAGCCGGGACAGTTGTTGCGTCACGCCCAGTGTCCCGGCCTCGGACACGGACAAGATCACCCAAATCACGTCTCCGAAGTAGTCGCCCTGGGCCGTCGACATCCTCCATTTCCCCTGAAAGATCCCGGGCTCACTCGGCGACGTCATATCCACGGAAATGTCCGTCGCCTGTAATGGCTCTAGAGGGGGGATTGGGACAACGTCTTGGGTTGTGAACTGGTGTCCGCCCGAAAACCGCAGCGTCACGCCTTCCGGCCATCTGTCGCCGCCTGAATTCTGTAGTCGCCATGTTTTCACAAACCTATTCATTTTAACAAACAAAACAAATGGGTAGTGAAACCAAAATAATACACGTACAGTACAGTGTTACCAATGCGGGATTCTTGCAAATTATAGCTTCGATCGGACTTCGTCCACAGTCGCAATATCTCTCAGCATTTTGCCTGGTATTTCTGATCAACAAGATGTTGGGCTATTTTAGGAAATTTTGTATACGTGTTGGGTGAGGTTGGTAAGGCATATGAGTCAGCTTTAATAAAGATTAGCCAGATTAGGTAAGTTCAATTAAGTTTCTTAGGATTCTTATTTTTGCCCCAAACTGAAGCTCTTGAGGATTAGTGAGAAAGCCGCTTTCGTACAAAAAATTTTGTCTATGACGAGATTTTTTATCATAAATTCACTAAAATTCATAATCCGAAACAGGCTAGTTTTCTGCTTTTTCGAAGTTCTTTCCATCATTTGTGCACAGTATACAAAAATGTGTGCTTTTCGGGCTCCTTTTCATGCCAACAAATCAGAAAATGTGTGGTTTTCTTCTGCACTAAATCTCACTGCAAAGTCGGCAAAAATTATTCTATTCAATTTTTTGGGGAACTTTTTTAAAATTGGTGATCAGCAGGAGAACCAATGATATACATTCCCATAGCTGTTTAAGGAAAAATGTGATCCTACATGCAGACGTTTCAACATAGGGACGAGGTCCAAGCACCAATTAATTTTGTATCTCGGTGCCCCACCGCATTCACATACTGTACTCAATAAGAAAATCCCCTGTACGAATTTTACCTACCTACTCGGAAAAAAATTCATTTCGAGGCGAAAAATTGTAATCACACTTACCTTGTATTAGGAGGTATACTTTCGCCTTCCCCGACTGTCACATCTTTGATGAAACTCATCGAAGGCAGAGTTGGTCCTGTACCGTTTGGGTGCTCAAAGTCGAAATATGAACAGATTGCCGCTTGCAAATTCCTAAAATTCAAAGGCGAAAAATAAACAGGGATCTCACAGAAAACCATCGCGACGAGGCATGACGGGAAGAATGCGCACCAGTTGTTCATGTCAAGAAAAAACGAGGCCGTCGAGTCGTTGAGATGCTCCCCCACATACTTCTTTAGCTCCTTCACAAGCACCTCCTTGTCGACAGTGCCGAGGCAGCTGAACTGCTGCAACAGACTCTGGTCGAAGTCCCCGTCCACGTCCATCGCGGGTTCAATACACGAGAGAGGAAATGAATATAAAAAAAAGAAACTACGGTCACCCCCCTTTTCCCCCTTGATTTATGTATTCATCTGAAACGCGTCACACAAGCCATCGTGGCAAGAAAAGCTGCTCGAACGAATTCCGTTTCACGAGCTCCTATAGACACAAAAAAACGGGAAGTGGACGAATTAGATCACGACGCACAAGTGATCACAGAGAAACCGAGACACGATATTCGCGGGGGACGCAAATACGAAAGAATTATTTTTACCGCATCTAACCAAGGTCGCGCGCTTTTCCTGGGTGATTTCCAACAATACGAACCCAGCGATGACGTTGAACTCTCAAAACCAAACCCACAAAATAACTTCGTTAAGTAGGGGGTTACATCCAATAAAAAATAAATACAGTCAAACCTTGATTCAGTGCCATTATTTGTCCTGGCACATTTTGTGGCACTGAGCAAGCAAGGGTTGAGGGCTTCTAATAAGATTGTTTGCAGATTTCTTAGGCAACTGAGTCTGTTTTATAAGAGAGAAAGTAAAAAAAAGAATTTAAAGCTGAAATAAGCTGCTTTTAAATTGTATTTCAATTTATTTAATGCCACAGAATGTAGTATATTTTTGCCCATTTTATGCCAAGCAGAAGAGCAGAGTTGTTCCCAAAAATTTCGTATCAATTAACGAATTTACGCAAATCCAAGATTCGGTAAAAATTATAGAGGCAATTCCAGCTATTGAGAGGTTGATCACAGCGGAAAACATCCAAAAAAAGACAACCAAAAACATTTAAATTTTGAAGTACAGTAGAATTTTCAAAAGTATTCAGAGCATGAACACATGCTTTTCAGTAATAATCTAATTAACGTTAATTAAAGAATTTTACTTATGGAATCAAAGAAACTAAAACCGGGAAAAAGTAGATTTTTAAAAACGGCGAGGTACACTCAGCCCTGACTTAACGCCAAATGGAGTTGTGTTATCTCCCTCTTAGTATACGTTCCGTTAATTCTCTTTCCATGAATACGGTCGAGCTTCATCAGACCCCATGGTCGCCACCTAGGTCAGTCTTTCTTCATCAACCATGGAGGATGGTCGCATCCTCCTCCATGGGACCTTCCTTTTTTCGGCCACACCCAGGGTCACAGGTGTTCAGTTCAACCGATACGGTTCACTTCACTCACGTGTGTCTCAATTGCAATTAATTTCTTAAAATGAATACCTTAGTTTCTTTGATTTTGGCCCTTTTTCATCTAAAAATTTTTGCCGCTCCATGTGAGTCGGGACTGAATTGCGGTTTACCTCAACACAATAGAGGGAGCTTTTTTTCAGGGAAATTTGCGGCACAATGCAAGGGTGGCACTAAGTCAAGGATTGACTGAGTTTTTAATGCTTCCTGCTTGAATAAAATTTGCTCGGAAGTCCGAAACTAGGCTCAAATCCCTAAGTTTTTTTTACCACAAAAACTTCAGCATTACACCACAAAGAAAATGGACTTCCAAGCATTAAACACGCGCGAGACAGGAAATCCCGAATCGTTCTTTTTTTTCCCCCTTGAGGATCGACGCAAAATATTTTGCGAATGTGCCGCCTTCCAGCATCGAAAAATGCTGTCGCTCACTGGGCAATGCGCCAACACGCGAAGTTCACGCGCTGTAGCGGAACCGTGTCAGTCCAAGTTCATTTCCCGCGTCTGCTGGCAACGATTTTCTCCCACACGAAGTATATTGCGACGAAACTGATCGAAATACCTCTTCCGTCTGAGGGACTTGACACGCGATCAAAGGTTAGACGTGTATACAACTTAAGCTCTAGAAGTACTGAACGGCAAATCTTCCATTACTTTAAAAAAGGAGACTGAGAAAAATATATCCCTTCGTGGAATGAACGAAGAAATGCCTTTTTTCCATGCGCGACAAGAAAAGTTCGCTGAGAATTATATATTCTGCAAGCATGTTTGAAAATGCAATAACGACAAAGGAAATCAGGCTAATCTGCGTCCAACCGCAAAAGATCACGCGTCAAGTGCCACAGCTTGCGCCGAAATACCCGCTGGTGCACAACAGGGTGAGTGCTCGCCTTCCTGTTGGATTCCAAGTAGATTCCGTGTCTCGAGCCATGGCTAACATCGAAAACAGCTCGCAAAACCAACTGGCTCCCTTCTTCCGGGGACTAAAGCGGAATAAATAGTTAATCGGGTTCCCTCGACAATAATTTTCAACTGATCAACAATTACGTCAGTCTAAGAATTTCTTCTGTGGTTAAAAAATCTGAAAAACTTCATCAAGCCTAAAAAAAATTGTTGCAGTCAAAGAAATGAAAACTCGCTAATTTAAGAATCTTCCTTTTAAATTCAACCTAAAACACCAAATCAGATTTCAGCTTCAAGGTCCAAGTTCAGTTCAATATATTCAAGCGATTCCCTGCAACTCAAAAAAAGCTAAAAAGTTCAAGAAAATTCGTAACAATACGATCACATCTAACACTCGAGATGATTTTAACTTCTGCTGTAATGATTTTTATGTCATACAGTATTGTACTACCTTCCTAAAATGCATAGATCGGCGCTTCCATAATCACAACAGTTCAGTTAGAGCACGACTTGTTCAAAACCATTAAATTCGCGATTATTACGAAATTCTGCGCGAACTGAATTACTCCTCGATAATCAGTTCTTCTTGAGTACCAGGTTGGTAGGCAGAAAATCATCCACCTAAAAAATTATTTAATGAAGTCTACCGATCAAGGTAATGAAATGACTACGGAAGTTAATCTTCTCATTGATTTACCATCGATTTTGAAAGTAAATTTCTTTCAAAGGCCGGTAAATATGAATGTGAACAGTCAAATATATACCATGAGAATGCAGTCCATGCAGGCTTTCGTGAATTCATTAAACCACCAAGCATGTTGGTACAATCGGGTAGAGCAAATTCCCGGATGCAACGACACGAACTCGACAGGGCTTGACGCGTAACCAGCACGCTGACGCATTTCCTCATCCCAAGCTTTCGTTGCGGCAACTTGAAACAATTTTGAGTCAGCGTATGCCAGTGCCGCACTGTATCCTTCACTGAAATTAATTGTCTTTCCTGGTTTAACAACGAATTACAGATTTTAAAACGTATACTTCTTGTAAATATAGTTATTTATTTGGCCAATGATTTAGCGTAGGGCTTCGACGTTCAAGACCCACCAAGCACGAAGAAAAGCTTCAATAATGGCAAAGAAATTCACCGAGGTGAAGACATTGGACGTCGAATAAAACAGAACTAAATAGAAGATCAACCAAAAAGCTAATTTTCGATTTTCGATTCGAGTCCTGCAGCTCAGGTTGCAATTTTTCATCATTCCATCTAAAATCTAAATCCTGTACTATGTGAAAAGACGGCTTACTTGAAATTGAAATCGTCGAGCTTCCCTCTGGAAAACCGATGCGTGCAAGAAGACACATTGACAACGCGGGAAGGGAAACTTAGCGAAGATCCCTCTTTCAGAGCAGGATATAATGAATGAGTCAACAGAAAATGACTCAGGTAATTAACTTGTAGGTGAACTTCAAAGCCATCACGGGTTTTAGACTGAGGCACCAACATCAAACCAGCTAGAAATGAAAAAATAAAAATATAAAATTAGCACACCAAAATGCTCAGTATTTCATAATTATTGAAACCACGAAAAGGTGGGATCCAAAATGTACCACAGTTGATGAGGTAATTGAGAGGTAACTGCATTTTGAAAAATTCGTCGCAGAATCGCCCAACAGACTCGAAAGATCGTAAATCAAGTTGTAGACAGTCCACTGAGCCCAGGGATTTCGACCTCTTCTTCCAATCACCGAACTCTCGCTCGAGTTCATTCGGATGCAACGTTCCTGGAAAATTCAGTAGTTTCACAATAGCGCAACAATGACATTCAACATTAGTTGATTTATCAGGGAAAATAAATTCCTTAAAATTCTTACCAACTATCACATGCATGCCATTCTGCACCAAAGATTTGACTACCGCTAAGCCAATGCCACAACTTCCTCCGGTCACAACTGCGACATTTCCAGCCCTACTTTCCGGAGCACCTTAAAAAGAATCCAGAAGATAATTGTTTCCACAACTAGTCAATTCCACTGATAAAAATAAAATAAACTCACGGATGAATTTGATCGGTTTCGCGTACAGTTGCGCGAAAAAATATGGCACTGATTTCAGATAAAGCCTCACATGATTCCACAGCACCCACAATAAGTACACCACGGGGTAATAAAAAAAACTCATCACAGAAAAACCTGAAAATTTTCAGAAAATCATTGACTTTTTACACTTCAAAAAATACGAAATTATACAGCAAAGAAGCTTAAAAAAACAGCAAACAAATTTCATTTGGACTTTCAGCACATTCTCAAGGAAAAAACAAATCAGGTGCAAAAAAGGACACTATCACGCCTCAGATAATCCTTCTCATTCACCCGCAATTAAAATGCTGTACCAAAAAACAGCAAAAGAGGTCTTTCATTTCGTCCAACTGACTTTCGGAATATCGAAGTGTTCGGTGAGGCTATCCAGATGTCGATTGAATTCCTCCACTCGCTGCTTATGAGTTTTGCCGGCTCGAGCCTTTATTCGCTCCTCTTTCTGCGAAATAAAAATCCAACTATTAAACTGGTTTAAACCGAACTTTTCGCAAAATTAAAATTTAATTTATTATAATGATAATTAATCGAAAGTGCGATATAACGAAGTATAAATGTGATCTTATGCAATGTTTCTTCACTATTGAAATGAATGTAATATGCACCCTTTTCTCCTGCATCTTTTCGAAAGCCAACTCAGCCTTTGTTTTCGTATTGGCAGGTTTCGTTGACTGCTTTCTAGCGTCGTCCGAAGGCACAACTTTCGTCACTTCCAAGAGTTTCTTCTCTTTCTTTTTCTTTTTTTTTCTGAAAAAAAAAAATATGGGCACGTCATAATTGCCACAGGAACGAAGAAAATCGGCTACCAACTTGATTTCATGTTCCGAAACACCCTTCAACTTCAAGGAACCTCTCGCGACTTTCTCGTACTCCGACATTATCAACAACCTTCACTTCAAACCTATGTCAGGAATAAAACATCGTTTTCAAATCACAGAAACTGAACCGTATTCAAAATAATTCCGACAAAATCGATTCAACACCGCGAGACCGCAAACTTTATTCAGGCATAAATTACGCGCGAAATTCAAGAGGTATTATTCATAACTACTGCAAAGATAATCATGAAACAAGGGGTGAAAAGACAACGAAGAAATTAATATAAATCACATTCCAGACAGCATTATCAACTGATGGCTAGTCACTTTTCGTTCGAATTTTAAAGCAAATAGATCGATCGCAAAGGTCAACATTTTGATACAGTACATGGAAATCGTATCCGCAACTGAGATGAATTCACAATAATTCCCAACAAACATAAAAAATTACATATCACATCGTATTGAGCAATGCAGCTGAGAAAGCATTCGGCTTGAAACCCTACGCCTGAGGAGTTTCATCAGCTGCATCGTTGTCTTTATCCCCATCAAAAAATTCGTTTTCCTGCTCGACGCGTTCGTCAAGTTCGGCCTTCGTCTCTCTCATGTCTGGATCGGATTCTTCAGCATGATCCAGTTTATCTGAAAAAGAATCATCTTTTTTATAGAAAAAGAAACGCTCGTTTCAGTACATTCTGACAGATAAATAAAACTTCATCTTATTTGACCTAAAAAAACTAAAAAAAGATGAAAAAAACTTTATTCACCAAGATTCAAGAAATCTTCAGGCACATCCATCATTTGCACGGAAGGAGCGAAATCGATCATCTTCAGGTTGTCCAACGTGAATTTGACGATAGTATCGAGGTATGCTTTGGGATTCGCGTTACTGATTTCATTCGCCCTGGTCGGAACTTCTGGCCTGAGCGTGAAATCAGGTCCAAAGTACTCCATGTACGGCTCGTACGGCAACTCGTTACTAATCTTCTCGTCGACCAACAACGACGTCTCGTAGGTCCAACAACGGGCCACATTCCTCAGCGTGTAGCCACCGCCTCCAAGCACAAGCGTCGGCACGTTGAACTTTTTCACAAATTCCACGCATTCCCCGTGACCGTCTATGCTGAGGTTGAAACAACCCAGTCGATCACAGGCCAAAGAATCCGCACCACACTGCAAAACGATCGCCGAGGGTCGGAAATGAGACATGACCGCTTCGATCACAGGCTTGAAAACGGACGCATACGACGCATCGTCGATCCCTTCGCGAAACGGAACATTCACGCTGAAATATTTGCCTATTTCTCCTCCCAGTTCATACATGTGTCCGGTGTTGGGGAAGAAATTATTCCCATACTTGTGTAGTGACACTGTCATCACTCGATCGCACAAGTAGAATGCTTCTTGGACACCGTCGCCGTGATGAATGTCAATATCTATGTAAAGCACACGCGGGTGATACTTGAGTAATTCCAATATAGCTATGACGATGTCGTTGACGTAACAGAAGCCCGAAGCTTCTGATTTGTGCGCGTGATGAAGTCCTCCTGACCAATTGATAGCTATGTCGCAGTGTCGTCTGTTCAGTCGTACTGCGCCTTCCAAAGATGCTCCGGTATACATAGAGCAGAAATCAAACAAACCCTCGAACACGGGACTGAAACAAAAAAAGATAATACTTGTTCATTCTTGATTTGCTTTCACGAACAGTTTCACGCTCTAATATTAAAAAAAAAAAAAGTTAAGCCTGTAGTTGCAAGTAATGTTTATAATCACGCGACACCCGTCGGGTATCAAATAAAATGGCCCAGAAAAGACTGGACGAGAGGTTCAACAAGGGCTGAATTTCTTCTTGTGCCAGAGACTACTTTTTCGGAACAGCAATTGTTTTTCAGCGCAATCGGATGCCGTTTCGAATTCGATTCCGAGAACATTTACTAGCCCCCTCATAATCGTTAGAATGACAAATGAACGAGAAAAAGTTGACAACATGGTCCAACTCACCAGTCCTCGCCGACATTGAAATGAGTGAGCTGTTTATAGTTGAGTCCTTGAAGCGACGGGGAAACGTATCGCAAGAAGTCAATGTAGTCTTCAGAATGAAATCGACACATATCTTGCGGAGTTGCTCTGTATGGTCGATATATCTTCATCTTTTTATGAAGATCATAATTCAACACCAGCGAATGTGTCACAGCAATCCGGTGCGGCTTCATAGGATGACCCACGCCGTAATGAAAGTTTCCCACCTCAGGTTCGTAGAAGTACACCACATTTCGACGAGACATCCTCGCGGCAAAAAATTACACCAAACAACGTCTCCAAAAACACCGACAAATTGTAAAAAGCGCTACGCGGACATTCGAACGAGGGACGATCTTCTCATTTGATGTTCAATTATGTATCACTCATCCTTCGACAAACTTAGTAAAATTCTCAGGAACACCTGCAATATTAAAAAAAATGTCAATAAGAGCAGTTGATCCTTGCCTAGTAAACCATCCCACATAAATCAACATTTTTATCAAGACTGAAAAGCTGTAATGAAACAACACGCGAAAAAAACGCGGAATTCCAACATCAGCACGACGGAGTCGCGACGAGAAGTTCGTGCAGCGAAAATTCCACCGGACGAGGAATTCTTCAACCAGGCCTTACCAGACGACGTGATACGTTACATGGGCTGCAAAATAAAAAGAAAAAGCCTGGATACTCTCCCAATCGTCTCCGCGAAAATTCGATATTCAATGCCGAATTACAGAGAAATGGTGCTGCTAGAGAAAAAAAAACCACACATGGAAAAAATATTTACAGTACAGTATACGGATCTAGATTTAATGAAGATCCCAATACCCAGTCGTGTTTTCGCATGTATACTTTTTTCTAGTAAAAAAAAAATATCACAAGGGATCATTGCCTTTTGAAGAATAACACCTCAACATAAGATCGCCAAAAATAATAAAAGGCATTCAGAAAATGTATTCGCATCGGAGCAAGGAGAAATTTAGAAGATTCGTGGTCAACTAAAAAAAATCAACCACTCTCTCACAACTACCCTAAAAAGAAGTTTTCCGAAAATCCGACTGCTGATTCATCGAAAGGATTTCAGAAGTGGGTAAGGAATAAAAAGAAGAAACGGTGCATTACTTCAGACAAACAAATTCTACAACAACGTGATACTCAATGCACGGGTATTACCGCAAATAAAAAACGAACAGGAATAAGAGAAAGTAGGGTAACCCGCAAAAGAAATGCATCACAAGAATCCGATCGACCCCACTAAATAGAGTGAGAAGGGATTTCAATGCCAAACTGCATGGTCACGATGGCTCACTCCACCAAGCTTGTAAAAAGTTGCTGCAACCCCAGCTGCGTTAAGAGATGCCAACCCAGAGTCTGCAGCACCTCTGACCAACGCATCCGACTGGCCCTGTCCACTGTCCTCTTTTGCCATACGACCGTCACTCTTCAAAGCTAAAATGCAAGACCACGGACCTGACGGTTGCCCTAAAATTCGGAGAAAATGTCAATCAAAGTATACCTGGCCTATATACGACATACAACGAACGCCTCGTGGACACCGCCCTGATATATTCATGGCACGACAGGTAGGTGAAGGGATTCCAGAGTTTATAATAGCATTCAATAAAGCTTCCGTTTTCATAGATTATATTACAGGTTGACACCACAAAAATGTTGTCTACCACAATTTTATCTGTACACCGAATTTTTTTTGGTCCCATAGGTTTGTCTTCTCATGCCGAAAGAAATTCTCTCAAAAAAACTTTCAAGTCCCTTGAATTTTACTGTTAAGTGAGAGAGTCCTCCTGCATTATACTGTAATACTGCATTAACAATTAAAAAAATAATAATAATTCGCAAACTTAAAAAAAATTACCTTTCCATAATCGAACGGTTCCATCGTCCCCAGCAGATGATAAAATCGACCCTGAGCAATTCCAAGACACTCTCCACGCAGCAGGAGAATGGTCTTTACTTTCGAGGAGCAATCGAACCTCGAACTTTGACGGAGAGTTGCTGGATGAAGCGCAATTAGATTGGCTTGCTCCAGACGTGGTGGACTCACTGAAATTAAATTGACAGCAATATTATTTCGAGCACTTCGCATAAACTAGAATCATCAAGCACAGTTTTCTAAAAATGTTGATTCAATTAACGCGGCATAAAAAAATACAGGGGTTACACTAAGAACATGTAACAAAACGAGGAAAAATCCTACAAAAATTGGTGAACTCAGGCGGCAATTTCTGACATAATATTTTCACAAGGAAGATAGATTTATTGCCATACAGCTTCCGATTAAAAAATTAGTCTTCAAAACGAAAATTGCACCTCGGAAAAGCCGATATTTAGTTAATGGGCATTATTCGGGAAGTACGCCATTCAAATTTACCTCCGAGATATAACGGGGGCTAATGAAAAGAGCCGCAGCTCTGCAGACGCAACAGCCAGCAAATGGTAAGACCGCCCAGATTGACAAGCGAACGCCAAATCGTGAACAGGCGTATCAACGGGCAGACTGTCACCTCTGATCCACTGCCTCGACGCCTCATTCCATTCATAAATAAAAACTCTGGACGACGTCGAACCAGTCGTCGACAGCGCATCACTCCCAACAGCGATCATCGCTAGAACGGGACACAAGTCACTTTATAGACGTTTCCGATAAACAAAACACATTTCACGAAAGAACAAAAAAAAAGTAAAAGACATACCAGATTTTCCAAATGAAGGACTCCATGAAATACACGAGACGGACATTTTGCAATTTATTTCCGTGCTCAATGTCCATTGGGCCAAGTTCATTATATCCGGGGCATCATAAACCCTCACAAATCCATCGGCTGACGCGGCTGCTAGCTGCAGACCTAAATGACGAGGGGCGAACTTAATGTCCGTGACTTCGGTGCGAGAGTCCACCAAGTTCGTCCTCTTGACCCAGTGGGAACTCGAGGCTTCGAGATGATCGGTCCCTAAATAAATTCAATAATCAGCCATCATGCGAGGGTATTTATTTTTAAACAATCATTTACCTATTATATTTCAATGATAAAAATGACTTTCTCCATTCGATTTATTTTGAAACTTAAAAACAAATAAAAATTGAAAAATACTGTATTTTCAACAACAGGGACATCACGTTTCAATGATCAGCCACCCTTTAAGGGTTCTTAAACATTCATTGATCTTTTTTATTTATTTTTTCAATGCTAAAAAATTCCGTGTCCCATTTGATGTCTTTTCAAAATTCAAATAAAATTAGAAGTCTACATCTTTTCAGCTCTAGGGATACCGAAAATTATTTTCAAAAGGTAACAGCTTTTTCTTCTGAGCAATTGGGGCTGTAAATTGAAAACGGCTAAAAAAAAACATGCGATAAAATTACATTTCACGTCTCTAGCTGCATTGGTATGACCACCACGGCATGCAATAAAATAAAAAAGAGCCGAAGAACACTGTAGAAAAAAAAATTTTCCGTCTTCGCTTCAATTATATCAGCTATCCTAATTCGGGAGTTCTTTCATTTGAAGACATGGATCACATCTCGGTCGTAGTGGCCTAAAACAAGATCCAAACGCCTGAACTCTCCACAACAACCAAAATGAAAATAGAGAAAAATTATCGAATGTGGGCAACTTCTTTCAATTTATATGTGTTAGTCGTCATTATCGTCAAACATATAGCGCCATTAAGGCATACCTCATTAGAACGGAGATTGAATTTTCAAAATGATATAGCTTTAACTGATGAAAAGTTAACACTTCAAATTAAAAAAATATTCAACCAAACTCACTGATTTCCTCCCACACGGAAACCATCCGGTCAAATGAACAAGTAGCAAGAATCTGTCCGAATTCAGGGTGAGCCCAAGTGACTTTCCAAACACTGCCATTATGAGCTTTCCATACAGCAGAGCATTCCCATCGCCCGTCTTCGTTTCTGTCCCAAACCTTCCATAATTCATAATACGGATTACATTGTCAAGAAGAGTGAAATAATTGTTATCCCTCACTTTAACTTGCTGGTCGCTTGAACACGTTGCCATACGATTTCCGTAGAAATTATACGCAACATCATGGATCACATCCTTATGATCAGCATTAACAGTATCAATCGTGAATAACTTTTCGCCGGCGGTCATTCTAAAAAAAATGATGAAATTTCGACAGGGCGAAACGTTAAAATATACCCAATTACACACAATCTACAATGCAAGTTCTTTCCTGCCGTACCGCCAAATTCGTAATTTAACTTTCCGTCTCTTAAGTGTCGTCTGAGCTCGCGTACGTTGGTCGGGTTTAATTCGTGTTGGATTTGGTAGAATTGATTGTGTACGATCAAGTTCGAGATTGACGTAACACTTGTCCGACATTCAGAAAACTCGAAAACGGCGATTAAACAGAAAAGAATATAAAATATATAATTTTTAACGGCTTAAAATATTTCATTTCAACATTCAATATCACTCGTCTGAATCCTCAGATTCGGAGCCTGAACTGCCAGACTCAGATTCAGCCGTTTCTAGCCACACAACGAAGCGTTTCACCTGAAAATAAAAAAAATTCCTTCCTATACATATTGAGAGAGAACACAACCGATTAAAATTTTGTTCAACCTCACCACGGTTTGAACAACATTAATTTACCCACACAAGGAAAAATTGACTACTGCTCATTTGTAAATGTTACTGCCATACAACAATTGGAGAATAAGATGAAAAAAATTCAGTAGATTAAAAAATTTATCTAAAAAACCACGTTTTCAAAAAGCAAAAAATAACCTTAAACGTGGTGCACATCTATTTCATTCAACAATCTCCATGCGCACCACATAAAAAAATATTCTTATAATTTTTCTTTTCACAAAAGATTGCACTGTCATCAGTTTCTAAGCTATCCTGAAAGTTTCAGCTTGCTAGCTAGTCGGGAAATGAGCGAAATTTGAGTTGCAAAATTTGATCCGGACAAACAAACAGACAAGAAAGCGAGTTAATAAAAACGTGTTAAAAAAATGGGTCTCATTTTGCCTTTGGAAATCACAAAAATGTCCGTCTCCTTGCAAATATCTTCCGAAGCAACACAGCAAATACTGTATTGTGGACAGCTAAGTTGAAAATTGCTAGGTATTTAGATACTGATAGGTAGTATAAAAACTGTGATCAACTCACTTTAGATCGAATATCTCCGCCGACGGTCGAGTCCAATGGCTGTTTTTTGTACCATTTTATGATACCGTCCTCGGTGAGAACTTCTTTGTTATACAGGACGTTCAAAACAAACATCATTGGTTCCCCCCTGAAACTGGGCTCTGCAACGGCGAATTCCTGGATACAAAGAGAATATTTTTAACTTACTTAGACACCGTTACATTGTCCTAAATTTTAGACTTGCCTCGATCCCACGCAAACATTCTGAAACGTGCGCACGATTTTTCAGCACATAATTACTTATCACTCCCCAAAGTTTACCCATTACACTTTTGACACTCTTCTGGTTGACCTCAGGACGTGATCTCGACAGAACTTCCAAGGTTGTTATTCTGACCAAGTCGCCGAATCCCACGTTGTACGCATGTTTCGAAGAATTGATTTCAAGCACTAGGCTGTCGACGGAAATGCTTTCCTCCATCCCGCGCTGCAAACTTTCTCCCACTTCAAGCTCAAAATGATGCAAACCGTCGTCGTCGTCTTCAATTAATTCATTGACATCACTCGTACTTGAATCATCTTCATCGCTGTTCACGTTCTCGTCACTTTCCGGGAGTAACAGAGTTTCCTCAGCGGGTTTCCGGTTCCAAGCGTTCTCCCAAAGCGAAGTGTCGTCTTCGGTTTCACGATCGTCATCGAAAACAACCGCGTAAGAATCCTGCGTCAGTTTCCCCAACAATGAATTGTTCTTTTCAGAATTGGGGTCTTCTTTCCCCTTCCGTCCATGATAAATTCGGAGATTTTTAAAAACTAACGCGTCTCCTGCCTCAGGTTTCTGCTTCAACACAACTTGCGGTCCGATAATGCAGTTTTCACAACAAATTCCATCTCCAATGACGGAATTTTCGCCTACAATACAATTGATTAACGTCGAATGAGAGCCAACGGTGACTTTCTTCCATATGTGGGAATTCCTGATGACGCAATGCGAACCAATGACGGTTTCCTCGGCAACATACGAACTATCCACGCAAGTTTTGTGTCCGATAGTGGATCCGTCAGCCAGGAAAACATTCTTCACAAGCTTAGTCTCACTATGGACAAAACCAGAGAAAACTTGATCGTACCAAGAAATGAAAGTCCTAATAAATCAGTAAATTCTCGAAAAATAAGTAGGAAAATAATATTTTACAACTCTTGATGTTTGTTCATTAAACCAATGGGGAAGGAGCTTTTGCCTTCGGCAAAATTAAAAATGTTTTAAATGCACACGGGATCAAAATTACCTCACTTAAACTGAAACAGACGATAGATGCGGAAAATTCCTTAAAAATTATTTAACCAAGGGACAAGGTTATTACAAGACAAATTTAGGGTGTAAAGATTTCATCTGATACGAACAACTCTTCCAACAGATCAATATCTCCGTTAAAGTTAGAAATACAGTACTCACTGATCCAATTTGGTCTTCCCATTTCGATAGACATTCCACGCATCGGATTGAGTTTCGAAACCGAGAGGCATGAATTTGCGTCCAGCCATATCACTGAAGATTTCTAACCACGCTGGTGGGTCTTTCAAACAGGCTGCAGCACTGCCGGGTTTTTCAGAAACATATGCGTACAAACTGTTGCCTAAAATTTCCTCGTTGTTTAGGATCCCTTTCACAAAATCACCCATACTCTGGAAATCAAAGTTATCGCTGAAAGCGGGAGGAACTCCAGGTCCACAAATGTATACTCCAGATTCGTGAAGATCCGACCTCAGAACAACATCATTCGCGGGCAACGGTAGATTGCATTTGGTTGCAGTGCCCAAAGTTTCAAAATGTAAAACCTTGCTCGTGTCCTTCTCCAACATGTAGATACTAGGGTTCACTGACGCACGCGGACAGGGAGGTTGTTCCGTGAATACAATCGTCATTAAAGCACCTTTATCTTGCTTGAAGTTGATTTTGTGACGACTGAGCAGATCCGATGCTGACAAATTAGCAAGGGCATCTGCCCGGAAAAGAAGAAAATCATTCCTTGTGACAATCTTCCGGCCGTCCAAATCTCGCATAGCATCGCCGAATGTAGCACAGTCGCCTGTGACAATCAGTTCAATCTTCATTTGCTGATATTTTTCTTGACGCGCATTAATAATTGACCGAATAACTTCTTCGCCATGTGCAGAGGGGCAGAGAAGAATAGCATGATTGACGCCAGCGTAAGACAGGCAGTCAATCAAGTGCTCCAGGAAAACTTTTGGACCAAATGGGAACATAATCTTCGGATTTCCTGTCGAAAGAGGTCCAAACCGAGCCTCAAACGTATCACAAAGGATAACAGCGAGACGTGACTCATCACTATCCATCACTACACCTTGATCCACGAATCCCTGAAAAGTAAAACCCGAAAATATTGTAAAATTCCAGAAAATTGCGTGCACACAAAACGGCAACGCGTCGAACTTCGTGTTTCACTGAATAACAGTCGGTCATAAAGTGAATCGAAAAATTGATTCAAATACAAGCATAAATCCCTGCTTCGTGCAAAAACTCACACCACGACACTCTTAATCCATACTCTTAACAGCAGTTTCTTTCGGGAAAAAAAAGTTCTGCGGAACTGTGCCTTTCGAAAATCTCGAGCAAGCCGAACACAATCTTTTCTTCTAGTCTCCAGGTATGTTTAAAATTGTATCCAGCAAGGAACAGATGTCACTGTATGACTGACCTCAACGGCCGACGAAAGAATACTGTACCATACCATACTGTGCTACTGGAGCGCTAGGACGGGGGGGGGGGGGGGGGGAAGGATAAGAAAAAGAGCAGAAATGTGGAAAACCCCAGATTTGTCTTCCATTTTCCTGAAGAAATATATCGTTGGAAAAAAATGCTTCACTGCTGGATGACATTTTCCCACATTTCTGTCAAATAAATAGCATTGAGGAATTTAATAAACAATCCGTTTCACTTTTCCGGATTTTTCCAAACCTGCTGATTGGCCAAGGTTGCATTTCGGTGACCTTGCGTCAAACGGAAATGCTGCGCATTGTCTGCAAAAATTTGTTCTAAGGATTAGAAACATAAAATGTTTCCACCCTGAATTGACAATAAACAATCACATCCAGCTTATGATTTAATGGGCTGGAGTCCAAAGGTCCGGTACTGCTTTGGAAAGTATTTATAAACAGTACTGGGTTGTAACGCACCGAAGAATGGTGTGTCCGACGATTCGAGATGAAGAATTATTTATGCTACAGTATTTGATTCTAAGACATTCAGGGATTATTGTTTTTGGTTCCACAAATCATTTCATGCACGGCGAGATGTCACTTTCAATACCATGACCGTTTGGTGCACTGTACAGTACTGTACAATACGTTAGTCCTAACCCATCCTGAATCCCTGAATTTCAGATAAGTTTCATACAGTAATTGCATCCAGTGCGGCCGAAACGGGAGTGGCAATAGAGTTTGCCTCGAGAAGAATGTGGTTCATCATGTTCATCTGTAGATTCCGCTACGATACTAACTGGGGGCTGATTTGATTCGGAGACGCCCTTGCTCTCCGTAAAAGAGCCATCTGCACGAAACAGTCCCGTGTGCGCCATAAGGGCTAGATAATAAAATGCGGAATTCCACGTTGTAATTCAGCATTACTGTATAGTCACTTAATAAAATGAAGGTCTCGGCTATAGTGAACAAAATTATAAACTAATTGTTGTGATAGAAGCTTCTGATGTTCTATGTTGAATGTTACAAGTGACAGTGCTTTCCGTGGGAACTCCTGCGGGCAGGAGGCATTCGTCCATCTGGGGGAAATCGAATCTTACACGAGCTGGGAATATCGTGAAAAGATCTTGCACGTGAGTACGATATGAGAAGAATTGTTCCGAAATTTCGCAGCGGCCCCTTCGCGATTTTCGTAGGTTGTAGTCGAATGAAGATATCACGGGCTGATACGAATGTTTTCAGATGAACACCGATGTTCCAGCAAGTCAAAAACCGTTACGCAGCGTCGAAGGCTGTAGCCTCAGATGTCGAACAGCTCTGTTCAAATGAAAACCCATCCCAGCTCTCTTTAGACCGAGATCTCCATCCCACTGAAAGATGTGGCGCCACAGGTTCAAATAGGAGCAGCGCGACATCATCTTCCGGAATTTCATCCACTGTCTCAGGATTCTTCAGCAACTTACAATTGTTCACTTGTCTTCCCGGTCAACGGACTGAAGCGAAAGCTGAACTTACTGGGACTCGAGAACCAGTTATGCTCAATGTATATGATATGGTGAGCGAGGATTTCCTTCTTGTTTGTACTGTTTTATCCACTATGTTTTATTCTACAAATAGCTGTGGATCAACGAATATACCACTTCAATCGGCTTGGGAGTCTTTCATTCAGGAGTGGAAGTTTATGGAATGGGTACGTTCTGTAGTTCTCTGTGCGTTCTGATTAAGTCGCTGAACGGTTATTCGTGTCCTACAGAGTACTCATTCGGTGGCCATCCGTATCCTTTCACGGGAATCTTCGGATGTCCCCCAAAAGATGCTGCATCGTTGGGCGAACAGTTTAAATTCAAGTGAGAGCATTTCCTTCCCTTGGATTAGATTCTTTGCTGATGCATATTATTTTTGTTTCAGAGAATCTATTCTGATGGGATATACGGATTTATCAGAAGATGACGTCCACAACTTGATTCAGTCAATGGGAGCTGAGTACACGGGTAATAAATATCATCTAGTGAACAAGAATTGTAATCACTTCAGTGGATCCTTGATTCAGGTGATTATTCGTTGGATCATTCATCTTTTATCATCAGTATTTTTTTTTCTAAGAAAAAAAAAACAAAAAGGTATGGTAGCTCGGGAAATTTAATTGAAAAAGTTAATGAATGGTGCTGGAAATCTTGCGGGGCAAGAAACTTGAAATCATGCATTAAAAAATTCCCCTTTGATGAGTGCAGTAGACAATGTTTTTTACCCAGTTTAAAAATTATTGACGAAACGAAATGCAGATGTACGGTGACATTCTATTCCTTTAAAGTTCAATGTGAATGTTCAATTTATGTTTCTAAAGTTTCCCAATTCAAAGGCAAAGCTGAACTTCGAAAATCATTTGAAATGTAGACAGTTTATATGCAAAATAAATACAGGGATGAAGGCTACATCTTTCTCAGGCTTCCTCACCTTCATCTTGAGAAAGGTAATCTTAAAACAGTAAAACTTCAAACTCATTTGAAGGCAAACCCACACACTTTCACAATTTCTTAATCCACCGGATTTTCATTCCCTTCAGACCCGTTTGAAATAAAACCCAAAATCACTTCTGCAATTTTGTAGTACACAGGATTTTGGATTTTCTTACCCCGCGAGATTTTTAGACCTACAGGATTATCGGCCGCTCGGGATTTTCTCATGGAGCCGGTGGAATACAGTAGTTGGGAGTTGAAGAAAGGTAATATTTAAGGGCGGGTGGCAGGCTTAGTTTTTTTTTTTGTTGCTGTTGCATTTTTGTGGGAACACAGTAATCCAATTGAAAGCTGTTCTAACGTCGATTTATCTCTGTCTAGATACTGGTTAACAAAGACATTCCCACCTGGGTGAATCGACTCGCCCACTTCAGTTCCTGTGTTCCATTTCTTCAGAAATGTTTACCGAAAGAATGGTTGACCCCTTACGCCCTCCAGGAATCTCTGCAACATGACCTCCAATCGGACCTGGAACGCGAATGATCCTAGATTCAGTGGGATAGCGTTTTTCTCCGCCATTATAAAAAGGACATGATTTGGTGTTAGTTTGTATTCCTTCTCGGTTTAGCGTTTGGTCATGACTGCAAGTTGGTTCCTCGAGTAGGAGGTAAGAAAGTGATGAATGTACCTGTTTTTTGCTGTCTTATTCTGGTATATCAGAACCCTCTCATAATTCGCTTTCGGCTTCAAATTGTTGTGTTTATGATTTCGGCCATCACGAGCGTTGATGTTGGCGAAGCTTTTTCGACTAAACTTGATGTTCTCGATTTGGTTGACGTTCTCACATGCTGTGTGTTCGGGCGAATTGATTTTTCCTTGATGCTACACCTTGATTCGTTGTGAAAGTTGCACAAGAGTTGTACATCTCCATTATAGCATTCCTCTGTGATACAACCACTACCGTGGTTTTGTTGAAGAAATGATTCAGTTTTTTTTTTTCGTTGAAGCTATGGATTTGAAGCTATTATGCAGTTCCGGATCCTTGGTCGAGTCCGTAGCGTGAGCAGCTGAGCAGAGAATACAGATGCACGGGAAATTTTTTTAAATCCGTTCCATTCCGCGTCGTTTCTTCTTTTTATCGAAGCAAATTCCATTCTTTTTTACTGTCTATGCTTCGCTCGCAAAGAAGTTTCAGGGAACTTATCGGAATGGTATATAATGCGGAAGAAGAAAGCGCCATTCTACATAATTGCTTGTTGAACTAATGTAATTATGGATTGATTGTAGCATTGCTCTGGTCATGTCTTGTTCTTGCTCCTTTGAATCTTGGAATTGTGTCCTCTAGTCATGCCGTGACTCGCTGTAAAAGATAACATCGCTTCTGTTGACATTGAATGAAGTTGGCGAATTTCCACACGGCGCGCTTTGATCCCACTGACGTTATGATTTCCGAAAAAAATCTTCCTTGTGTTTGTTGTGGGCTATTCTGTGCTAGGCATCTTTTGAACCGGTGACGCGTTTTTCTTTCTCACGCGCTTTTTCGACTAGACCGCCTGATACCGTATTTACGCAAATATAAAAATCTCCTCGATTTTACTCACATTTTCGCACGCATTTTTAAAATCCTGAAAGTCGAAAATTTACATTTGAAGTTTTGTCATACGTGCTCCCATGGACAAGTTTTCATGACTAATTTACTTGTTGAACACCCGAAGGATAAGTTCAAATCTCGATCTAAGTAAGTCCAGGAAACGGATGATCGGAAGTGAAAATGTGTGAAATATTCGACAGCTTTTTCTCTCTCGAATTTCTTGTACTATCTCTGAATGGCATAGAAGTCAGTCGTCCATGATGATGGACGGCAAATCGAAGAACTTTTTATATTTGCGTGAATACGGCATTTCCTTTTTTGATTATCGTATAATTAGAAAATGAAGGATTGTTATCCATTCTCACATTGTACGTCGCTTAATCTGGAAGAAAAAGAGGTCGATTCGAAGTAGCTTTGTATGCGGAAGTATCGGGAAGATTGAGAGCCCTTGGTAATTGAAATGAAGTTGTGCGAATCAAACGTAATTCTACGAGATATTATTTCAATTCTGTGCTCAAGAAATGAAAAGTTCAGCAATCGTATTCGTATCCAGTTCAGTAGGATGAGCCCGACCGACGTATTCGCAGTTATTAAGTGCAAGTTCCCTTCAGCTGGGGAAGAAATTGCCACGGAGAAGTTCCTTGCTGCAGCCAAGGAAGTCCCTGACATTATCGGTAAACTATGTCCGGTCCTTGGTTCTTCGTAATGACATAAATTTCAATGACGAATTGTTTGTTTCAGGCGCGCTTGGGACCGTGTTGATGCCCGTTAAGATGGATATAGTAAACAACATTCAGGTAAAGTACAATACTTCCTTCATTTTGGTAAAAATTTGTCTTCGCATTTTTCCACTAGCAAAAGCAGGAATGAAAAATAGCTACATTTTTGCTTTAGAAATACCCGCGGTGAATTCTGGATTAATCCTTTTCCCAGCTACAGTAGAGTAACTCACAAGATGTATCCAAAAGTTGTGTATAAAAGATTTTGATGTCTGGTGCCAGATATAGAAAATTGAGAACAAGAGAGAAATGCTGCAGTTCACTGATCGTGAGTGTGATCATTTGAAATTTTTGATGGAAGTACAGCACTGTACTTATTTTTCATGTCAGCTTTTATTGAGTAGAGTACTGTATATGCTGTAATACATGTCCACAGCGTGATTTGAAATATTGGACTTCTCTCCACGTGTTTTGTAAAGGCAGACTTCCATTTGAGATCAGAGTTGAGACTCCGGACCAAGATAAAAAGAAAAGAGTAAAAAATAGGAAAAACCCGTTGGATTGCAAAATTAGACAGGAATTCAATAATTGATGCGGAAGGTATCCTTTCTTGAGTTTTCTATACATGGGCGGGAATGACTTCTTGGATTTAAACTGCATTGAGAGAGGCAATTATTTGCTTGAAACATCACGGATACCTGGCCCTTTTTGGAGACCAGGCGTTTATTAGAGAAAATATGTTTCACAATTACTGTTCAAATTGTCAATTTGAAACGTACCTTGTAAGCAACGCAATATTTATTAAGTTACCCTTATTTTAAATGTACAGCAGTCAATTTTGTTGGTTTTTTTTCTTTGGATTAAATTAAATTTCTAGTCTTTTTTCATTACGTCACAGAAATTGTCTGGAAAACTTTCGGAGGAGCCGGAGAAATATAAACTGCTGTTCGATATGGTCAGAGAGGAAGGATTTGATGCATCCGCTCCTGGTACCATTTCCTTGCTGTGGCTGAAAAGGTTTGTTGGCTCTCGGTTGAAATTTAGACTCGAAAATAAATCCGACCACTCGCGATTACTTGGCTAATCGTTAATTCCTCCTTTTTACAGAGGGTTAGAAATGTTCAGAGGTGCATTGTGTACACTTCTTGAAGCTCATAAGTCAAAGAATCCTTCCAATTCTCTCGTGGAACAATTCAGAGGAGTTTATTCCAAATGTCTTTCACAATATCATGGCTGGGCGCTACAAAAGTTGTTCTACGTGAGTTTTGGTCGCACTCCTTATGGTAATTTTTCCAGAAATTACTGATGACGGACCAAATCAAACGACGGAATTCGTCAATTTAATTCTTTACTTTACGTTAGCACCGATTATTGTTGTGAACTACATTCTCCAGAAGTGGATTCAGAATTTATCTGTTCCAACTTTTTGTGTGGATTTACAGCGGAAGTCATTGATTCGGCTTCTTTCTACCATTAAATATGAACATGAACATTGCCCAGAAACACGCATTTACAAATGCTATGGCTTTGTTGAAACTTGAAATCCCAATACAGTATTTCTAATTCGTTGTACCTCGCAACGTAAAGCACGTTTTTCGTTGAACAGTTCGAAGGACCCATTAAGATTTATTGAATATGTTTGCCCTAATCTCCTTTCTAGATGATGTAGAATTCTAGATGATAGTAAAATAAATTCGGTAAATCAATAGAGACAGTAAAGTATTCTGGTGCATCGTCGTCATGCGAATAGGATAGTTGAGTCCATGTATAGCTTTTATATATATTTCATGGGTGCAGGGGGAAATCCCGCGGCTCAAAAATTCCGAAGGCCGAAATTTCTCTCGGGGCACGAAAATCCCGCTTGAACAAACAGCTCGTGGATAAAAAAATTGTGAAAGTGTGTCTTTGTGTTTTCCTTCTATAGTTGCCTCTTGAAGTGGGTGCTAATTTAAAAACGAATCACAAGGATTGAAACAGGATTTTCGCGGGGGTAGGGGATTTGCTATCCGGGAATTTTCTCTCCCACGGGATTATCTCATACATCCTTCTTTTTCAGGATTATACTGTATTCAGAAGCATCAGGCTTCTAACTTTTTCCAGTTGGTTTTTTCCTGTATGATAAGCTAATTCATCTTTCAATTCGTGAGTTTCCATTTCACGTTTAGGTCAGAAACTTTTTGATTTGCTCTGAAGTCAATCCCTTCACCCAATTTTTGGGTACTTTCCTGTTATCTCAGTACCTACATGGTTCTGCTCCTGGTGGAATTCAACTCATCAGGAAACACGCGGTCAAGTCAAGTTATAGTAAAATTTTCAAAATCCGTTGAAAGCTAAAGAAAATGTTTATTGATGTTCAGTTATTCCGACCCTTTTTCACATGCACTGCGACAATTTTTTCTGTAAAATTAAATAATGCCCTCTTCAGCCGCATTAAAGTCGGGATTTGTACAATTTAAATTTTTTTCTTTTGTCGAAAATAATGAAATAAAATTGAGTGAAGTTCTAATCGTCTCAAATCGATGTTTGCTCCTTCTCGATTCAGATTGGTTTGGCTGCATTACCCTATAGAACATCGATGGTTGAATCGTTGCGAGATGCCCATCGGAAAGACGGGGAAGAGCCGGAAAGCGATGAAACTTTTTACAAAAACCTCGAGGCCTTTATCGATAACTTGAGTGGCTGTTTGGATCCGATAATTGCCTTCTTCGACGATCACGGTCTCAATTCAAGGGATCGTGTTTGAATCGTGTGATTCCTGCTTGTGATTCAACGGGAGGTTGTCTGTGAGACTCGGTCTCGACGAAAATCGAGTATCCGAAACAGCAAAATGACATTCATCATGGGGTTACTAAATTTTTCGCACCTCGGTAATTATGTGTGATTCAGTCCACGTTTGCCTGAAACTAGGGTGGGGAACATTATGGGAGTTATTTGCTCGAATCGGATGCCGAAGTCTTCCTGCTGTGCCGGAAATTACCGTACCTTTTTATATGGGATATATGAGCAGTTGAAAATGGACGACAAAAAAATGAGGATTATTTTTCTTATACTGCTAATTCAAAACAACAACAACGAAAAACAGTGGCAATCGTCCCAAACTGTAATGAATACACGGGACCTGAACTTCGCAATTTCTAATGATGAAAACTTCTTTCTCGGGTAGTATGAGGTTGTTGAATTTTTGTTGCGTGTTCAAAATTTGCATGTGTTCTCACGCCGTATTTAATTTGCAGGTAGGACAGTTTCAGGTTATCAAATTATTGGCAAGGATTGTCGTAATTTTTTCCTGTTCAGCGTTTTCTACATTTTAAACCCACCTGATTTTATGCCATGTGAGATGGAAAATGAGCAGTGAAGCTCGGTAACAAGTTTTCAATCTTTTCAAATGATTTGATCATATCTGTCCTGCTTTTGATTAGAATGCTGAGCTGCGCCTCGAAATGCTGGTGATATAAATGCTTCTAGAACTATGCATTTATGGACCATTGCGACGTAATGACATTTTTGGAATTTATATTTCTCGAATATAGTGTACATCTTATCATTCATTGTGAAAGAATAAATTTATTCGGTCAATTTTGTATTGATGTGCTGTATATAATTCATCCCCTACTGGATTTTGAAAGAGATCCGCAGTATTAATGGATTTTGGGGGAATTTTTTCAATTGAAACTATGTCGCGGTGCAAAAATCACGTGTTCGTTCTATCCGTCTTGCGAAAAAGTCTGTATTTCGAACAATTGAGAATCGTAACGTAATGAAGAGTGGGTATGAATTTTAAGAATGAATTTTTAAGAAAATTTGCCTCTTTCCTCGTCATCACAACGGTATGTAGGCGGGAGATTCCTCAAAGATGAATTGCGGCATCAAAGCGAAGGCGTCAATCGTCAACGCAGGTTCAACCCCGAAAGTAGAAATCAGGTTCACTGCTGACAAGAGGAACAGACTCGTGGCGTAGTAACTCAGAACCTTGGGCACCAAGTCGTCGGTTCGACCAGAGAATCCCTGATACGCAACCAACAGACAAATGGCCGCCACGAAGCCCATGACGGCGTTTCCTTCCCAACTCATGTAAGCGAGGAAAGCGGCGTCGATGGTGAGCACTGCTTGCGTGAGGCGGTAGAAGAGATTGTATTCTTGGAGCACGTAGAAGATGAGTGGCACCAGGGCGCCGATGAGCCAGAGGCGGTCGTCGTCGGGTTGCCACTTGAGGCCGAGGTGCCGGGAGAACTCCGCCAAAATTGAGCCCATCCCGAGAAGCGGCACCATGAATGAGACGAAGTTGTGCACTTTGTATACTGTCTCCCCGCATGGAAACATGGCTGAATGAGAGATCGGCCGAGTAAAATGTTTTTTGTTTCAATTCTCAAGCAATGCTTTTCTCGCGTTTTACAAAGTTGACACATTTTTACCGAACTGTTGGGGACTTTGGGAAATATGTTATTATTTTCACGCGCGAAACTAAGATGAGAGAAGGAATGCGCTTCAAAATCCGGTAAAATTTAATCTAAAAATGTAAAAAAAGTTGAAATTTTAATGTAAGAACTTTCCAAGTTTAGGTATACATCACAATTGATTCTAATTTTGAGCAAATTTTGGGGGGAAATTTACTTCGCAAAAATCGATAATAATTCAACATGACCCCAATGCACAAAAATGCTGTATCCTGGATGAAAAATGAGCCAAAGTAAAAGAAACTTGAGTCTTTCTAACATTCTAAGTTATATTTATAGGTTACTACTGCTAAAAACATTCCAATGCTTGCATTCTTTATATTATGGAATATTCTATTTCTGAATTTTACTACATTTTAAAAATATTTTTGTTGTTGCAATACCCTATCCTTCTTTTGAAAATTTCATCTATGAATAAGTGGGAACTTTCCTGGGAATAATGATGACTCCTGCATGATTCAACCTCATGTAAAATTTGAACAAAACTTACGAAAGTTCTACTTTTTAGCTAAACGTAATATGTTGGAAAATTCCTATGCTGTATATAATGCGTTATCAAATATATTTAAATGCAGTTTAAAAAATAGTTCGTTTGAGCAAATTCTTCCATTTTGCTGTTCTCTTTGAGAACACTCAGTGGCTTAACAAGTTTATCTTGCCTTTAGTAGAAATCCGTACCTAAAGCTTTCTCTAATACTGTATCAATGTGTCTTGCGAGAGTGCCACAAAATGTGTCAGGACATATTATGGCTCTAAATCAAGGTTGGGCTGTATAATTAAAAAATGACACATGGCGTGAACGTCAGCGATCTTTTTTGAGCACCCAATACTGTATATGTGAAAAAAAATCAATGTTCTCGTGAAATTTCATTTCTCGCAGTTCAGTAGTTCTGCGAACAGTGAGGATGCACGTTATTATTAAAAATTCCCCCGCCTCCAAATTTCGGCCGGAAGTACTCGGGCAGAAGCCGCTCGTCATCCACAACGGTGAAGTAGAAATTTAAAAACGCCGACCAAATATAAGAGCACACTAAGCAGTGGTACACTTGGCCGGGATACAAGATGGGAATCGCCGCCACGAGGGCGTGTTTGTTGTAGAGGCCGGCGACGAAGAGCGCGAAGAGACAGACGACTGTGATGGCCTTGACGGCGCACCAGAACAAGTCAAGCCTGTTTGTCACGTAGAATATCATGGGCAAAAGGGCCCAAAGCTGCCAGGCGGATTCGTTTAGGAGTCGGTCCTCCCAGTCCGACGGCGGCGGTGCTTGGCATCGGAGGATCTCGAAGGTGAAGAGGACGAAGGACGCTGAGATCATCATAGCGTGGAGAAAGTCCAGGCCCATTTCACATGCTTCGCTCAGTGCTGAAATTGGGGGGAATTGAGAGAGAGAGATATGAATGAATTTTGAGAGGAAAAGCCAGTCCGAAAATTGATTGAAAATAATACTGCACTACTGTACTGTATTTTTACAAAAAAAGACAAATAAATTCGATTCGGTTTTCCTCTTGGAAATTCATGCATGCCTCTATACTCAATACAACCCAATGCACGCAAGGACATTCGTTTTCAAGTTTTGTTGGTTTTTTTGTAGCTCGAAGACTCATATTAATTTAGGATAATTCAGCTATTTTGTGTAATAACATTTGAAGGGGTGTTTCGATGTTCAAGAAGTATAGATTCTCTCAAGCGCATTAAATATTTGTAAAACTTTTTGTAATTTTGGCCGACTTTTCACTCGATTTTCGCAAAATTCGTGAAAAAATGTTCGATTTTGAGTTTCAGCTTGCCATATTTTTATTGGTTTTCTTAGAAAACGAAGTTTCCTGAAAACTTTAATTGTAAAATTTAACGAGGATTTTAAAAATTGTTTACATGGAGAAAATGCACAAAACTGAAATTAAAAGCGAACAACAGTGCTATGTGTTATCTGTAAGATTAGGAACAAACATTTTATTCATGAATCCGTTATATTGGAGATGAAAATCCCAATTAATTTTTTTGGTTTATTCTGCCAAATTTCAAAGAGAATTCCATAAAATAACTGGTCATTTTGCTTTTCAATGCGTTCTGTTCAATATTTATGATTAAAAAGATTCAAGTTTAATGCTTGATTTTTCTCTGGATGTAAATAAACGAGGGGCTGCGCGAAAGTTTAAACGCTTCTATCTGTCCTTTCAGAAATAAATGTGACTCATATTTTACTGTATGTTGGAAGCGAAACATCATTTTCTCTCAACCTCTCAGACTTATTTATGTACAAATACGATAATTGAAAAGTTCCGAGAAGAACAGTTCTAGTATGAATTTCAAAAGGATATTTTTCTTATTCCACACTCGCAAAATCGCGCAAATTCCTATTTTAAATCGCTAACTTTTTTTGATTCTACAGTATATAACAATTTCATGGGTTAATAAGATTATGTGAATTTATGTTGTGTCCCTATAAGAAGCGAAGCATCGAATTCAAATGGTGAATATGGGTTGGATTTCATCAAAACGTGTCGCTAATTTTCCCACAAGTTCCAGCACCTAAGCGAGGCGCGGTCAGCTGGCATTTGAAAGAGAGTCGGGTTGCAGGCCATGAGACCCCTGACGAGGAGCCCATTGAGAGCCCCGAGCAAGAGAAGCCTGTCGGTCCCGAGCCCGAAATCCGAGTACCGAAACGGCATTTCCCCGCCGTCCATGCAAGCGGCAAGCTCTTGGAAGTACGCAAAGAGAAGGACGGAGACGAGGAGGAGGATGTGTTGGCCGCTCACGACACCCAGGACAGCCAGAGAGGCCAAGTTGCTGAAGACTATGGACACCGCGACGGCGTTGGACAATTGACACCTGTTGGCCGGGATCAGGGCATTGGCAAAGATGCCCAGACAACCCAGGCCCATCCAGCGCCAGGAATCGGACAACGAGGACTCGGATGGGAACTCGTTGGCCACTTCGGCGACGAGGGCGGCTGTGCCGCCGCAAGCGCTCAGGACCATCAGACAGCCCTTGGCCCAGTCCAGAGCGTCGTTCAAGGCGCCTTTCTGGTGCTGGAGGACACCTGAAATATACAGCCCCAACACACCATCCTCACTCGATCCTCTCATCCATTCTCCTGCTCTGTTTTCCGAAGCACAAACGCATGAATGGATATTTTATCTTATGACTGACGAAGTGAGATTCGTGCGGAAAAATTTTGCAAGAATTTCGTCTCTCCGAGGTTCATCCGGCAGTTTTTTCTAATCCCTTCTTTGATCCTGCATGAATGAATATTTATCTGATGACTGACAGAATGAGATTTGATCGGAAAATTTGCAAGAATTTCTTCTCGCTGAAGTTCCTCATCGGGTAGTTTTTCTAATCCCTTCTCTAATCCTGAATGGATGTGTAGTATAACAATGACTGAAATACAAGATTGGTTTGGAAACTTGTACAGGAATTTCGTCTCGCCGACTTTCCTCGGGCAGTTTTTCTACTTCCGTTGTTTTAATGATCCTGAATGGATATGTTATGTAACATCCACCAGCAGTTTTTCTAATCCTGGATAGACGTGCCGAATCTAAAAAGTTCCCCATCTATAAATTGTGCGAGAGTAATTTACAGGAATGGGATTTGGTCCTGCTTCATGCCGAAAACGTGATGCAATTTTTGTAGACACACCTTTGAAGTACATTCATGAACAAGGGAAAGAAAAAAATCTTTGACTAATTCATTTTGAATGGAGGGAACGGCTGTACTACTTTGTTTTTGCGTTTTATAATACATGTACCTCTATTAAACACGTGTATAAACGTCTAGGAAACAAGTCTTGATGCAATCGTAAGTACGGTAAGTCCAATGCTGATCAATAAAAGGGGCTATGCATAATATTTCAGCATAAAAACAATACTTTGAGAAAACATTTTGAATAATTTACGCGATGCAAATATAAAAGCCTCTCAGCAACACATATCCTTATTGGATTAAGAATGTTTTGGTCCCAAATTGGAGTTCTCACCCATATATGTTCTAAGGGCCGGTTCTCTATATAGAGTCTAGACAACAAATTTTTTCTAGTTCCCTGGAATTGACTTTGAATGAGTGCACGCGAAGTCCCATTTCGATGTGTGACAAACTATATTCTTCTTTTAAAACAGCTTTACCCATAAAAGCAATGAAGAGGACGTCTTAACAGACATAACTTTCTGCATGGTGAAAACTGATCCTGGGCCATATATAGATGATGTATAAATATTTATGTTTTCGGATGCTGTGCGAAGGTGGTTCCAAATACAGTAGTAAATAGACGAAGCGTGATACTGTGGACGAAACAACAAATGAGATATTGCTCGAATATAAGTTACTATAGGTATAATTTCTCTATTCCAATAACTTATGTGCTATTTTGCCAACATGAAGGAGTAAAAATCTCACCATAGCGCAGAAGAGTCACAACACCTTTCAGCAAAGAAAGGGTTAGCCAAACAGACAAGTATGGACGTCTGTCAAAACTAGGCAGTGAAAGACCAAACTCGTAAGTTCCCGTTTTTAGCATGTGATTGCAATACATGGACGACAGGATGAGGAACAAGGATGCTACAATGACATCCCGATCTGCCGCCATCTCTGCATGAATCAAAGGTTAATGTCTACATGTTTCTTAGAATTAGGACCCAAATACTGCACAGTACTGAATACCTTGTCAAAGCTCGCAGATTGATTCGATTTCCTACGTGACTTCTGTGCAATGATTTATTAAAAGAATAAGAAAGTAATTAATTATTGAAGCTTTCAATACTGATTTGTCTGTGAATGCAAACCTTGATGAGATTCGTCTGTCTGTCATGCATCACAACCCATAATCTATGCAGCGTGATGCTTCAGTGCATATGAACTTTGATGGGGTTTTTCTTGTCAGCAGGGTAAGGCTGATGCAATCAGTCCTGGATAACAGCAGTGGTGGTTGCTTGACACAGGTTACCATGTCGAACTCTATGACAATAACAATAACAAAGGTATGAAACAGAATAAATATGCCGGCGCACGTGCGAATGAGTGAGGTTAAATTCTAGTTTGAGCAGTAACTAAAACTAGGATGTCGTGTGTTAATTTCGAAAATTAAATTTAAGATTTTAATTGAAGGAAAAGAAACCATGATGATAAATAAATTTAAATTCCACTCCCTCTCTCAACGCGATCATTGAGTGACTTCATGAATTTTGCCTGTTTTGAGTTAATTTTATGTTAAAATCTGATCAGGAAGGCAATACGCATACTACTTATTTGAAAAATAACCTAATTTAAACTGTCCTATGCATAAAGAAAATTTCAGTGGTATGAGACATGCCATTTTGCCCTATAGAAGTCTTCCTGGAATCTATGTCGGTCAATCATTTCAGTTAAAGTTACTCATATGAAAGCTGGTGGCGGTGGCGTGGAAGAGGAAGCCCTCAATTGAGTGTCTAGGTGTGGAAGGTGTCCTGAAAGGGGGCGTTTCGGCGTGAAGTGCCACTCTGAGTAACGTACTTTTCTACTGTCGTGGTGCAGGCCTTGCGGCAGTGTCGCGAAGTATCAAATTATTTTAGATCGGCACCGTGATCCATGCATTCGTGTGGGAATCTTCTATGTTCCGTGTGTGACGTACTCTCTCTTGTAGAAGCCTTTTTTACGCTTTCAGTATTATTGCGAAGTTCTTCGGCGACATTCGCTTGGGGTCATATATTAGTAGAGTAATATGTCTTAGTCTTGCTTATTATGTGTAATCGTCGAGATTGCAATGGTCGTCGAATGTACTGTGTGGAAGGGCATTGCTGTTAGATCTTGAAACGCTGTTCGGGGAACGACTCGCTGCTATGGTAAAATGAGAAACAAATGTGCTTCTTTTCATTTTGTCAAATTCCGGGACGCCTTTGGAGTATTTACGGTTGGATTTTGGTGTTATTTTCTTTAGAAAATTGGCACTTGTGAATCACCATGCGCCGTTGATCGTTGCAGATATGCTTGGTTTTGTAGCTAGTATCGGGTTGCTTACGTCGATGTGTGTGACGTCCGCATTTCGTTGCTGTACTTCTAGATCATGACGCCTGATGAAACATGTATTAGCGTCATGAAAGGTTAGCCGCCACTGAGCGAACACCTGCACTAGGATTCTATGGAATTTCCCGAGAAATGTGTGAGAGTTTTGTACGACTTGAGTTACGAAACTAACGACGGTCGACGGATACAAATCCTTAAAGATGAAGAGTTCGTCTTGCTTCAGACCACAACGCGTGATTGGTGGAAAGTTATACGCGGAGGCGAACGGCGAGCCTTTTACGCTCCTGCAGCGTATCTTCATGAGATCGATCGATCTGCTGAAAGAAAATCACCTCTTATCCCAGAAAACCCAGTCGATGAATCGAACGAAGAGTTTGCGATTGATATCAACCGATTAACAAATGGTGCGAACAAACGGGCTAGCATTCCTGGAAGTAATTATCGAGAAAAGCTGAACGCGGAATTTCGAGAAAAATTACGAGAAGCGAGAACGTCTGGCGAATTCTGCGGGGACCCAACGTCCAAACGTTCTGTTAGTTCTGAATTTGATAACCAACGTAAGCCTCCGTGGGACTCTCAAAGAGGGGCTCTTGCGCGATTGCTTCATGAGAAACTCAACTTCAGTTCTTCGCAAAAAACCAAAGAACCTTTCGCTAAACTCACTCAGCGTCACCGTGCTCGATCATTAGAATTTCTGTCATCCAACGACGAATCGTGTGGGAATGCCAGCACTGGATCTGGTGGGAAGCAGCGGAAAGTTCGTCTAGCGAAAGACTCTTGGGATAGAAGAAAATCGTGGGCCATGTCCCTGGAAGAGTCCGACTTTGGTGGAGAGGAATTGGTAAGCCTGAGTACCGCTTGTGGTGATCGCGGTAAGGCGTACAAGGTGAATCTTCCATCAAAGGCTGCCTCGAATGAACACCAGCAGAAGTACCCTTCATCAGAGGACACCAGGAATGCACCACCACCTTTGCCCGTCAAAATGCGAAACGCCCCGGTTGTGAAACCGAAACCTATGTTACCAGAACGTGCGGAAAACACGAGATTGAATCACAGGGCTGAACGACCCCGTGTTCCCAGCATTTCACAGTACGAATTCGGCTTTGATGGTAAACCAGTGGAGATGTGGAACCACGACAGTTGGAATGACAGAGAGAAGACTAGCCTTGGTAGTTTCCGTTCGCGAAATGTTCAAGGAGCGGAGCACGGGAGAAAAAGTTTTGAATGTCTCAACCAGCCCGTTCCCACTGGGGCAATTAGAGATCGGTGGAAAGTTCGGTCGGACTCAAGCATCTCTCATTCTGCCGCCATGGCATTTGTAAACCCCGCATACGCATCGAACGGATGGCGAGAAGATGCGAACGTGATCAAAATTGAAGTTGGAAGCCCGAAATCCAGTGGTGTAAGTATTGGCAAGTTTACGTGACAACAAAATACAAACTGTAAAGACGTTCGTCAATGTGAAGTGAATTTGCGAGAAATTTTTCAGAGTGGACCACAAATTAACCCACAGTTCCGATAAATTTAATCCTAAAAGCCTAAAACTCGATGTACCATATCCAGTACAGTATCTTATAATGAACACCCCCGGCGTTTATTCACAATAAAGTATGTAGCTTTTCTCCTGTCGTTTAATAGAGACCAGCTTCTAACAGAGTCAGTTTTTTTATTCGGAACTATCGACTGCCCATCGAGTTAAAGAGAGAGGGAAGAAAATGTGAAAGACCTAAGGACAAATGTGAAAAACCCTTTGATTGTAACTTTCTCTTTGATTATGAGACGGGCATCTTATTATACACTACTGTACAGAGAAAATTGTTGTGGGAAAAATTATTTTAGAGAGAGTTGACCTGTATTATGACGACCTTTTCACTTCAAAAAAGCTATTCAAAGGAAAAATAAAGTAAGATTCTGTCTCGCATATTGCCAAAGAACAGTGCTTTCACATTTTTTCTGCTTACTTCAAACTTTTAAAGCAAGCGTCAAATTTGTGCCCATGATTAGAAAAGTGCTCAATGTGTTGATCATTATTTCTAATGATTGCATAATGTATAGTTGAGAACAAATCTCGTACCTTGTAACATTTCCTATGTTTTCTCTCATATAGCCGGCAATTAGCCCTCGGTCTGAAGTTCGAACCCCGATGGGTGCCAGCCGGGAACAGATGGGACGCCAACCGTCGCACACACCGCCGACACCGCGAGAATCTTCTGTGCCAGTAAGAATTATTGGTGGCGATTGGGCGGAGTACTTTGACGACGAAAGCGGGAGAAAATTTTATTTCAATTCGGCGTCGAAAGAAACTACGTGGAAACCTCCGAGGAAAGCATACGGGGCCGGAAAGTCTAACGTGAGTTGATTTCAAACTTGATGGATTCCATTTTTCGAAAAATCTCTGCGTTAAATTTTACGATGTCCCTGATTTTTTCACTGTGAAAGCCAAGAGTAAAGCTTGATTTGACCAACATTTCTTTCTTCTTAAAATCTTGTATGCTATTCATCCTTTCAATACATTTTTTTTTACCAGGATTTACAATATTTTATTCGTTTAAAAATGTTCAAAATTACCTTTGTGGCATGTGAGAACTGTTCAGGTTGTTGTCCTCCAATTGTAATCAATTCTCCATGCGTTAATATAATTAATTTGTCCTTCTCCTCTTGTATAAGCTTCATTCTTGGGGGTTACGCACTTCAGACTCCGTCAAGTTGAGTGGGAAAATTGTTTTCGAGTCAAGGAGGACTGTTACTGAGGATAGTAGATTTTTCTGAGGACCTTTTAAGCTGCCATACATTAGAAAATGCGTGTGTAAAATAATGATGGAGCATGGAGAAATCATAAATTGAAGATAGATTTAACTCTAAAATACTGTAGCACATTATTAAAAACAAATCAAATAAAAAAAAGTTGTAGTACAGTACTGTACAGTATTAAATAGTGTTTTTCCCACCTGGAAAATTGTTCGTGTCTCATTGCAGATGTCGAATTCTTGTGGGAGTCTTTACACGAGCAGCAGCATTGAGAACTTGTCTGGTGAGAACTTGGATGAAGGTGACGATCTGGAACTCGATGCCGACGACGTGTTCGATCACGAGGATCTGGTCGCGAATTGGAACCCTGGTACGCGGGACCCCGTTCCGCCGACGCCGCAAAAACGAACAACCCATTTGCGCCGGCAAATATCGTCGCGAACTGAGCCGATTTACGCGAACCATGCAGCCCTGTTGGAAGGCAGTCAGGAACTCTGGGAGCAATCCGGAACTGAAAGCACGGTTAGTTAGTTCCTTCTATTCCTCTTCTCTGCATCTGTCTTTCGGTTCCCTCCCATTTTTTAGTTCTGTGGGAATGGAGATCTAGAATGCGAGAGCGTTTTCCAGTGTAGTAGGGGATTCTTCCGCTTTATTCAGTGCTACACCCGACTCAGATGTGGCCAAGGGCCACATTAACACTTTTTTTTTGGCAAAGGGACCGTAAAAATTTTAGGGGAGGGACTACAGGGGGGATGAAGAGTCTTCGCGGGCCAGGTTTGGGCTGTTTGTTGGATAGCAATGACCCTAATTGAAAGTTGGGATGTGGGATGAGTTGAACATCTCTGGTCCGAACGAATTTTGCACTCTTTCCATTCGCGACACTTTTTGGAAGGGAAAAGGTTACTAGCGTTCTCAATTTTTTTTTTCAAGAAATGAACGCGTGGTTCGTCTATGTTGGGGTTTCCTTTCTATTACTGCTTTCACACCTCATTTCAGGTGCGATAGTCAGTTTCGTTATCACTTTGGATTATTCAGGTGTTGGGTTAGGAAGGAGTTGATGAATTTAGATTCGGATGATAAATGTAATGTTCTTGTAGCAATGTTATGAATACATTATATATTTTCGGTTACGTTAGTCAGCTCAGGTCAAGTTACTTTCTATGCCTTTCGTACACTTTTTGTTCGATTTAGTTACTGTATTCGATTAGGTCAATTCAGTTTTAGGCCATTGTCGCAGCAGCGGTGCGTGGACACTTTTTTCGAGAGCGGATGAGCATGTTCAAATTTTATTTTTTAAATTTGAGGAATAGTTCCGGGCACTTCTTGGGTCAAGATTTAAATGCAAAATTATTTTACGCGGAATAGCGTAAAATTGTCTTTATACAGTATTTATGCGCATGATTTGACGCGTGTAAAATAAGTTTTCATTATACAGTACTGTAATGGTTGAAGTGCATCGTCAAGTACTGAAGTTAATTTTCTTTTCAAGCCAAACCACTGTTTTCAGACGTGGCGTGGTGATTATTTTCCTGTCCCTGTGACACCGCAAAAGAAAAAAGAAATTGTTTTGCTTTTCTCCGGCGGCGAAAGGGGATCAGAAACCTTGCGAGTTCAGTGTTGGTGTTGGACGGAAACGTGATAAGACTCAGTATCTTCCGGCCTTCGTGTTTCTGATTTGCTGGTCACTTGGTTGGTGTGGCTTTAGCGTAAGCTCATTCCTTCTCGTGAATCGCTTCGCTTGCTTCAAACTTGCCTTATTTCAGTTCCCCTCCCCTATCCCGTCATGTGTGTGAGAATTTTAATTTTTTTTTTCGAAGCAGTTTTTTGGTTTGACGAGATATTTTATTAGATTGTGCTTTTGATTTTAATTCTCAACTTTCAAAATGCGTGATATACTGTACTGGGAAATGCTGAATCTCACTGGTTGGTTTTTCCAGCTGGAGAAATATTGTCGATGTGTCGAAGTCGCTTTTTTTTTATCTGAAAAGTTAAGTGACTTTTCGACAGCGGTTGGAATGGCTTTTGATACACGCTTAAAATTGTCCGTCAAGTTTCATGCAAGACATCATTTTTAGTAATTTTCCTTTCAAAAATCCGACGTAGGAGCGATGAACATTAGAACTGATTCCAAAATTCTCGGAGTGAAACCTGGCAAAGTTGCAGACTACGTGCTCTTGTGTGATGGTATATAGTTGCAGTACACAGTAAAATTATTAAATGGAAGAAACCAAGGCGCTGAAGGGAAATTTCGCGCAGTGAATGTGGTTCATAGGTCACTACGTGTCATTACATGGTGATTTTTTTTAAATCATTAAATGGGAGACTTTTTTCAGGTAACCTTTCCATTCGTCCCATTTGCTTTGAAGAAATGTTTTCATCAAAAATGCTGTCTTTTCCATAATTTTGGTTTTTTATTTTTAAAAATAGAGAGAATTTTGATTAAATTTCGGAACGAAATGTCGGATCGGAAAAGTTTGGTTTCGTTGGTTCGGTACACTTCGCTGGTGCCGTGTGAGGGTTTGAGCACGGTGGCCGAAAGTGAAGATTCGGACGATTTCACCTCAGGCGACGACACTGACGATGACGAGGAGACGTCGGCAGAACGATTTACGAATTTCGTGAACAATTTTGAGGCCAGTGGTGTGACCTACGGGGTCAAGCTACACTTGGAGCGGAGACTGAGTGATCCTCCTCCGAAACAAGCGGGGGTAACTAAAAATTCAACATCTGACTGTCCATTAAACGTTGCTTGGAGTGAATATTTTCATTCCTTTTTTTCACTTGAATCAAACCTTGACTAACGAACCTGAATTCTTATAGAACTACCGTAGGTTTGTTATTCGATTGACTCTTTCGGGAGGATGATATGTCCTTTCCTTGCGTCCGAAAACGAGTGGGTATTGATCTAAGATTCTAAGGAAAGCAAAACACGGGTCAATTAATTTGAACGAGTTGTTGTTGCATTACAAATTGTAATTAATTTACTACAGTTTTAGTGCCATTATATTCATATTTTAATCTGATGAGCGAGGCGTTTTTGGTAGTACAGTAAATGAAAGTTTTGATAAGCAATGGGTTAGTTGATTTGGCTTTCAACTTAAAATATTAATTGTTTTAAAGTTTTTCTGGTTGAATTCAGGACTCCTCGGTAATCTACCGCTGTGCTTCAAAGCTAATTCGAGTTGCAATGCCTGGGATGCTGGACTTACAATCTTCTTTGAGGTTCCTGACAGTTCGATGATATGCTTTGAATTTTAATTTTTTGCCTGTTTATGCTAGACGTTTAGGCCTGGAGATATTTTCCTCGTAGAAATTAAAACTAAGAAGATGAAAAAATTTCTGTCTCTGTTAGCATGAGAGGCACTAAAAAGTTTGGTTTTGTAGTGAACACAGTTTCTAAGTCCTTGAGGTTTTTATTAATAATTTGAAAATGTAAGACCCAAAAATTTGCATTTCTTTCTGTGTTGCACATTTTCAAAATAAACCCTGGTTCTTATTTTGGAGGCATACGAAAGTGAGTGAAATTTTTTTTTTTTTAAAGAAAGAGCATGTGTGTAAGTGGCGGTTATTTATTTATAGCATGGAAACGCAGCAGCGTTCACCTAAACCACCCACATTGCACACGCAACTAAGTTTGCCTTGTCTTTTTACCGCATATGTTCTTGCTTCGCTAAACCTGTCGTAGTAGAGTCGTTATCAGCAAAAGATTATGAAAGACGATTGTTCGCGGACAACGCGTGGATGTGTGTAAGATGAGATGTGGGGCAAGAGGTTGTGTTATCGATAAATGGAGAAACGGGGGGAAAATCTCGGGATGACTTCTCCTCGCCCATGAAGAATTCCTGATTGAGGAACAAGTTTTTTCGAGATCGATTGATTCGAGTGATGTCTAGGAATTCATTTTTTGATGTACGGTGTGCATTGAAAAAAATCCGAGATTTTTGGACTTCGAAATGTTTGAAGGGAAACGTGTGTTTCAGTTTCGTTTGAACTCTTCACTATATTCTTGGAAATCCGTGATTCCTTTATAACATTTTTAATACCTCTTCCAAAATTTCGTATAGTATTCAGAATCCTAAACAAGTTCTGACTACTTGCTTTTTTCACGCTCTTCTACGTGCGATAGTAAATTATCGATGATTTTGTTGTTTCACCACCAAACGATTTCATCTGATTTCAACGGTCACACTGGAAAAAAACAAACGCGAACGAACACTTGTTAAAAAATCCGAAAAGTAGAAAATATGCCAGATGAGCGAGAGTCAATAATCTAACTTGACGAGCGCCAATTTGTGATCTTTTCTTGTAAAATACTTTCAATTGATTGCCTTCGGAAAATTACAGCGACCGTGTTATTCTAACTGATGTATAGTTTTCAATTTCGAGTTTTTTTTTTTTAGAAACAAAAATGTATTCCCTTGAAGCGTTGGTACTCTGGAAGCATTTTCGTCACGGCAAAAAGATTTGAAAACCGCGAACAGCTGTAGTGAAACATTCAGCATTTAATTCCGCCCTTTGTGTGATCTTAAAAAGGGTGTGCGAGAGAAATCCGGTTGATTTTTTTTTTCTCTCTTTCCCATTGGGTTCTATTCTCACGGTCTCCGATCGATATTTACTTCGTCCTCTGTGCTATCAACTCATTCGACGGGAAAATTATCCCAACTTCCGACGCCTCTTACCGACGTTTCTCGCGTACGAGTGGCGAATAGTTTTATTTGAAAGAATCCCTGATGGATTCTTTTTTTCTTTCAATGCGGCGTCGAGCTGATCTAGAGCAAATTTAATTCCTTATCAAGATAACTAGGTGTGCTTTGATTTTGTACAGTATTTAGAAGCCAGGCTCCGGTTCCGTGTTTTCCGATTGGAGATAAGTTTGTTTGATTTGGTCATTTTCGCGTTCTTCCACTGGAACCTGTTTTTCTCTATGTTGAAGAAGTTTCGCTAGGAAAGTAATTACTCGGGATCTTTATTTTATTTATTTTTTTACTAAGTATTGGAATTTTTCGAGATGAGATGAAAAGATTTACCTTTTAGCTATATTTTCCGTGAGACTTTTTATTTTATTTTCCCGACTCTTGTGTCAACTTTTTAAAAATACGGTATTTTATTTCCTGCGCGGAAATTTCATGGCTTCACTCTTCAGCGGAAGGACCGTCTTGTATTTTTCTAAAGGAAAAAAATGACTTTTTTTAGCTATCTTCAGTTTTTTTTTCTGCAATATGAAGAATTGGAAAATCTCGTTATACCGAATAATCGCTTACAACGAAGTCATTTGTTGGTCCTCACCACCTAGGAGCCACAATTTTAAATGAGGTACAATATTTCATGAGGAATTTTTCGTTACAAAGATGTTATATTATTTGTTTGGATGGCTTAGTTGTAACGAGGTTCTACTGTACGAGGGGTCCAACAAATGTTCTCTGAATTTAAATTGAAATGGCATATACAGTACCGTACGATTGAGCTGAAAAACAATTATCGTTTAGAAAAGAACGCATTCATCTGCTGGAAGAAAATAATCAGCCCTGTTTCACATATTTTTTGGATTTTTTTTTTGCAAAACGGCTACACCACGAAATCTGCGAGATGCTCGCCTCATATTTTTTTTTAGTGAAGAGCAGAAATCTGCCACGGTGACATTTGCAACAAAAGTTCCGGAAAATGTTTCAAACAGGACTTGACTTTTTCCTTGTGCCGAATAATTTTTTCTTCTCTGAAGAGTCTGACCAATGATTGTTCTTCAGCTCAAAAAATGTGTTGTATCTGAAGTTCTGTCTTAAGAAATTTTGTTAGACTCCCTCATGTGTTGCGTTTTCACAATCGGATGGCGAAGCCGTTTGACGCGTTAAAATAAATTTGAATCAACCTGCTTAATTTCGAACCCACATTCGTCTGTAGGACAAGGGGATCTAAAAAAAATCACACGGTCGACTCCGAAGAAAAGGGGGGTTGTTGAACACTACGTATTGAGACGAAGGATACAGATTGACTAATGTCTCCTTCTTGGCCGTTTCGTGGAGCCAAGAAGGGAGAAGGAAAGAAATGTTGCTGAGGAAGAGAGTTGGCAGCAGGAAGCTTTGCACAAGCAAGCTAGCTGTGACAGCAGAACTCTTGAATGTCCCCCCCCCTCTTCGATTCGACGTGTGTTTGCCCTCGTCGCATTCCAACGCGACGGGTTTTATTGATTGATGTACTCGTTCGTTCGTTCGTTCTTTTCGCACTGCCGGGGATCCCAGGACTCTGGGGAGAGGGACAGAATAAGGGACGTTTTTTTCTGCCGTGTACCATATCTTGAAGAGTATTATTTTTTTGTAATACCGCCCTGTCTGATCTCTGCGAATAAGTCAATTTTTCAAATGATTTTGCGCATATCATGAAGTTTTGGTTTTAATACTTTTAAATTGAGATTAGTTTTACGCCGTGGGATATTGGAAGTTGGTGTCGGAGGAAGTTTTTGTGCTGTGCGGTGGAGTGGAGTGGAACAGTCGCCGTTATTGTGTGTTTTATGATAAAACCTGAGGTTAAAAACTTGTGGAATGCTTCGAAATTTTAAATGAAATTTAAATTTATGAGAACTTTTGTACTTGACTCAACCGGGAAGGGGGTTTGTTATATTTTTTTAAACTCTGTTTTTTTTAATAATTTTATGACGAAATTCTCTGAGGAGTGTCATTGCCATCGTTCTTTGATTGAAATACTGAATGCTCTTACGTAGAACGGCGATTTTGTAACATGAATATTTACTGCTGCGAGTGTCGTACTACAGTGGAACCCCGATAACTCGGGCTTCTTCGAGTCGAATACCTCCCCGTGTCAAAAATGTTTCAAGCACATGTCTAAGAAGAAAATTATTAGTGTACATTAAAAACCCCCCTAACTCGAAGGCTTTCGTCCTCGAACCTCTATGAATTGAATTTCCTAGAGGCCTTTTGGCTGATTGATATTTTATTGACAAAGGAAAGAGAATAAAATTGTAAAATTAGTGTACATTAAAAACCCCCCTAACTCGAAGGCTTTCGTCCTCGAACCTCTATGAATTGAATTTCCTAGAGGCCTTTTGGCTGATTGATATTTTATTGACAAAGGAAAGAGAATAAAATTGTAAGTTGATGTGCTTTGAAAGGAAGTGAAAGAATAATTTTAAAAATGAACCCTTGCCTCCAAGTTAGCATCCTGGTAACTCGCTCAAGAAGCAATTAAAGGCCCAGGATATCACCATTTACAATTTCCTGTATTTCTTATTTCTCTTCTTTGAAAGAAATGCATTTTTTTCCCCCGACTCAAATTGCTTGACGGTCCCTTCAAGTTCGACTTGAAGAGGTTCGACTGTATCGTTTTGATCGCATTTTTGTAACGCCTAACGTGTGCTGTGGACGTAGGAACGTCAAATCAAAATTTCAACGGAAGATTTGAGTGTAATCGTGTGGGTATTTGTTCGAACTTCGACACACCGCAAAAACCTTTTTTTTTCTCAAAATTCCACTCATAACTCATGTATGTTATTAAAGATACGTTCGTGCGCTGGCAAAAGAAATCTGAGAGATTATCTGGGTTTATGGTGACTTCCGTTTTATAGACCTTGAAATGCGATTGGGACTGACAGCGGCATCTACCCGTGCGAATATAAATCTCAATGACAATGGACAAGCGGTGTACTGTACTCGTAAAGGCGCATATCCCATTGCGATGATCACACAGGGCCCGATAACATTTGTCCAAGTGATTAATTTAAATTTCATGAATGATCATTTCTTTTCGAGTGAACATAAAGCAAAATGTGATTGAATCGGCCATTATGTGAGGCGTGAAACCTGGTTGTGGCGAGAATGGCATGTGTGATTGAAGACGAATTTTCCGAGCCCCAGGAAGCAACGGTCAAGAAGTTGTTGCGGATCGGGAGCTTGTTCACGAGACCCGCGACGCGAAGGGATCGACTTCGCAGTTCCCAGGTCTACATTATTTATTTTATTCATCAAATGAGCGAAGACGTACCTGGACTTTATCGTCTGGGCTGGGTTATCGTCGTAACTCGTTGATGATGATGCGGAATACTGCAATGCACTCGGGGATATGTCTGCCGAAAATTGCGGAGGATCGGTTTCTTTGGCGATGATTGCCTGTAGTAGACTTTTCGTAGGATCCGTGCTCCGGCGACATCTACAATGGGAAGAGCGAACTACTCTTTGTTGGGATGGGCTAGGTGCTGAGTCAGACTTGAGTTTGTTTTTAAATTGGGTGTTTTATTTCATTGCGTTCACTGTACCGTATACGTCTTGTGCTGCGAATGAAAGACCGGAATCTCGTTGAAAAGGGAGTTCTATTTTCTCGTGTAGATGTCGCCGGTGCATGAATCCCGTTGATCCTCGAGATTGCACCATAACACTCACAACTTCAAGTACCCCTTTATCGCACTACTTGAATTAGCTATGGCAGGACAACCAAGGCAGGTCTTCTTTAAACGGCGTGTAAAACTTTTAGACAAGGAAAAAAGTCGAACTGTCGAACCCCTTGAAGTGACCAGCAGAAAAATTCGAGTTCAAGTGGTTTCGAGTTATGGAAATACCTGTAATCATTGTTGTTGTGTAAGAAAGAAGGATTGCATGAACTTTTCTTTTCTTCATACTATGGGCCTTAAATTGCTTCTTGAATGAGTTGACAGGATACTGAACTTGGAGGCAAGGGTTCCTTTGCCCAAATTAGTTTTTCACTTCCTTTCAAAACGCATACATTTACTTTTTTATTTTGCTGTTTCCTGTGTCGATACAATAATAGTCAAAAGGCCTCCAGCAAATTCGAGTTATGGAGGGTTTGTGGGGGAATACCTTCAAGTTGAGGAGGTTTTTTAATGCAATATTTTACCTTGTTTTTTAAGAGAATTCAGACAGGGGCTTTAAAAAAAAACTTCGGCATAAAGAGGTACAGTTTTTGACTTGAGGATTGTTTTTCGCTATAATTTCTTCCACGTTTTCATCTGAGCATACAATATACAGTGCTACGTTGTCCGCCCAAGATCCGAGAAGGTTTTTTAGATTTAGAACGTGACATACTGTCAACTCCATTGCGTGTGTTTCTCAGGATCTCTGCGTGATTTCAACTTTCATTTCGTGTGCGAAATGCGTGAAGTCGGTTTCGTTTTTTGTGCCGCCGACCCAGACTAATTTTAATCTGATGGTTTGTTTCTGCAGTGGGTGTCCAAGTCGACGGACGCTTTGGCGGACTTCCCGTCTCTACAACAGTGCGCCGCACTGAGTTTGCGGGAGTCGTCCAGCTTTCTAAAACCTTTGTTCCGGTACAGTCAAGAGCACGGACCTTCCATTTAAAAAACAAAGTCACTAAAAAGCACCTAAAAAATTTTTTTTTGCATACTGACAAAGAGCAAGTCTCACATTAGGGAGGATCGGTAACCTGATAAAACTGATGTTAACTTCATCAGTCTGAGTCGATGTGACGTTGAAAGGCTTCCTTTTGTCTCACTCCCTCTTTCCTCTGCCGTTGCAGTACAGCATTCGTTTTTGTTGTTGACAATTTTTTAAACTCCCTTCTCTACTGTGCACCACTGTTGAATTTCGGTTTGTTGAACTTCGATAACTCAAGCCTCCCGAATACCCCCCTTACGTCGAATTTTTTTCAAGTCCGTGTCTGAATTTCTTTTTAGAAACGAAGCAAAAAACCGGCTTTTCTCCACAAGCCTCTGGAACTGAAATTTTCAGGATCCCTTTTGGATATTTATTTATTTTCACCTGAAAGAGAAAAGCAATACAAATTTAGCGGTGTGTTTAAAAGAAAGTGAAAGACGAAATGGGCAAATTAACCATTGTCTTCAAGTTGAGGATCTTTTCAACTCATTTAAGAAGAAATCTAAGGCATAGAATATCACCAATTACGATTTTCTGTAAGTCCCCCCCCCCCCCCCCCAACGAATATGCTTGTTTCCCTCGAATTATTTTTTTCTGGTCCCTTGGAGTTCGACTGTAATTATTCGTTTTTCAGGGAGAAACCTGTTGATGTACCAGAAGAAAGCAAGAGTTTTACCATTGGAGGCTCACTTCCTCGGGGATTTTCCAACGCGGAAGTTCTCGTGAGTAAAACAGAGATGTTGTCACGCGGCGTGACTCAAACGCCCTCAGCAGGTCGAAAGATTTTGGAAACAAGGCCATGTCAGTTCTCGTGCCTGGAAGGTAAATTTTTTGTTTCAGTGATTTTTCGTGGATTTTTTTTTTTTTTTTTTCATACAGACAAAGAGCAAGTCTCACATTTGGGAGGATCGGTAACCTGATGAAACTAATGTTAACTTCATCAGTCTGAGTCGATGTGACGTTGAAAGGCTTCTTTTTGTCTCACTCCCTCTTTCCTCTGCCGTTGCAGTACAGCATTTGTTTTTTTGTTGTTGACAATTTTTGAAACTCCCTCCTCTACTGTGCACCACTGTGGAATTTCAGTTTGTTGAACTTCGATAACTCAAACCTCCCGAATACCCCCTTATGTCGAATATTTTTTTCAAGTCCGTGTCTGAATTTCTTTTTAGAAGCGAAGCAAAACACTAGCTTTTTTCCACAAGCCTCCGGAACTGAAATTTTCAGGATCCCTTTTGGATATTTATTTATTCTCACCTGAAAGAGAAAAGCAATACAAATTTAACTATGTGTTTAAGAGAAAGTGAAAGACGAAATGGGCAAATGAACCATTGTCTTCAAGTGAAGGATCTTGTCAACTCATTTAAGAAGAAATTTAAGGCCTAGATTATCACCAATTAAAATTTTCTGCAAGTCTCCCCCCAACAAATATGCTTGTTTCCCTCGAATTATTTTTTTGCTGGTCCCTCGGAGTTCGACTGTAATTATTCGTTTTTCAGGGAGAAACCTGTTGATGTACCAGAAGAAAGCAAGAGTTTTACCATTGGAGGCTCACTTCCTCGGGGATTTTCCAACGCGGAAGTTCTCGTGAGTAAACATTCGTGTTGTAATGTTTTCTAAAAGATCAGCTTGAAAAATACAAATGCTTGTATTCCTCCTCAGCATCCTATCTTGAAAGACAAATTTCCTCAAATAAAAGTTGTGGAAATGAAAAAGGGTGGGGAGACGAAGAAGATCAAGAAGAACTTCTACGCCGCGTTGACGGACAAGGTGCTCGCCATTTACAAAAATGTGGATGATCACGTGAGTTTCGAAAATTTTCGCTTTTAAGCTGGATCTCCCTTTGTGTTACGGTATTGTGAATCAGTTGGTGATGATCATCCTAACCCTAGCCGGTCAAGCCCAAACCCTAATTACACTATTTCAACTTGATCTCTTGAACCAGCTGAAATCAATCCTGATGAAATGTAATCCAATTGTGGGGGACATCTTTGGAATATTGAAGAAAGCTATGGACTCGAAATAGGGTCATTCGTTGTAGTGGGCAGAACCGCGAATGTTCTTTGAAGTCGATTAATATTTGTCGCCTAAAGGCACTTACAGCGACATTTCGAATTTCCGTGCACACAGAAATCGTCGCAATGGTCGTACAGCTTGGATCTGAAAGGAGCAGAAGTCACGCGGAAAATGAAGGGGAAAAAGCCAGCCAATAGTTTTCAAGTGTCGACAGTGCTGCAACAACGGGCTGTTTTCCACGGCGACGAGAAACTCGTGGACAATTGGTGGCGTCGCGTGGAAGAAGCTGTCAAACTTCTCAGTGACGGCTGCGCGCCGGAAGAACCCGAGGAAAAGGCCCAAGTTCCGAATCTTGTCAAATTGAAGCCACCTGGTGGAATGTTGGGGAAACTCGGGAGGAATCGGTCTTTGAAGGAAGGTGAGGGTAGTTATTTTTTTATATTTTCTTGAATGCTTGTTGTGGAATGTTGCGCGAGTTAATTTCTAATGAGAGAAAAACTGTTGGATTTATTCTTGTGTTCATATTCACGATGGTGTGATTTTGATATAGCATTGGCTGTTCGCTTAATTCGACTGAATTTTTCAAAAATATTCCGAAAATTCTGCTCATTGTATAGGTATAATGACTGGTGCCAGTTTATTCTTTGCAGTGCACTTCTTTTTAATTGTGTTCGTCGAATCCCGAAAGTTGAAAAATTCGAGTTACTTTTTATTATACGGTAGATGGTGAGAATATGTCTTATAGAAAGTTTCGAATTGTTTCCTGACGATCGCATTTTCAATTCTCAATACAGTATATATACAGTATATGTAAAAAGATATCTTCGATTGCGCAATATAGTATTTCAAATGTTAAAAAGGATGGATGTGATATAGGAAAAATGTTTATGGTTTCCCCTCGTGTAGCGTTACCAGCGTCAGGGTCGGCTATGACCAGCAGCCTAGAGGACATCACAGGAACAGTTAACCAAGCGGAAAAGCAACAGAAATTGCGGGCGAGGCTGAAAAAGTACTTCAGAAGCCGACCGACAATCGATTCAGTCAAAATGAGTGGCATATACAAAGGTTCGTTTTTTTTTTTTCATTCTCCTGTTTTGCTTCCGGAATCAGTTTGAACACTTCGCCCAGTAAAATCAATCTACGGAGAGAATGATCATCGGAAAGGACAGGAAAAATTACATTTGTCCCCGAGCAACATTTTTGCCCTAAAAATCTGGAAAAAATCTTGTTTCTGAAACCTTGAATTTTTTTATGTTGCTTATTGAGATACATTTTGCGCTCTCAACGAGTGAATGCTGTTGGTTGATGTTTTTAAATCTACAAGTTACAGCCTTTTGTAGTGTGTCTTGGATGCTGCGTGCAATCAAATTTTTTCTTGCAACATTTTCATGGAATTTATTCACGATAAGTTCCTGTCGCTCGCATTTTTTCCCACCCATCCAATTTCAACTCCATGGATAATGGAAGAGGAAAAACATGAGGCACCGGTGCAAGAAATTCTTTCCGGTATTAGTATTTCATTTATTTTTGAACCGAGAGTGAAATTTTGATTTTCCCTCGTAGCGGTTCAATGCACAATTTTGCTATAAAGGATTTGATCTCGTCTATTTTGACCCCATGAAAGCTGCTTGTAGCTAAAACTTCAATGATTTTCAATGTGTAATTAAGATTGTTCGTTGTTTGTTCATGCTGGTTATTTCCTTCATCAGATGAACCTGTTTTCGGCTGCTCGTTGGCGGCGCTTTGCGGCGTGGACCAGAGCCCGATTCCCAGGTTCGTGACAACTGTGATCGAGGTTATCGAGTCGAAGGAGGATAATCTGAAGAGCGACGGTTTGTATCGGGCTTCTGGAAATTTATCGCATGTCCAGAAAATACGCTGTCACGTGAGTTTTCCCTCCTTTTTTGTTTTTGTTACAAAATTCGAACAGATTCAAAAGATTGATTTTCTTACAGGCCGATCAAGACAACTTTAGCGTGATGAAGACCGAGGAAGATATTCATGTCCTGACCGGAGCTCTAAAGCTTTTCTTCAGAGAATTGAAAGAACCTCTAATGTCTCAGCCTTACATTGATCGCATTTTAGATGCTGCAGGTGAGTGAAAAATGTTCCGTATGAGGCAAATTGTTCCTGTTTTTCACTTCCCAAGTTTCTTTCCTTCAGATATTCAACGAAAGGATGAGAAAATGAAGAAAATTCAGCAAGTCTTGCGTGACTTGCCGCTGTGTAACCGGGCTACCTTATTGTTCGTGCTGGAACATTTGAAGAAGTAAGTCAAGAGTTGCAGAAGATCTGCATTTAAAAAAAAAAAGGAAATACGGTTGAATCTTTCTTCGAACCTCCGAAAGTCAGATGCCTCCGTATCTCGACTTGTTTCGAGGTCCTACCTGAATTTGCTTAGAAACATAGCATTGAAAACCTCCCTAACTCGAAGGCTTCCCCCTCGAACCTCAACGTCTCAAATTTTCTTGATGCCTTTTGGCGATTATTTTATTGACACTGGAAAGAATAAACAATAAAAAATTAACTGACAGAAAAAAGACCAATTTGGCAAATTAACCCTTGAATCCAAGTTCAGCATCCTTTCAATTAATTTAAGAAGCGATTCATTGCACAAAATATCACTAATTACAATTTCCTATAATTTTTCTTTTTTTTTAATCCGAATGTTTATTAATTCTTCAATTCAAACACAAATGCTTCTTTCCATTGCTTGAAACCTCTGTAACACGAATTTTTTTTTATGGTCCCTTGAAGTTCGACTCGAAGAGGGTGGANAATTGGTGGCGTCGCGTGGAAGAAGCTGTCAAACTTCTCAGTGACGGCTGCGCGCCGGAAGAACCCGAGGAAAAGGCCCAAGTTCCGAATCTTGTCAAATTGAAGCCACCTGGTGGAATGTTGGGGAAACTCGGGAGGAATCGGTCTTTGAAGGAAGGTGAGGGTAGTTATTTTTTTATATTTTCTTGAATGCTTGTTGTGGAATGTTGCGCGAGTTAATTTCTAATGAGAGAAAAACTGTTGGATTTATTCTTGTGTTTATATTCACGATGGTGTGATTTTGATATAGCATTGGCTGTTCGCTTAATTCGACTGAATTTTTCAAAAATACTCCGAAAATTCTGCTCATTGTATAGGTATAATGACTGGTGCCAGTTTATTCTTTGCAGTGCACTTCTTTTTAATTTTGTTCGTCGAATCCCGAAAGTTGAAAAATTCGAGTTACTTTTTATTATAAATGGTGAAAATATGTCATATAGAAAGTGTCGAATTGTTTCTTGACGATCGCATTTTCAATTCTCAATACAGAATATATATATATACAGTATATGTAAAAAGATATCTTCGATTGCGCAATATAGTATTTCAAATGTTAAAAAGGATGGATGTGATATAGGAAAAATGTTTATGGTTTCCCCTCGTGTAGCGTTACCAGCGTCAGGGTCGGCTATGACCAGCAGCCTAGAGGACATCACAGGAACAGTTAACCAAGCGGAAAAGCAACAGAAATTGCGGGCGAGGCTGAAAAAGTACTTCAGAAGCCGACCGACAATCGATTCAGTCAAAATGAGTGGCATATACAAAGGTTCGTTTTTTTTCATTCTCCTGTTTTGCTTCCGGAATCAGTTTGAACACTTCGCCCAGTAAAATCAATCTACGGAGAGAATGATCGTGAGGAAAGGACAGGAAAAATTACATTTGTCCACGAGCAACATTTTTGCCCTAAAAATCTGGAAAAAATCTTGTTTCTGAAACCTTGAATTTTTTTATGCTGCTTATTGAGATACATTTTGCGCTCTCAACGAGTGAACGCTGGTGGTTGATGTTTTTAAATCTACAAGTTACAGCCTTTTGTAGTGTGTCTTGAATTCTGCGTGCGATCAAATTTTTTCTTGCAAAATTTTCATGGAATTTATTCACGATCAGTTCCTGTCGCTCGCATTTTTTCCCACCCATCCAATTTCAACCCCATGGATAATGGAGGGAAAAAACAGGCACCGGTGCAAGAAATTCTCTCCAGTATTTTTATTTGATTCCTTTTTGATCCGAGAGTGAAATTTTGATTTTCCCTCGTAGCGGTTCTATACACATTTTTGCAATAAAGGATTTGATCTCGTCTATTTTGACCGCATGTAAACTGCTTGTAGCTAAAACTTCAATGATTTTCAATGTGTAATTAAGATTGTTTCGTGTTTGTTCATGCTGGTTATTTCATTCATCAGATGAACCTGTTTTCGGCTGCTCGTTGGCGGCGCTTTGCGGCGTGGACCAGAGCCCGATTCCGAGGTTTGTGACAACTGTGATCGAGGTTATCGAGTCGAAGGAGGATAATCTGAAGAGCGACGGTTTGTATCGGGCTTCTGGAAATTTATCGCATGTCCAGAAAATACGCTGTCACGTGAGTTTCGGGAGGAAAAAACAAAAACAATGTTTTAAGCTTGTCTAAGTTTTCTAACTAAAAGAATGTCCGGCTAGTTCTGTTGAAATCGCACTACTTCTGGCTCCTTCTATAAGTACAGGACTGGCCTCGAGATAAGCTTTTCTTCAGAGAATTGAAAGAACCTCTAATGTCTCAGCCTTACATTGATCGCATTTTAGATGCTGCAGGTGAGTGAAAAATGTTCCATATGAGGCAATCCTGTTTTTCACTTCCCAAGTTTCTTTCCTTCACTATAAGTTGCTTTCCTACTCTTTTACTTCTTTTAAGTCGTTCAGAACGCACTGAACGGCGACACATTGGCCCGATGGAATAACAAGCACGACCTTGTAAACTTCTTCATTCAGTTCTCAACGTCTTCATCTGCATTTAAAAAAAAAAAGGAAATACGGTTGAATCTTTCTTCGAACCTCCGAAAGTCAGATGCCTCCGTATCTCGACTTGTTTCGAGGTCCTACCTGAATTTGCTTAGAAACATAGCATTGAAAACCTCCCTAACTCGAAGGCTTCCCCCTCGAACCTCAACGTCTCAAATTTTCTTGATGCCTTTTGGCGATTATTTTATTGACACTGGAAAGAATAAACAATAAAAAATTAACTGACAGAAAAAAGACCAATTTGGCAAATTAACCCTTGAATCCAAGTTCAGCATCCTTTCAATTAATTTAAGAAGCGATTCATTGCACAAAATATCACTAATTACAATTTCCTATAATTTTTCTTTTTTTTTAATCCGAATGTTTATTAATTCTTCAATTCAAACACAAATGCTTCTTTCCATTGCTTGAAACCTCTGTAACACGAATTTTTTTTTATGGTCCCTTGAAGTTCGACTCGAAGAGGGTGGATTGTACTTGATTGATGAAGCCAGTCTGTAAGGTTTCAAATCATTTTCTGTGCATTGTAGAAATTTGCCATGATTGCTTTTCCCGATTTTCGATGAGTAGTTCCAGTGTAGGTAGATGTCACTATAAGTCGCAGTGGCGATATAGGTCTACATTAATTTGTAATCGTATCAATAATGGCATAAAAACGTGGTCTTCTTAAATTATTGACCTTGATTTTTCTGAATAAAAATTGAACAGGTTGAGTATCACAAGTTGTGATGCATGGACTTCGCTCGAGCTTCGGAAAAAACGCAAAAATGATGTTGTCGGTAATTTTATTCCTTTGACGCTCCAAATCAAGGAATATTCTCGCAATTGAANGATATTCAACGAAAGGATGAGAAAATGAAGAAAATTCAGCAAGTCTTGCGTGACTTGCCGCTGTGTAACCGGGCTACCTTATTGTTCGTGCTGGAACATTTGAAGAAGTAAGTCAAGAGTTGCAGAAGATCTGCATTTAAAAAAAAAAAAAGGAAATACGGTTGAATCTTTCTTCGAACCTCCGAAAGTCAGATGCCTCCGTATCTCCACTTGTTTCGAGGTCCTACCTGAATTTGCCTAGAAACATAGCATTGAAAACCTCCCTAACTCGAAGGCTTCCCTCTCGAACCTCAACGTTTCAAATTTTCTGGATGCCTTTTGGTGATTATTTTATTGACACTGGAAAGAATAACCAATAAAAAAGTAACTGACAGAAAGAAGACCAATTTGGCAAATTAACCCTTGAATCCAAGGTCAGCATCCTTTCAATTAATTTAAGAAGCGATTCATTGCACAAAATATCACTAATTACAATTTCCTATAATTTTTCTTTTTTTAATGCGAATGTTTATTAATTCTTCAATTCAAACACAAATGCTTCTTTCCATTGCTTGAAACCTCTGTAACACGAATTTTTTTTTTTGGTCCCTTGAAGTTCGACTCGAAGAGGGTGGATTGTACTTGATTGATGAAGCCAGTCTGTAAGGTTTCAAATCATTTTCTGTGCATTGTAGAAATTTGCCATGATTGCTTTTCCCGATTTTGGATGAGTAGTTCCAGTGTAGGTAGATGTCACTATAAGTCGCAGTGGCGATATAGGTCTACATTTTAAACATTAGCATAGTTATTACCGTATTTTTGCACCAGAAGAATTTAATAACTGGAACTAAAAAGACTTATTTTTAACTTGTCCAACTCATAGTGTTCAACACTACGTACCTGAAGCGAGCTCGAAGGGAAAAAACGCAAAAATGATGTTGTCGGTAATTTTATTCCTTTGACGCTCCAAATCAAGGAATATTCTCGCAATTGAATTACAATAGTTTCGTTATTATTTTTCGTTGTTCTTGTGATTGTTCACGGTTCTGTTTCAGTTCAGAGCTAATTTTTTTCGTTTTGTTCGCTCAAGGGTGACGATGTATAAAAAGTTCAACCGGATGGACGAAGCAAACCTCGCAATTGTGTTCGGACCGACTTTGATGTGGCCAGAGTTGAATTCGTTGGATATGGCCGCGGACATGATGCAGAGAAATTGGATCGTTCAAATCCTCCTCAAGGACCTGGACGACATCAAGAAGCCCTTTGTTCACTCTCACTAAGAACAGGATGTGCGAAGGGAAAGCATGTCGTGGCATGAGTTTCTTAGTCGCTTTTAGAATTGTCCGCTTACTCGCGAGACTTCTAATTTTTCATATCATCAACGGTCGCCTATTGGAACTTTTTTTTTCCGAAAGGGGGTGATCTTATGTCTCTCTCGTACTTTTTTTCCTTTTCCTAGCTTGTCGCATTTGTTTTTAAGCGCCGCCATCGTTGGAATAATCTTGGCTGTCGTTCGGATGTTGTCTTGCACTTTGGGCCCAGTTCCTCCTACTTCTACACTCGGGAGAGTATTTTCTCTGAGGCTAGAGGCATACTATTTCTAGAAATGTTAACGTTTCTAGCAACTGCATCATTTTCGAAAACGCTTATAACTTTCCGAGAAGTTGAGTTTTTTTCTTTTCAATGTCGAGGCGTTCGAGCATAATCTAAGCCGAAAAGTGCAAAATAGTCCGTTCGAAAGTTATATTGAGTTGGTATTCACGCCAGGATGACAATCTCGTTGAAGGTAAAATTTTTTTGGAAGCTTTGAGCGTTTGTTGTTTGTTGAGTTTGATTTTTTTTATATACCATATTTTCCTGCTCTGTGCGAGATCAGAAAGCTGAAGCATTTCGAAGCGGTAACTGAGCCCCTTTTTTCATTCCAATAAAGTGACGTTGTGTCTTTCACGGATAAGTTCCACGGAAGGGAACCAAAGCCGAGTGTATGGGAATGTTCCAACCCCCGTCTATTTTGAGATGTTATTTAATCGTACACCCCCGAAGCTGCAAACTTCTTCTTCCCTATGTGACTTATGCGGAATGCTTGTGATTGATACAACCAATGATGACTTCGAGCTCTTGGGATACCGTTGTTATTCGGGAAAGAAAAAAAGCAAAAGAAAGTTTAACCATTGGACCAGTATACGTGATTTTTATGAATTGGTCGAAAATTCGGAGATGAAACTTCTTGTGGATCGGGATTCTGAAACTTTTTTCCGGCCGTAAAGTTTGACTTGAAGATTCACGGCTCTCTGGCCGTGTGAGAGGGTTCATTATTTTTTTGATGTTCGCAATCACTCTCTTCCACAATCCGCGGGAAACGAAATCGATGGAAATGCCTGAAAGGAATTATTGCGAAGTGTTTCTTACAGTTGTGCGGTGTTCGATTTTTCTCAGAATCCGTCGGAAATTTTGAGCAAATTCTGCGTAAATTCGTGAAGATTCATGATTTTGTATCAGGAATGAGAGATGTGGGAAAACATTGGTTCCCTTGTCCGCTACGAGAAATTCGGTTTCGAAAATCTTTTTTCCTGTTCTGTGCTCCTGAAAAATCAGTCGTCGAACCGAAGACGTGAATGTCACTTTTTAATTCGCTACAGTACGATGAATTACTGTGTACGGGAAGTCATTAAATTCCTGAAGAAATCCTAAATTTTTAGCCTGGAAAACAAATCTGCTGGCTAATCTGTAAATCTAAGATGAATTTTTGCGACGAATGATAAACTCAATTTTCCCCGTTGATCCGAAAATTTTAAAAATTTCTGAATCGAAAATGTTTCTGCAAAAGAATAATGTAATAAAAAAACGCATTGCCATCAAAAAGTGAAAATGAAGGTCCGCTTCAGGATTATTCGCAGTGACGAAATTGCGTTATTCAGCTGCCACTGACAGTAAAAATAAATTGCCAGAAGCTTTCTCAGATTAAATTTAAAAGATTATGCATCGTGAAAAATGGCGTGCAGCTCAAATTTCTGTGAATCATCCGAGGGAAATTTAATGGTGCACATCTGCGTAATTGTAATTGAACTTTCACCGGTTCGAAGAGTCGATTGTTGGTTTATGGAGGATTTGCTCGGAATTTTCGCAATCGAATTCAATTTTCTCTTCGCGCTCCGGATTCAAATGTGAAAATAATGACGCAATCGTTTTGTCTCCAGAAGAAAAAGGAAAGCAGAGCACCGGTGTCCTTGTGGGCCAGATGGCGAATCGGTACGCGGAACAGAAGAAGCGCCTGCGGGACTTGCACGCCAAGCGGAACGAGGCTTGCAAGTTGAACCACCTGGAAGTGGTGGAGGAGGACCGGAGAGCCAAGTTGCCGGCCAACCACGAGGCCCGGAAGCGGCGCGCTGAATGGGAACTGGACGACATTCGGAAGCGAGAAGAGGCTGAGGCGGCTGGCGAATCCTACGAACGGGTCAAGTTGCTGGAGACCGGCGCCGATGAGGCGGCCCGCGATGCGAATCTCAGGAAGAAAAAGGGCGTCAATCGGGACGAGGGCTTCTCCAGCTTTGAACAGGTGAGTGAAGCCTGCTACACGATTTACAGTATCAGGAAGATTTTTTTCATTCTTGTGTCTTGGTTGAAGTAATCACTGGAAGATGGTTGATGTTGATTCAAGTTTTTTTTTTTTTTGTGGAATAGGCCACCATTCGGCAACATGATAAGCTGACCAGAGCTATAAAACCGGACATGGAGGCATACAAATACGAAAAAGAGGTGATGGGCGATGCTTTTTACCCGTCAACGTCCACCATTGTTCACGGGATTCGCGAAGATTCGAAGGAAGGTGTCACGCGGATGGTGCAGGACTTGGAGAAGCAAATCCGGAAGCGAGGCAAGTTTAGCAGACGCCGGACGTACGACCCGGATGCGGACATCGATTTCATCAACGAGAGGAACATGCGGTTCAACAAGAAGATCGACCGGTTCTACGGAAAGTACACGTTGGAAATCAAGCAGAATTTGGAGCGCGGAACTGCCGTGTGACCGATTATACCGTGTTTCGGAAACTTTCTCGGGTTCGGACTGGAAATTTTTGTTTTTTGTTTGTACGTGTCCTGCATGGAATGTCAATACAAGTACATTTTTACAAAGATCTATGCTCATTACTCTCAGCGAGGAAACACACCAGAGGATTCATTCCTAGAGGTGTGGTGAGCGACATCTATTCGTGTAAGAAAAATTGGTTAAAAAAAAAGCTTGTGATGAAACTAAGTTGAAGATGCTCATATCAAGATTTCTTCGGGAGTTCAGGCAATGAATTTTTGCTGATCGTCAATGAGGCTGAGGCTGCTGGCGAGTTTTCGAACATTCCTGAAAAACTCTGTCTCATGTCATATTTCCAGAATAAGTTAAAAGGTGGTATACTTATATCTCATGGAAGCAACTGATAAAAGTGCCAATGGAGAGCTGTTCAACAATAACAGTACCTTAAGTATTTTAAGAAAAACCAGTAAAAAATATAATTCATATACAGTATTCCAGATCTAGAACAGGGATGGTGTCCCACTCAGATGTGACCAAGGGCCACATCGCAGACAAGGTAGGAAGTCCTTTGCAGGTTGGACAAAAATTTTTGAGTTTTCAGAATTTTCCCTTTCAAATGAAAAGTTCTGAATTTAGTTCAGTGCCGCGGATTGAATCACAAGCATACCTTTTTTTCTTTTTTGACGAGTGGAGAAAAAGTTTTGAACTTTAAAATTCATCTTTCAATAATATAAAGCTGGCTGCCACCTTGAAAATTATAGACAGGGGATAGATGAAGATAAGTGTTCCCAACCCAGATCTGGCCCAGCATGCGCCATATTATACAGCCTGATCTATAGAACATCAAATATGCTCTTATATACGACATGTACAAATTGACACATACAGTACTGCATTTCATTTCTCTGCACATTAGTTTGGTAACATGATCGTCTTCATGTGTATTTAGCCTAAATTTTCTAAGCCATGATTTCACATCGTAAAATTGAGAAATTTCCCCCGGGAACGAATTGAATCCATCAACCAGGGCACCATACAGTATAGATATGCGAATCAGGCTCAATGATTTTCTCCCAATGACTCATTGGTCAACCCAAGTTTGCCGGACTGGAGTACATATCAAAATTAGGTTCAGGTCATAATTCGCGTGATTCGGTGCTACAAATGGATTCTGTCAGAAGGCCACGTGGAAAGTTTTGACAGTCACATCTGTGCCGCAAAATGAACTAAGAGCAAATTGCGTGAAATTATTATGGTCTCGCGGCGGTCATCATCCAAAAGTACGTCCTTGGGGACTTGACGCAAGTTTTCGTGGAAAAACGCGTATTTAAGCGACGCAAAAATCTGCTTCCAGTATCAGTTTGATTCAGACTTTCATTCACAAATCGTTCTATTAAAAAAAAATCTCATTCGAGTTCTAAGAAACCATCATTTTTTTCATCCCCAATCACAAGCAGCATGTTGTCCATTGGAAAGGTGAGAATCAATTGGGCATTGTGGGAGCGACACCTGTGAAATTGAAACTTTATTCGTTTGCAGATCATCTTCGCATTTATGCTCATTGCTGGGCTCATGTTCAGTTCTTCAGCTGAGCCACATCCCGAGCCAATTGCCGCTGCCATGTGAGACAATCTTCTTCTGTTCAACATAAATACTGTACTATTCACCTGTTCAAAAGATTTAATTCTTTTTCACATTTTCAGACCCGGTTACAGCAGCTCGTCATCGTCCTACATACCCAAGAAGAAGTATTACAAGATCAAGTACCCCAAGCACAAGAAGTGAGAGGATTAAAATTAAAGGTAATTCCATGAAAGTTCCTTGAGGCTTGTTGTTTTCCCTTAGACACAGCAGCAGTTCATCTTCTTCCTCTGGTTGACCATCTCCTGTGGATTCCACCTTTACAACGTTACCAGCTTGAACAGACTCTCCGGTGTTATCAACGATCATGCTCGATCCTGACCAACGTGTTTGGCATGGTGAACAAGAAAATAGAATAGAAACTTCATTTCTGAAGAATTCGTTCCTTTCAACACATTTTGAACATGGCAGGAACAGGGATGTGTTCTTGGAAACACACAGTATCCTCAGTTGCACCATGTGATGTAAACGACAAAAAATCATTTTTTGAAAAATAGCCTGGCTTGACACAATCAAATATTTTTCCTGACATCAGCATTCGTTTGGCTTTAGGCAACCATTTAACTATAGTATAGTACCACGGTGGACGCCCACAGTCCCTCAAGTAAGCCACCCACTCAAGTTTTTTTTTTTTGGCATGCATTTTGCACAAAAATGTATCCCTATGCATAAGACTCATGCACCAGGTTGACATCGTAGAAAATCAATTCTTTCAACACCGTAAAAATTTTGGAGCAAAATTATTCCTAAGAATGAGTATAATAACAGAACAATTTGAATGGATTTTTGTCAATTGAGATTCTATGTTAATTATTTGCACGAACAAAGAATCACTCATGGCTCCCCCCTCTAATTTGAACATGATGTTCTTTGCTTCAAAAAATGTCCAACCTCATACATCATACAACCTGCACCCATCTTTTCTGCCTAAGTTTCGCAGAAAAAAGGCTTGCAAGGTACTCGAGTAAAAACAATAATTTTATAACAATCAGAATGAGTTGAAATAGTCCGGAAAGAAAACCCAGCAGCTCACGCAAGAAATATATTCCGTTGAAGTCCCCAAAATAATCACATAAATGCAAAACTCCCGCTCAGGAATTCAGCACACAGTGCAGGACATTGTACCGGGAATATTTTAGCAAATGAGACAAAATTCCGAAATATACGTCGGCATCTCGTCAACAAATCTTGAGGCTCAAATCATTCGAGAGGGACCATTATTAGTTGGTTTAGCGACAGCCGTGAACTGTTGAACGGACTCCAAAGCCGTCTGGGCCATTTCTTGTAAATTGAAGGCGTCTTGCGTCAATACCATCTAACGAAGAAAGAAAAAAATAAGCTAACATTACCGTAAACCAAGAACTTTTGGGGATGTTTCATCGCTTGAATTATTAATTTAATCGATGTGTACGATCGGTTGAGGACCTGAACAGAAAAACAAAATGAAATATAAAAACATTCTCAGTTTTCAACAAACGAAAACGTTTTATGGTTTCTCAGCCTAGCACCGGATACCACAACGAATTGAATAGCAGTAAAAGAAAGTTTTTTGCGTCTGTAAACTCAATCCGGATGCACAGCCATGAAAATTCAACTCGGAAGCTCTTCATCTTCAAATCCCGTTAAGACCTGGACAAAAAAAAAATGGCGCTGCTTTACGAATTCAAAAGGTCATCTAAAAATGTTCTACGTTTCACTACCGCATGAACTGACATCCAAAAAGGGGGACCAAGTCGAAGGAGGAAAAAAAAGGGAAAGAAAAAACTCACCCTTGCTGACAAAATCATTTCTTTCGCCGATTTCGTGCTCAATTTCCCAACGGCCTTCACCAAGTCTGGTGCAGTAGCTCGAGCTACGTCACTGAGATTTTTGTACCCACTATCAAACAGTAGCCGTGCTCTCGCCTGAAAAAAAAATTAAATACAGTATTTACTCAAGTACCACGCATACCTTTTTTTCTCACAATTTGAAGGAAAAAGGGGATGCACGTCGTGGGCGGGGATACTATTTAAAAAAAATTTTGGAAGTTCAGTTGCCATCACTCTTAGAAATATAATCGGAAACTTTGGAAATAACCTTTTAAAATCAAAACGATTTATATTTCAGGGAATTTATGTTCTAATTTAAATTCTGTGGTCTGTTATTTTATAAAAATCTCGTTTTGCAGTTAATAAAAATGGGGCGAATTTCACCCAGGGAGAGGATTTCATCAAAATTGTAATGTGAAAAATTAGGGTACCTAGTATTTGATCAAATTCGGCACAGATTTGACTGAACAAGTACGAGAGTCGATGAAGAATTTGTCATGACTTACATTCATTCGGCGTCTGAAAATGTCAAAAACGAGCAACACTGTCAGCATTTTCCAACTAGCGAATTCGTAAGTTGAAACATTTGTCTTCAGCGAGAGATCATGGCCAACACTGATGAATTTTGTAGATGAAATAATATTTTTTAAACGCTTTTTCCACCCAGCAATAAAAAAATCTTTAAATTGACTTGAGTATTTCATAAGGGCAACACATTTGAATCAACCTCTACCCCCGAAAAAACATACCCGTTTCACAGCCGGCAACTGGAGCAAAGGCAAAAGTTCCATGGTGGAGCAGTTCCCGATTTTCTCAACAAAAGGAGGCAACAGGTCGGCATAGGAACGGAGTGGCTCAAGATCCTTAAAAAAATAAAAATAAAATCACGAGAACACTTCAAGAAATTTTATCTCATTCGAAAAATTGCAAAAACACTGAGTAAAACCAACCTCGACAAAGTGAACGATATTCGAGCCAAAACCGGCAGCCCTAGAAACGAGATTCTGAACTCGACCTCGGTCAACCCGGAAAGTTGCAGCCACCCTCCAGACCGCATCCGAACCGTCCTCCAATCCCACGTTCTTCGAAGCCGCCATTTGTTCCCCTTGAATCCACAACATCAACAGCATCAGGGCGCAATAGAGTCGTTTTATTTTGAACAGCACGTCATGCCGGAAATTCCGTCCATTCATAAATCGCTGCACAATCAAGGCTGATATCCCGAGGAAGTCGAACACACGGATGTCGTGCTGATTGCACTTGTGATACTGATGAGCAAAAAAGAAATAATAATAAGCGAAGGTGTGAACAATAAGCATCACCAATTTTAAATTACTCTTCTAACGTTATTCTGCGTAATAATTGATAGAAAAACGCCGTTGTCCACGCAATAATAAATTGCTATCCTATTTTCCAATATTTAATCTTGAATCGAATGCATGTTCAACTCACCATATCGTACAATATGTTACGATCAGGATTAACATCAACAGCGATTTCATAAGGAGTGAGAAGATAAAGGAGATGTAGCGGAGTATTTAGGACCAGGGCGTCCAAACCTCGTTGCAGATCCTTGTAAAGCTGTTGGGCCAGATCCAAACTGATGTTACCTATGAATGTACACAGAAAATTCTTTAAAATGCATTACATCCAACGATGATTTCGGCTTTACGAAATTCCTCAACATTACAAATTCAAAATCGCTTTCCAGCTGAGCATACCCTTTATTGCTGCCTTTCCCAGTTCCGAAGCAGTGAGTTCGGTTTCAGCAGAAGTTCCATCAATTTCAATCTGGGTTTGCACGTTTCCCAATTTTAGCAAACCTTGATCGATCAACCAATGGAATGCAGACTGGAAAGACGTTTTCCATGCCTGTTCTTCCACCTTAACACGAAAAAAAAGCCAGGATATTAGTTTCCTGTGATACTCGGAAATTACAAGGTATTACAGTAGCTCTTTACTACAGTTCTTCGGATGTGGGTCGTGGAAAGGACACATTAATGGAGAATCCCGATCGCGAAAGCTTCAGAAAGAAAGAATGAAACTCATCGAACTAACCTGACTGGCCCACAGTGAGCATTTGACGACCTCCAACAACTTCGCTGGACAGGTAGCCAATTTCTCAACTACACAAGACAGCAGGAAGGATCTCAGGGGATATCCGTCATTGAAATTCAAAGAACTCATGGCATTTTCCGCGGGGCCGTCAAATAATTTCAAAACCTAACGAAAGAACAGGTCATTCAAAAACAATGACTTCCAGAATTAAAATTAATGTACCTTCGAAGTTGTAGACGTATCACAAACGATATAACTTTCGCCCTCTACATCAAAACCAGCTCGACCTGCTCTTCCGGCCATTTGTTTGTAACGACTCTTTGTGAGGAATTCCCGGCCAACGAAAGGAGATCGTAAAATTACCTGAAAGAAAATCGCAAAAACTTTGAAAAAGAAAACCGACTGAAAATATTCATTTAACGATGTGAAAATTGGATTTTTTCTTCTTGAAACATCGCCTTCGTCCATTTGATCATTTCACTCAAATTACTGAAATTTTCGAAGCTTGGGTGGAGACCCAAACAATCAAGTAAAGCATTGTACTGTACTACAGAATTATTGAAAATATATGCATAAATCACGAGCTGTCAATAATTTTAGCAAAGACTTAAGAGGAAGAAGGAAAAACCGAACCCACTCTCTTGGCAGGAAGATTCACTCCAGCCGCAAGCGTTGAGGTACAGCAAATAACACAGATCACACCATTCAAAAAGGCTTCTTCTAACAATCGCCTTTCATCATCCGTGAGACCTTTTCAACCATCAACAAATGAATAAATGCAGCAAGACGTAAGAAAAATGAGTAAAAAATTTGAAAACTCACCGGAATGATGATAGGCAACGCCGTAAGGTAGAGTAAGCTTTAAAATATCACAAATTCTTCCACCGCCATCAGAACTCAACGTGTTCAAAAGCGCTTGCTTTTCTTCTTTCCGGTGAGCCAAAACCTGTTGTCTACGTGGAATCAGAAAATATAAATGCGGAAATAAAGAATTGGGGATTTTAATCAATCAAATCGAGAAACTCACTTCGGAAAGGCTTTGATGATCAGTTTCGCAACGTTTTCACAGTTGAGGCGAGTGGCGCAAAAAACCAGGACAGAATTTTGCGGAACGACTTCTAAGACCAGATGCCCAATCAAGTTAGGATCCTCTTTCATTCTTTCGCTAGAATACTGATAGCAGGAAAATATTTATCAAAAATACATACAAATTCATTGTCAAATCAAATAAATACCTTGGGATACAGCGTTCGAGCGTGTGTAAGTTTCCGCTCTTCCATGCAAGGTGCGTAAACCTCGGATCCTACCACGACATATTCTCTAAGTTCAACCGGACGAAATTTCTGTCTAAAAACGAAGGCTCGCAAGAATTTGCCGAGTTCTTCGAGATTTCCAATGGTGGCACTCATGCCGACTATTTGTAAACCCGGGGCGGAGAAGAGCAATTTCGTCAACAACGCTTCCAAGGTTGCACCTCTGCCACTTTCGCCCAACATGTGGACCTCATCCACAACAACGAGCCCGAGTTCACCGAGGCGATTCTCTTTAAGAAGGTGGTGAACTATTCCACTGGCTTTTTCGATAGTGGCAACATACACTGTATTGCGAAGCTTGCGTTGTTGGGGAGGAAGAGTTCCTCTGCTGCCCGCGTACTCTTCTACCAAAAAGTCCAATGTGATCCCAAATATGGTAAGACCACGTACCTATTTTCACATAATAATTTTCAGAATTACAATCGAGGATCACCCAACAGCAAATAACCCAATTATTATTTTTAACGCATGGAGTTCATCTAATGACTCACCTTTTCTTGGACTAAAGAAACATAGGGTACGATGAAAATACAGTTTTTCTTCTTGTTGACCAGACATCGCAGAAGCATGATTTCGGCGAATAATGTTTTGCCTCCACTGGTTGGCAAGGAGAGTAGAACATTTTCATTCCTATCGACTTCTGCAGATTGCAAGAGCTCTTTCTGCCAATCTGCGAGCAAAAAATAATCCAAAATTTATTCCTACATATGTTAGTATCTTAGTAATCACTTCAGTAAACCTTACCGTACAAATCACGAATTCCTCGTTCTGTTTCCAAAATTGCCCGTACGACTGACGGAAGTCCGAAAAAGCGTCCTTGAACCCCAGAAAAGGCTAGAGGATCAACTGAATCTGTTGTGCTGTCGATTGAGTCGCACGTAAGAATGCTGAGAATATTTTGAATCGTAAAAAAATTGTTGACGAGAAACGCATCACTTGAACTCACGTTTGAGCATTCCGATGGAATCTTTCCATTAACATAGCGTCAAACTGACCGGACTGGTAACACATGTTCTCTTGAACTTGAACTTCATTTGGTTGATCCGAAAATAGGTCACAAGATAACGAAACCTCCACATTATCCACTTTCAAACGTTTAGGAAGTTGTTGAACTATTTTCCTGGCGTCAGATACTGGCGTCTTAAAATTGAAATCTTCCAAAATATCTAGACCAGCTGAGAGTATTTCTTCCGTTGATCGCGGTGTGATTTGCATGACAGTCTTCGAGGACTGACCAAAAGTCAGTGAAGTATTGTTCAGACTGCCATCAGAGCTCTTGCGTTTCTTGCGCAGTGAGGAGAATCTGCGTGGCCTACATTGTGATCCTGGTGAACTTGGAATGCAGTCAAAATTCTGCTCAGCATCCAAACGTTTTGAAGCACTTCTTCGGGTGCATCTGCGATGAGGAGTTCGGGGTTGGGTCAGCACAGGGGAGCCGGGCACATATTCATCATCTGTCTCGGCAACCATATCTCAACAATCCCAATCGCACCGTCGGCATCACGATACTTCAGGGGCTGAGGCAGTAAATTCAACACACTCCACGATTAACGTAGCGTTCGTCCGATGAAATAAACTGAAACCACGAATGAACAAATAACTTGATGCGGAGCTATCCCATGATGCTTTCATCGCGCGAAACACAGAACAGGGCACACCGAAACAGGGAACAACGAAAGATTCACAAAATTCACACGAGCACGATTCAATCATCACATTCGAGCTCAAAAAGGTTATTAATTTCTAGAACCAATTTCGAGCTCAGCTGCCGCGGAATCGGTTTCGAAAATCCCTCCATGAGCTTGTTATCTTTGAAGCCAGGAGCACTGTCCACGTTTTGTGATCGGGCAGGATAAGTGCACTGGCACTACTGTATATACTCTCGACAGAACTCTTCTATTGTACGTATCTAGAATGCGAGCGACATCTAAAAGCAACAATAAGAACCGATGGTTCCGCATCATTGCAGTGCCATTTTCACTACTGAGAAAGAAAAACGGCTTTATCGTCCCAAAAGTTAAAGGAATCGTGCTATTAAAGTAAAAATCTGTTCAAAATACTTTCACGGTCACGATGCCTATCAGGCGAGTTAGGTAGTACTTGTGAACAGCTTAAGTTTCTTTTTGAGCAAATTTTGAAACTATTTTGCCACTTTCAGCAAATTAAAAAGTGACGAAAATTGTACTGTATGTTATTCAGGTTAGATAACCACGGTTTTTCCAATTTAATTACAGCTTCAATGGCCTCTAAATCTCCCTTGAAACGCAATTGAAACATAAACGGTATGGTCAATAATTTAATCGGTTCCATCACAAAGAAAATTAAGGCAAACTGAAGAAAATTGAATGGAACATTTGAAAACAGACGTCAAATATAATACATGAGATATAATGGTTTTCTATTGAAAATAAAGAAGCAGCAGCAAAATTTTAAGCAAAAAAAATATATTCCATTACAATTTGGATTTCCTTTTAAGTTTTGCGTTTTATCCCATTTTGGATTCTCCATTTAAGAAGATGATGCCATAAAAATAAATTTAATTTTATTTTACAAAATTGTTTTTTTACGTTTTTGAAATTTTTGCTACCAGCATTTGAGGTTCATTCCTCTATATTCAAGTTTGTTACTTAAGGAAAAATGGCGGCCAACCTCAATTTCATTATATTTCTTTTCTCTCTCTGGCAAACATCTTGATGAATTTTCGAGAAACGCTTTTCAAAAGTTTCAACTCAGAACTTGCTGAAGTTCATGCTATGTATGATGTCCGTATAATAATGCCTCTCACATGCTTTTTTGTTATGACTTATGAGGAACACACTTATGTGAATCACGCTATCAATATAACATTTGTCGTGGTTGGAATTTTTTCGCGTACGTAAGTATATTTTTATGCACGCACGGTACTGTACATTACTTTGTTAGGAACCCTGTGCTGAACGAATGAAGCACCACCACCATTGCCTTTTCTTCCGAATGGAGGGCTATGTGGAGGAGGAGTTCTGGTGGAAAAGACCAATCAGGCAAAAGCCGCTGAGTTCTCAGAATTCGGCAGGGGGCGGACCCCCAAGGCTTCCGCGCCAGCGCGCCCGGATATCCATATCCTGATCGACACCCAGATCAGTTCGAGGGTTGCGTCGGAAAACAGAAGAACTGAAGTAAATCTCCGTGAACCCCCTTCTTTTTGAGACTAATTCCGGAACTACGGAGTTTGATTGGCTGTAGAGATGAATTACGTGTTGGAGCTTGAATTTTGCTTGTGAGTTGTGAGAATTTAGGTCCTGTGTTATTGTATGTGATTCGCGCAAGGAAAGCATATTGTGTAAAACAATTTTCACTCGTGGTTTCCGTTGAAGCATTTTTTGGACGAATCGCGAGCGTAGCGTTCATCGAGGAGGGCGTCGAACTTATGGTCTGGTCGCCTGAATCATCGTGATGTCGACAGGGTGCGATTGGGTTTGTTGAGACACGGTTGGTGATGACGAATATGCAGGGCCCCGATGAGTTTTCTGCGGAAGAATTCTTGAAACAGTATGGGGTGAGTGCTCATTTTTCGCTATTTTTCCGAATGTGCGCCTGTATAATTCAGTACGTGTTCAGCTCTTGCACATAAAAGCAGTGAGGGCGTAATTGCAAATGTTGCAGTAAAAGTCATGATCGTACAAGATTTGTTTTATTTTTCAACGTTTCTATAGTCCTTCCTGCTCTTACAGCAAGCATGGACAGCAGATTACTTCGGAGGATTTTCGGGTTTTCCAGTGAGAAGGCACTGCCAAAATAAGACGTTTTACGAAGGTAAAATTAGATCTCTGTTGAGTTCCTCGCTTCGGGATGACGCTCTGCAAGTCCTCGGGTGAGTCCGAATTCTTCATCATAATGCTGACGTTTTTCAGTTGCCGAGACTACCTGCTGATTATACAGCTAGAAAATTTTCATGATTATTGTAATAGATTGGCGGTTTATACGGAAGAAGAAATTCCGATTGCAGAGATGATTTGCGAGGATTCTAAAATTTTGGAGTTGGTCATCGGAGCGGTTACTTCCCTGATTCCGATTTTCAATGCCGGTCAGATGAGCGAAGACGATTCGTCTACCCTTGGACATGTCAGTATTATGAAACTAATGCAGTTATTTCGCGTGTAGGAGAAAAAGAAGTCAGATAATCCGTAGCTTCGCACGGTGAAGAATCGTACGTGATACTGTATCTACATGAAAGTCGCAATTTTTTTCGAATATTCGAAGACCATGCGTACGTCTTGGATATTTTCCACTGTAGTTATGTACTAGATGGTGAAACAGCACGAATTCGTTTCTAGGGCTCCTCGAAAATCGTAACAACGATATCTTATACCACGGTAATTCATGGGGTAATTGTGCTGAATATGATGATATGAATATTGCGCAGAAAAAATGGAATTCAATGTGCGATTATATCTCAAATCCTCATTGCCTTCGTTTTCGAATGACGTGTCCTTAATAGTTTGAAAATAACTTGCCAGATTGTTTTCAATTATACAACCAAGATTTGAGTCAATGTTTACATTTACAACTTTTGAGAACTCGATCATCATGATTCACTTCGCATTTCACTCGTGAATATTTTCTGAATAAACGCCGGGATATCTATTCTTTTCCCTGGGATCAATCATATTTACTAGATATTGTTTACGAAGTCAAGTCTGAAAGCCATGTTATGGTGTATTTGCAGGCTCTTTCAATTCTTGCTGGGATCGGCTTATCAAGGAATGAGAATGTCTGTAAGGTGTTCCTCCGTGCCGAACTGCCTGCAATCGTCTCTCGGTTGATCTCAGCTCCAGGATCACATCATTTGAAGAGTGAACCTGAGAATTATGTCCTCAGAAAAGCCCTGTCAATTTGTCTGCAAGGATTCTATGTGAGTATTCTATAGTTACTAGGCTGGGAGATCAGTCCTTCTTTACGCATTAGGTATTGAACCTAAAACCACACCCTATGCAGGGGGCGATGAAATTTATGAAAAGGATTCAATGTGAAATAACGTTTAGAATTGTGACATACTATGATACTTGTATGACAACGAGAATCCCAGGGATAAATTTCTCATTTATTATTTCTTGACAACATGATATCTTGGACCACTCCGTAATCAATTTTAGCCTCTTTTGAAAATCCATTTTTTGCATTCTCGAAGTCATATTTCAGACGTGTATAGTATTCTTAGCCAATTACCGTAAGGGGCCGAGAGAAATTCGTCAGAATGAATTGACTTTACCGTACCCTGACTCGACTTTGTGTTAACGACAAGTCTTTTTAGGAGCAAACCCGTTCTTGATAACGTCGGGACAAGCTGTACTTAAAAAAACGCTTTCAGTGAGACCGTCGAAGCACGTCTTCACTAAGCAGACGAGGCGCCCATGTCGCCGATTTTTTGGTGTACCCCAGTTTTCCCTATCGGATTCTTGAAATTGACACGGCGTTATAACCCCAAGGGTTGCCGTCAGCAGGTCTATCAAGGTAAATAAATACTTAATTTTCAGTAACAGCCTTCACTTCGAATGAGATTGAGAGTGTGATGACCGCTGTTGAATTGCGGAATTAATAATCAATTAATGGCGACAACCCTTGGGATTAATGCCTTGTCAATTTCAAGAATCCGAAAGGGAAAACTGGGTACATTAAAAATCGGCGGGATGGACGCCTCGTCTGCTGAGTGAAGAGCAAAAAGCTGCGAGGGTGACTTTCGCGAAAAATTTCCAAAAAAAATCATGTCAAACAGGGCTGCATTTTTTCTTGATCAAAAGAGGATTTTCCTGAACAGTAATTGTTTTAGCTCAGTCCCATCCCATTTCAGTTTTCATTTCGCGGGAATTTGGTATATATACCCGTCGTCGTATGTGATGGTCGACTTTCAGCGCCTTAATTTCTTCCTAAAGATGTCTCCGGATCCAGAATGGCACTTCAAGAAGTTCGTGACCGAGGAACTTTTCGTGAACCTCATCAAGTTCGTGTCGAAGCTGTGCCCAGAACATTGGCATTCGGCGTTTCTCGCTGGCAAAATGCTTGCCAAAATAATCCGAAGCAGAGGTGGTTTGAAGCTGTTGGAATCAAAGCCCGACGGCATGAAAGCCCTCATTCGTTACACGGTAAGCTGAATTTATCATTCTCTATTTATTCCGACGTGGATGATTTCTAAGCCTTTTGAATGATTGCGTAATTTCATCTTTGGAAAGACCTCTTTAACTCATACTCCATTATTCAAGTCAAAAACCTCTGTTTGATTTTTTCCTTCTCCCTTTAAAAGCATGTAACATGAACCTCCAGAACTCAAAATGTTTGAATCACTGCTATGTGGACCAACTTCATTCGAAATTTTTGAAGAAAAGGAAGACGAAGAAATTTGAATGGTAAGGCTTTTAGAAAGGAAACTGAGCAACTTTTATTGATCTATAAAATCCTGGCTTCAGGTTCTGCTCACGGTAGACTCGTTTTACTGTGGTCAGCCCTTTTCAAGTATTGGTAATGATTACGGAAATGCTTCTTGGCACATGGTTTCTGCAAAATTGTCAGCCTTATTTTTTTTAAACTTACGGGAAGCATGTTCAGATTTGGTTCCGAATGGAAATCTTTGAGCTGAATATTTTTTGTTGATGTTTGCAAATTTAACTTTGAGAGTTCCGAGTCTATTTCATAAAAGCTGAAAATCCTTTAAACCGTAGTTTTCATCATTTACCTTGCTTGATAGAATATGAGAATGTCACGGCTTTGGGAGAGCTACACAAGCAAGAAGATCGACGAAGGATACTTTTCCCTGAAATTCGCAGGCTGCATTTCCACGCTAGTGCGGTTGACTGAAAGCACTTGGTAAGTTATTTTTGTATTATCTTATTCAACTTCATTGCTGATACAGTAGTTCAATATGAAAAATGTCGTTTCGCGCACTTCGGATAGCAGTAATAGACAGTTGACAATTTTGAATGGAATAGAATAACTGCGCAGAAGAATACCGCACAGAATCTGCCCATTTTGCATGAAAAGGATTAGAAAAAATTACACATCTTGCTGAACTGTATTTAACTGCACACAGTTTATGGAAAACCCATAGAAACAGATTGTGAATAGAAGTAAATTTATGAGAAGATTCATTACACATTTTTGGTTGTAGAGATATGTTGGGTAAATAATACTGTAGAAGAATTTTGAAAATGATAATCTTCCATTTTCTAGCATTGTAGACCAATTGTCAAATCTCGAGGCGGATTTATTTTATTTTAAAGTTTCCCCGAGTCGAAATGTCCGTTTGTTGGAGGGCCCACTGTACTGAACACTTTCATTTGACCGAAACTGTAGGGAAACCTTGATTATTCTTGTCAAGTTCTCTTTGAAAAAAAATTTAGTACATTAAAAAATTAATCTAAAAAACCACGTTTTCAAAAAGCAAAAAATAACCTTGAATGTGGTGCGCATCTATTTCATTTGTATTTCATCACAAAAGATTGCATTGTCATCAGTTTCTAAGCTATCCTAAAAGTTTCAGCTTGCTAGCTAGTTGGGAAGTGAGCGCAATTTGAGTTGCAAAATTTGATCCGGACAAACAAATGGACAAGAAAGCGAGTTAATAAAAACATGTTAAAATGAGCTCCTGAAGTGATGATTAGCTTTCCTCAATCTTTCTGTAGAGAAAAGACATTCCATAATAAGATCCATATCTATGATCTCTCAGGGATTGCAATTATGGGAACAGTGGAAGAAAGTGATATTGAGCACACATTCATGCGTAGCAATAAATTAATTTTAAAAGGAATGATCCTCTCACATTAAAAGTTGTGATCAGAAAGGGAGATCAAATTTGTGCCCAATTCGTCCCTCTCAGAGCATCCTCTTTAATCACGACGTGCAACACAACTCCATAAAATCGTACAGCTGTATAATGAACTTCTAGAAAACTGTCGAGGTTTTTCCTGCTCATATTTGGCGTTAAGTAAACACCGACACTCTCTTTCCAGTGGAAGGATCATTCTGAAGAGCTCGTCCTCCGCCAAACTGTCCTTCAGTAATTTGCAACGATGGATAATTGACAGAAGCTTGGACAGGAATGTTCTACAAGCTTACAAGTCTTACCGTGATAATTTGGATCTCCCGATCAACAATCGTCTGCTTTCGAAGCTTGCGGCTCTTGACATGGCTGAAAGTTTGCAGCTGACAAGAAGTGTTTCCAGGGAACACAGAGAGATTGTCGACGAAACATCGGGCTAGTTATCGAAAGATTATTTCCTATTGAGCTTGTTTTTCAATGCGAATTAATTCGTTTGGAGATTGAGGTCAGTTGCTTCATTTATACCTTAAAGGGTCGTGTGATGAGTGGAAGTGATTTTTCTAAGGGCTCAATTCCGATGCGCGAAGTGAATTGTGCAGTATTCTGATGTTGTGATTGTATGAATGATTATACTGTATATGAGTGCCTTGAGGAAAAAAAATAAGTTCTCATCCAGCCCAGTTGTTCAGTATCATTTTCAATTGCTTCTGTGAAATAATTTCTATTTAAATGTGGACAGCTTTGGGTTGAAGTGTAAGTTCATCTCCCTTAAATTTGTCTGAAATTTTGCTGCAATCTGACTGATCAAATTGAGTAAATTATCTGGGGTTGGGGTACTGTACATGGGGACTGCCTCTATAATGAAATTCAAGGGACCAGTAAGAATTTGTTGCAGAGAACCCCTATAGCATGGGAAGAGAACCATATTGGACCAAAAAAAAAATTCACTCTTCTCAACAGAAATTTGTTGTAGACAAGATTGTTCTAGAAAGATTCCACCTCTCTCTGCATGAGTTCATCATGCAGGTTAGTTCTTCAAATCAGCTCTATTCAAAATAACCTTGCCTGCTTGAGAATATGATCAAACAAATAATTTTCATTCTAATTGTCAAACAAGAGCAACTGAAAAACAATTTTCAATTCAACTGTTCTTGTATAAGTGCTGCTTCTGAAGGAACAAAATAGATGTTGTTTCATGCCAGTCTTGAATGTACTGCATATCAAATTCACCAATAATGCATAAATACAATAATTTGTGGGCAATATAAAGGGAGAAACAATATATATTTATTCAGCAGCTTCATTTCTTTGAAGATATGTGAAATTTCATAAAAACAAGCTGTAAGGCCTTGAACATACACCATATTCACTTGAGGACCCCATGCTGCATAAATGGGGATGAAAACATAACCAGGGTAAAAACACACCCTATCTTTGTCACAGAAAATTTAAAGATTCTGAAAAAGCAATAAACTGGACGTTTTGAGCTGAAACCCAAATTAAATCGGAAATTCGGTTGATCATGTTTAAGCCAGATTTAGAGCATTTTAATAATTGAAAAAACTAAATAATTACAACAAAACGTATTTCTCTCTTGACAAAAATTCCATATGAAGGAGCGCAAGTCCTCAGAAATTCATAAAAAAAAAGATCCAGTTTCAAAAGTTATGTAGAAAAAGTTTTCCAAAGTTTGAAGATTTTCCTAACTCAAAAGCCATTCAATGACAGTTGGCAAAAATTTTATCAGGGAGATGTGGAGATCATGGCATCAAAAATCTGGAGACCAACTCCTGATTTGAAATGTACACTTCCTCTGGTCCCCAATAGTTGTTGTTACATTTCCTTCTTTTCAAATCTTGAAAATGTCTTTGAATTGTTGGTACAATGCTTGACTTTCCAGTGAATTTCCAGAACCATCCTGTTCAGCATGATGAAACACATTCTCCAGCAAGTCTGAACATAATCCTCTCTGTGTCTCTGTCAAACACGCCACATTGATTGAGAACCTACAATGAAAAGACATCAATAAGAGCTTATGGAAACTGCAAACAAAAAAATTATATCAGAATTACTGTACCTCTTCACTGAGACAAGCACTTTCAAAATGGAAACCACAGAATCTGAATTCCTGGTGCTCTTGGAAGCTTCATGCAGGGCTTCCATGATTCCTTCAGTCATATCAAGAGGCACTTGAATCCCAAAGATGCTTGCCAGGGTATCTGGACCCAGATCATTCAGAAGACCAAATCTTTCTGCTGAATCCAGATTACTCCAGGCTGCTTCTAAACCCGCACATGTTTGTGGAAGACCTCGACCAAATTTCTGCTTATGACAACGAAATATCCACTACTGCAATTGAAGCAGCAATAAAGTTGGAGAAATGCAAAATTTCGACTTGCGTATTTATTTTCCAGTGGGACACGGACTTCTGATGACCTCTGATGGAACCCTGTAGACTTCTCTTGCCAGGAATTCCACACACTTGCTCTTCTTTTTGATGATTCAAGTTCTTTCTTGCTGAGAGGGCGCAAATGACACGCATCCACACGGTTTCTATAAAAAGTAGAATAAAAAATCTTGAATATATATTATTCTGAGTATCCGGATAAATAGTCTATATTTGGAAAAAGAAAAAAGTTCAATTCTAGAGATACTAACACTGAAAATAAAGCATATGTTTTCAGATATTACCCAAATGACTGGATTTTCTTTCATCAGAGGGGTTTTCATACACAGAACATTCTGTGATGATCTAGAAAAAATTGTTTAGCAAGTGACCTGATGAGAGGTGATCTGAGAAAATTCATGCAAATTGTACGTCGAAGTGGACCATTACACTTTTGACGTACAATACATTATTCTGATTGAAAAAGAAAGGGTAAAATCCACAAGATTATCGGCTGGTGTTTTTTTTAGAAATTAAAATCAGGGAACCCCAAATTAAGGAAAGTGATATTGTACATAGCATCAACTATTGTAATTCTAAGCCATTTTCTTTGCCATGGGATCCAATGTTCTGAATTTTCCTTAGTGAGACCCCCACATGTGGACACCTTGACCTGCAGACAATTTGACATCGGGACACTTATTTTCCCATAAAAAAGGCCCAACATCATGACACTGACTCAACTTAGTGACATTTTGTCATAAAATTGCAAATACATTTCAGGCCAAATTGGCCGAAACAGATATTTCCAACCCTAAAATTGATGTGAGAAAAGTTCTTGGGCATTTCTCTAACCAATTTACCATCCATTCAGCTAATTAAAAAATTATGTCCAGTAGAGAAGGACTTCCTTCTCTCTTTTTCACTTGAATGTTATTTTTACAGTGAATACCAATATTTCTATGTACTGTACAGATGTATCAGTATTCCATTCCCCAAATGCCCATATTTGTTGGAATATACTGATTGGAATCAGTTTAAATTGGGAGACAATTTTTATTTTCATGGAATTATGGTGAGCATTTTGTATACATAAATTACCAATTAAAAATTATATAATGTAAGTCTAAGGTAAAATGAGACTCGACTTAGGGACACTCTTAATGCACCAATTATGTCCGCATCTTGGGATCTCACTGTATATTATATATGTGGCCCACTGTTTCACACCATCGTCAGAAAAATTCAATTAATGAAAAAAATGTATTGGTTATCTTACTTGAATTCCTCGTAATCCTTGGCTTCATTCACAGCTTTGAGCTTCGCTTCGTTCTCGCGCAAATATTTGCTGTTCTTCTCCAAAGCAGTTGAAAGATCACGCTCCAGCTCTTCAAATATTCCTGGCGTAGAATCCATTTCGAACCAATCACCGGAATATCAATTTTTTTTTTGCAATATTTTCAGCAAGACAGACTGGCGTTTCTGGGATACCCAAGGGAATCCCCTGGACACACACTGGCCCTTCTTACTCTTGTGAATCCTCCAGTTTTCCCTGCTCAGGGTGAGTACACAGATATTTGGGCCATTATTGATCAAACGTACCCCCCCCTGGCAGAATTTTCCAGCAATTCTGTCTGGAATTCTCTGTAGAGTGCTCCAAACAGGGTGAGACAAAAAAATTAATCCTTGATGGGATAGTTGTAGGCTTTAATAATTGTTATCCAGGAAAGGAATAGATTCCTTTCCCGCCCCAACTTGGATTAACGTCCGAGTGACGAATTCCTGATCCTTGGAAATTTGGACTTATGTCCGATTGATAAATTTTGGACTGTGGCAAAATTTGGATTAATGTCTGAATAATGAATTACCTGTGCTGTTTTTGTTTTCATGTGTTTGCCCCCAGGAATGCCTAATCCATTCCTCCCCCGTTCCTTTCCTGATATGGATAACAGAAAGTTCGGTGAGAAGTATGATGACTTCATGGGTACCACAGCACTCATCAATGGCGCCAGAAAATTTTCATTTTGCATTGACTCAATCCTGGAAAAATTATTCTCCCAACCTTGATGGTGTTATATATTCTCGCAAAACATGATTTTATTTTATTTTTTTACACGAAAACGACCGTCGAACAATTCTTGATCCCGATTAGAATTTATCATCAGCATTTGGATTATCGTCGAAAATTGTCGAGCAATCGTTGGCACGGTTAAGGACTCATCACAACGAGTATCATGGATTAAAAATTATTTACCCGCCCCCATGAATTCTTCAATTCCTGTCAATGAATTATGGAAAGTTCTAATTGAAGAGAAATAAAACTCGTGAAATAAATAAAATAAATGCGTTCAATTTCCCAAGCAGTACAGTATTATCGTCAATAATTTTTCGGAGATCTTGGTGAGAAACTGTAATAATCACTACTTCACTTGTGCATTACAGGATCTTCTCACATTATTCAATGGCACACCTGAATTAGTTTTTATTGCAGGTATTCAAAGACTGTAGGACTTCTGAACTGCATTATTGAATAACTCACTTCCCTTTGTTGTTTTTTTTCCTTCTGTGTTCCTGACTAAGTTCAAATACTGGGCTGTACCAGTTACGAGTGTCCCTCCCATTGTTTCGTGATATGCGGGACGCACCTTATCGCACTTCTTCATCAATTGATTGTTTCAATTGAGCCCTATCCGGTTTTCTAGTATTCCTGCATCCAATACCATTTCAAAATACTGGACAAGTACATGAGGTGTGTGATGGAAATGTGTATGGTAGTGATTTTCCAAAGGAAAACGATCACATCAGTGATGAGGAAATCATTACTCCGGGGGCGAGCGGAAAAATTTCTGATAGTGCTGCTCTACTGTGAACAAACTCACGGCATTTCAATAAAAAGTTCATTAAATTCTCAGGAGTTTCTAAGCGGTGTAAATAATTCACTGCAATGTACTGGTTTATGCATCACCAGAATGCATTCTTTTCTTATGTGCAGCATTCCATGCCATAAGAGTTGAATAAGAATTTAACTTTCAAAAGACTTGAAATTCTTAAAACCTAGTAAAGAAGTGATTTTCTGAATCTTGGAGCACCAGGAAAAAGTTTTTAATTGATATGATTCCTCCTCCAAGATTAATTCTAAATTGTTTAACCAATTGAAAATCATATGGGATACAGAGGCTGAAAACCTTGTGCTTGAATTTGTGCCTATATTAATTGCCTTGAACTGCAATTTTTGTCATTCTTTGAAAAAATGGATGGTAATTCATCATTCATGCATTTGTATGTGCTGTGATGTATTTTCTTGTTTTACAAGTGGTACCTTGCAATTTGACTGTCCTGCAATTCAATGGTTGAATTTTCAGAGAGGTTGATTTGCAATTCAACCCTTTCCCTGTAGTTTGACCTGCTTTGGCCACGTTTTTGTATTTTTCTGCTGATATTTTTGAATTTCACGGTGTCTTGCAATTTGACTGCTTTGCAATTTAACCCTAGTCCAGCAATGGATTAGGGTTGAATTTTGGGGTACCACCTGCACCTAAATTTACTGAATTATTTTCAACAGTCCCCAATGTTTTGAATTGGTGTGTGGGAGATGTGGGAACATTTTCTGAACTTTATAAATCCTTACAACCAGAAAATAAAGCGTGTACATCAATCAAAGAAAAATTGAACCCTAATTTTGTATGATTATTTCACTTCATCCTCAAATTCACGCAGGTTTTTTTTTAATACTTGAGGACCAAAAACATGTGATTCACTCTTGTGAAAGAAAGGAAAGAAATCACTTCATGCACTGGACTGACATTTGAATCACAAACTGTATTTCGCATTTTAATTCATTCCAATTGATTCCTTCTCATTTATAATACACTCCAACCTCTTTCAAATAACTCCGACATCTTTTTTCTTTTTGTTCATCCACAAAAATTGTGTTGAAGGTTTTAAAAATGACTTGAAGTCAATTGGATAATGTTTGGCAACGGAATGGGAGTGACTTCTGACCTGATCATCCAAGACCACTGTCAAAGTTCTCCTCTTATTGCCATTAAACCACTGAAGAGGAAGGAAATAATGATGAAGAAGTGAGCTGGACTGGAATGGTGATGGCGGTAAAAACAGTTTTGACAAGCCTTGTCAATACACCAATGAAGCCATCAGTAGTCGAGCTCGTCAGAATCCAATCCCAAGCATCAAATACAGAATTTATCACTCTGGCAGGTGTCAGAAGCTGCTGGATGTCGATGAAGTTTGCCAACCAACCCACAACAGCTTGAGGAACTGAAATTGTTGGGGAAATGAAATAATGAAGAACCATTTCAAATGTCTTTTGAGCACACGTGTCAAAAACGTTCAAAACATTAGACAAAATAATGTAAATATTTATCTGTGAGGAAAGAGTGAGTCATAGTGAAACTGTTTCAAAAACAAAAATTTAAAATTCCTGAAAGTTTTGGGATGACAATTTTGAACTTGAATACAAATCTATTAGTTAAACTTTGTAACTGACAAAAGGACAGAAAAATTTCTGCCTTTCAACTACTCCCTTAAAGTTATTGAAATGCAGTTCAAAGCGGACATTTTTAAGATTACTTGAGTTTCATACTAAAAATTTCTTATAAAGAAACCAATGTTATTCATATGAAATAGTTTTTTCAAGGTTTAACAAGTTAAGTTCTAAGTTTTTCCAAGTTTTTTTTAAGGTTTATCAAGAATTCCAGAAAGTTTATGATTGAACGACTTATTTGACACTGTAAAACTTCAGCAAAATCAGACAAATCTTCAACAAATTATTTGTGTCATGCTGGTTGAATTGCTTGCACCCACTATATCAAAAAATTATGAATTATCTTTCAATACAACTCGTATAACATGAAATCTTGTTTATCTCCACAACTTTCAAACATTTCATAAATATTGATAGAACTTCAAACCCAGGATTGCACCTCACATTGAGTTCTGTTCCTCCAGCTGCAAAATTAATCTACTGCAAACATCTGCTAAATTAATTACAGTATGTTATCCTAGAAAGGGTAAATAACACCTGTTTTGTCTCACTCATAAGAAAGCCCACTTTGTGCACTCTCTGAAATCAAGAACAAAATCAAATGTCTTCCAATTCCATTCATTTTCCCTTTCCTTAGGGGAGGAAAGGAATTCCCAACATTGGAATACTTGAAGATTTATATTGCCTTGTCTTGTATTGTGTTCAATGTTGCATTTGTACATTTCCAAAGTGTGTTCATTGTAAAAAAAAGTATTTTAGCCACACTTCTGACTCAGTCTTTTCTAGAGTAATTGCATTTCTGTAGATTAAAGCTTCATCAGATACAATATCTCTAGTGGAAACAAGAAAGGACAAGTATTTACAAAATGATCACCTACTTAGTGTTATTCCAAGGATAACAATACAGAAGGTGAGAGCATCTGTTGCATCAGGTACAAAGGATGGCTCTCTGGGTACAATGATCAAGTCATCTTGCTCCACAGAGGCATTTTTGGTCTCTGGTGCTGTTTCTTCACCACCTGCTACAGCCTTCATCACAGCAGACCTACAAATTTTAAAATAAATGGCGATCATGAACTTAGTTGCCCTAATTTCTACTGCCAATATATTCACCTGATGGAGTTTTGAATGGCATTTTGCAAAGCCATGTGAACTTTGGCATCATCAATGGCTGTCACATAATCCTGCATTCTGCGCTTGGATTTGGGATGATCTGATGATTGTTGTAAATGCTTCTTTTTGGGATTAATCTTGTTCACTGGTGGAAGTATCCTAAAGTTATGCAGGAACTCACTAGGCACTCTTTCAGGGTATTCTGGGTCTCTGTTTTCCAATGCAAAATTGATTGGTGAGGGATTAGCATCCCATGGCAGAGACATGGTATATGGAACCATTTTTTTCTGAAAGAAAAGACACATCTTGAGTTTCAAAAAAACATTCTTACAATCAGCATATTTACTCAAGTGCAGAAAAACTCTGGTAACACTTATACAGGTAGTACCTTGCAATTTGACCTCCCGCAATTCAACCATCCCAAAATTTGATGGTTATCAAATTTCAACCACATTCTACCACATTATCCAAGGGAAGAAATTTCCTTGTAAAAAGATTAAACCTGCAATGCAAATTTTTTGCAAATTCAAGAGAATAGAAGCAATGGGTTCACCACGGATCACTTCCATTTCACAAAAAGTAATTCTGGAGTCTCTTAATTTTTCTCAACATTCATTTCACAATTGTTGGACAATTTGAGAATTTCACTTCTTGAAAATTTTGCAGGACTTCAGGGGGCTGTTACAAGATGTTTTCTCTTGCAACACAGGGGGGGGGGGTTGTCAAGACACCTGAAATGTTAGATATTGTCCTGCTTTGGGACAATAAGTAAGGTGCTGAGCACAAAACTATCACTGCTATCCTTCCATGCTCCTTCTGTAGTATAACTGGGCTGGCTCCAGGAGAACAGCTTCAGGGCTCAAGAAAAGTCAGCCCATGGACAATACCTGAATCTGGGCTAGTGTATCTGTATGACAGTG